TATAAAGGTAGAATAATTAGATAGCTTATACACTAATGGCGCCTACGCTAGGTTCTAGTATTACTTTAGTCCCAGCTATAGTTATAAAGTATACTACTCCCTACCTACTAGCTCGGCTAAACCTCGAGGGTATATAAGCTTATAGCGCGAAGTCTAAAACGTATATAAGTACTAAAATTAGAGCTAATTACTGTATAAAATAAAGAGAAAATCGTAAAAGAAAAAATAAATTATATTTTTTTTTGAGAAAAGTTAATTATTCTAAGTATTTATTAGCTCTAATTATTAAGCCTTTAGTCTAAAGCTACTTTTAGGCTAATTTAAAGCTATTTATTATCTCTAATATATTTTCAAATACCTCTAGAATTATTCTAAAGTTATTCTAAAGTTATTCTAGAACTATTCCTTTATTCTAGAGCTATTCTAGAACTAGAGTTAAAACTTTAAACTAGTTTCGAGTAAATAGCCGTAGGTATATACGTAGTATACCGAGGGTAAGGGTATAATATAAGCTAAAAGTATTCGAGCTTTATATAAGACATATAGCTACGCTCTAGGTATATCGAGATTCGTAATTAATTTACTACTCTCGCGCCTAATCGCTCTAGAATTATATTTAAAATATATATAGCTCGAGTATTAAGAATCTAAGTATCTAAGCTATATTCTAGTATTCTTATAATATTCTTATAATATCTATAGCTAGTAGGGTATAGGCTAGTATGTTAAGCGTATAGTTTAAGTAGAAAGTATTCTAAGTAAGGTATATAGCTACGCCCTATCTATACTGAGAGCTATACCTAAAACTATTACTCTCGCGCTTATATTATACTAGAATTATATCTAAAATATATATAAAGCGAGTATTAATATTCTAAGTATTTAAACTATATTTTTATATTATTACTATATTATTATAATATTTATAGCTAGTAGAGTATAGACTAGAAGTAGCGTATAATTATAACTATAGATTTTAGTAAGGTAATAAAAGTTTATTATTTACTAGTAAAGCTTTAATATATAATTTATCTTATAAGTATATCTTTTGTTTTAGTATTTAACTTTTAATTAAATAACTTATTATTATTAAATTATAAAACCTTAAATAAAATACTTACTTAAGAGTTAGCGAGTTTATATAAGCTATTATAGCTAGTAAGATATACCTATAATTAACTACTTAATAATAAATTAATTAATAATTAAAGAATTAATATATAAATTAAATAAACTTATAAAGGAACTATTAGATATAATAAAAGAGTTAGAGTAAGCTTATAAGCTCGTCTAGTCTTATCTAGTAAAATAGTATTTAGAACTTTTAAGTAAAGAAAAAACGTATATATTTTAGTTACTTTATATAAAAGAAAAGTATTTAATTAGTTAAAGAAGCCTTTATTTACTTATATAAGTTATATATATATATATAGGAATACTAAAAATACAATCTAACTTATAAGACTATATTAAAGTATAAAACGCTTCTAAAACTTATATAAAACTAATTAAATTAAATTAAACTAATATATTATAATTCTATATTCTCGAATTATTCCTATAATTATTATAGTAGAAGTTATATAACGTAGTCCACAAGCGAGTTGGATTCCCAAGCGAAATGGATTTTTTCTTGGCATTTTATAAATTCTTAAATATCTCACGACACAATTAATTAATTTAATTACAGTATTCAGAATCGGAATCCTCACATATTTCTTCTCCTTTTTGACAAGTTCGTATGTTATGGCCATGTTTCCCATATAGTCCACAGCGCCGGCGAGGTACTAGACTCGGGCTCGTACAATTACTATTTTCTACTAAAACCACTTGTTCTTGCGAATCAACATTACTAAGGACCCCTAAATCTTGCGCATCTTGGAGAGTAAGTGATCCTCCTTCCTGTAATCGGCGCTTTTTCGTACGACGACGCCGACTAAGTTGATCATTTGCTGTACGAAGTGTAGCATTCTCAGCTCGTAATAAAGCTACCTCAGTGATTGCACGCTGTGCACCCTTTGCAAGCTGGTCTAGGCCATATAGAATCTGGGTCGGAGAACTATCTTGGTGTCGTACGACCTTGTTTTGTATATATGACGTCTGGGAATATGCCTCTGTTATGTTATTTGGGGTCTTTGGTTCCCAAATAGCTAGGAGGCTTGTTGAGGTAGATGGACGTGACGGAGTCCTTGGACGTATATCAAGCTGTGAAATCACAGAATCTGGGTCGTACGGCACTAAGCCAGATCCTCGAAATCCTCCTCGAATGTTTGATTCAGTCATTGTCGTACGAAAGGCAGTATAGAATGTTGATAAGAAATCCTCCTTAGAAACATATGTAATGTGGAGTCGCATTAATTTCTCAAGTTCAGCACCGTACGACCTTTTTAACGCTCGAAAACATCCTACATCGAGTGGCTGGAGTCTATGAGAGGAATGAGCTGGCATGCAAAGAGTAATAATGTTATTACTCTTACAAAAAAGCTCAAAATCGACTGAGTGGTGGCTTTCATGGCCATCAAGCACAAGCAGCCGGTGAATGCCCTTCGTACGAAGCTTTGTATGCCGATCGAAATGAAAAATCCAATCTAGGGCTCGCTCATTTGTTGTCCAGCCATTTGTAGTTACAGCAATTACCCAGTCGCGTGGTAATTGGCTGTTTTCGTACCAGGAGGAGAGGTGGTTCTTCCCCGCCAAAATGATATATGGAGGCACTACAAAGCCGTACGACCCAACACCTTGAATTACTGTTGCCCATTCCCGGTTTCCTTGCTGTACTGTACGAGGCCGAGAAAGCCTTTCGGTACTTGTAACAACCATTTCTGATGTAATTTGGCCCATACAAAACCCAGTCTCGTCAAAGTTATAAATATCCTCCTCCTGAATCCCATATTTGTCAATTATATTTCGTACGAGGCGAAACCACGCGTTATACGCGTCTGGATTTTCGCATTGGACTCTTTGATAATCAATCCTTCGATTAAAACGCGTCTTAAGTTCAGGTTGTCGTCGTACGAAGTTCGAAGTCCAGTTCTTGCCAACGCGTCCTGCACCCCGCTCCGAGAGGATACGATTCGCCATATCTTCAACACAACGTACTCGTGGGGGAAATGATCGAGAATCTAGGTCGAGAATATGTCGTACGATAACTATTTCTTCAATCTCTGTAAGTTTTCGAGATTTAGCGATAGAATCTTGTCGTGATAATATTCCATGAGTTCGATTAAGCAATGTCGTATAAGGTACTTTATAGATCCGCGCAACCTTCTTAACTTTTAAATGTGGGTTCGTACGAAGCGTATTTAACGCAAGAATCACATCAGACTCTGTCCAATGCTTAAGCATTTTGTTTGTTAAGAAAAAACGCGCTCTGAATAAGTTTCTGGAGTGCCAAGAAAAAAAAATCCATTTCGCTTGGGAATCCAACTCGCTTGTGGACTACGTTAATTTAAATGTTATTACTCTCTAATCACTACCTTCAAAGAGTAATAATACTTTATATTAACTAGATACCTAGATATTTAACTATATTACTCTTATACCTATATTTAGTTAGATTTATATTTAAAATATATATAGATTAAATATAAATATTCTAATTATTTAAGTTATATTTTAGTATTCTTATAATGCTATTATAATATCTATAGCTAGCAGGGTATAGTATACCGAGATACTAAGCTAAGAGTATCCGAGCTCTATATAAGGCGTATAGCTACGCTCTAGCTATATTAATAGTTATACTTAAAACTACTACTCTCGAGCTTATATCTAATTACTTGATAATAAATAAATCAATAATTAATAAATAAATATATAAACTAAATAAACTTATAAAGAAACTATTAGACGTAATAAAAAGGCGAGGGCGAGCCTATAAGCCCGTCTAGCCTTATAGCCTTTAAAATTACTCTACTAGCTTTCGTATGAATAAATTACTGTCACGGATGCCAACAAAGGATAAAGTGTATACAGCTTTTGAATCAATTGCTAGAACTAAAACCGTAGGTACGAAGAAATCAAACTAAAGAGAGAAGAGAATCTGAAAGGAGCGAAGTTATTTAAGTTGTTCCAATGCCAAGTCTCGTCACGTGCTTGGCCAAGCGAATGAAATCCTGTCAAATGAAATCCAGCTCCGTCACAATTACTATATACCTTATATAGAATATATTTAATTACTCTTATATTATTATATATTAAATAGAAGCTAAACTAGTCTCCTAGGCTAGTAAGTTCTTAAGAGTAATAAAAGCCTCCTTTATTATAACTTATACCTAGCGGCGTAAGATAAATAATAATATTAAACGTAATAAGAGGGTAAGAGTAAGCCTGTGACGGTTCTAACCGTCACCACCATTCGGATCACGTGGTCTCGCTTAGCGACCCACACCAAGTATTTTAGATCGAAGCTCTCTCGAGCTCTCCTCTTCTCCTCAGCTTAGAATCTTTGTTTAATTGACAGTTCTACGATTCCACAACCTACACTGTGGGCTTTGCGTACGTGTCGTCACAAAGCCTACGAGCCTATCTAGCCTTATAAACTATAAACCTTACCCGTTATATATAGGTACGCTTTAAGTCTTAATATATATATCTAAATATATATATCTAAATATATATATCTAAATATATATAAAAATAAGTTAAAGAATAAGTCGGTACTATATAATCTTCTAATCCTCTAGCGAACTTATTCTTTACTTATAAAGAGACTATTAGATATAATAAAAGGTCGAGGGCGAGCCTAAAAGCCGCCTAGCCTCGTACTTAATAGAATTATAAATAGGGGTAAGGTATACTAAAATTAAGTATAAATATAAAAGGCTTCGGTTAGGCTTAGAACTACCTTTATGACCGCCTATATAGGAGGAGAATAAAGACGAGTCTAATTAACTGTAATTCACGCTAGAAACATGTACTAGATAAAGCTAGTATTTAATGTTTTATACTATAGGCCCTCTAGCTAAACCACTCCAAAGTTGGCATGTAGCGTAGCCCAGTTAATCTCTTCTAGTATCGTACATAGATACTACCAATTCTTGGAGTTTTGGGTGTTTCCAGCCGGCGAAGACCGCTTCAAGTCTCTCCAACGCTCCCTCAGAAAGACCCTCCTTGCTGTTGGAGTACAAAATCAAGCCACCGGTTGTAAATATTGATCCGGGTGTATAGACAAAAAGCCATGCGTTCACGCCAGATTTCTCGTAGCCAAGTATCTCCCAGCTGCTACTCGCAACCTTTAGCCAGCCAGCTCCTCGCCATTCGTATGTTCCTTGTTGTTCGGTGACTGGACTGTCCGTACCGTTGACTGTCTTGATCTTTGTCGATGTTGAGGGCTGATAATTTGTCGAGTTCTCGAGATACGAGGTGGTTGAAGTGGAATCGGAATGTTTCTGGAAGGTAACGGTGGGGTTACGTTTGTCTTTCCAGAATGGTACCGAAGTACGAATGATGTGCCAAGTTCCAACGATCTCATCTAGGGAGGGCAGGGAGGTTTTCGAGTTTGGGTCTGGGTGCTCAAGCGAGACAAAACACCTGGGTTGTCGAAGAAGAATTGGACGTTCCATGGCTTCGAATATAACCACGATTGGGTGAGATATGGTGGGATTAATTTTTTTTTTTGGATGATGCGAGCACACAGGTTAGATGCTTGGGCTTTTATAGAGGAGTGCTGAAGAATGTAATGAGATTCCGGAGTAATCTTGGTATCTCGGGGGTGACATGTTGTTACATCAAGGTACACAAGTGAATACACCCGCCGGCCCTTGCATGCGATAAGCGGGCAGTATACATTAATGCAGAGCCCCGTTTCAACAATAACAATAAACTTTGGTTTTGAGATGAAATACTACAGCATGTTGAGTTAAAATCCCCCTCGGTTTATCCTGTTTTCTGGACCAGAAGTTATCAACAACATATGGCTTATGGGAGATGAATCTTATGGCACACAGATCCATGGATGCTTGCTCACGTTTCAAAATAGTCCCCTTGGTGTTTTTCTGATAAATTATGTTGCTCCCAAGTCATGTTACATAACGACGATCTTTCCATGTGAGACCATATAGCCTTAATCTCTTCGATGATTAATTTGGCCATGAAGCGTATCAGAGCTCATTTAGAAGTCGCTGATACGTATCATATACCGCTGCACAGTTTGTTAATTTGACAAGTGGTTTTTAGATCGCAACTAATCGTCGATTCAATAATATGCCACAGGTATTGCGAATGTATTAGGTCAATGTATTAAAGGGATTACGGGGTATGTGTAACCACGATAGTCGAGAAGACGGCCTAGATAGCCAATAATTGATTTCTCTTGTCTTACAGTATCCTGTTACTACCTGCACGCTGCCTTTTAAGTTAGGTCTGCTACAGTAGCTTCCAGGGCCAAGATGCCAATGTAGTATAAAAATTCTCCGCCCAGGAGCAAACGAAATCTAACCTTTCTACAGATACACATAGCCTAGTTTCAAAATATCACCACTCTATTTTGATCTTGTCAAGACGCCACGACGTCTAAAATCCTGCTCACTCATATAGTATAATTAGTAGAATGTTATGTACATATAACTTCTCACACGAAAACCTAGGAAAGCAAGATCAATGAAAGTCAAACACTCCCTCCACTTATAACGAACACCATAGAGAAGAATTACCATTCCTTCCTGGAAGGATGGAGACTGCGAATTCTTAATATGGGGTAGAAGCGGTATCCCATAGTGTATTGATCACTGACAATTTTAGACAAGTTACTTTTGTTTCTATAAAATTGAATATCAGGAGGAGGTTTCCGGTACAGCGTAGTGTCTGGTCATCATTTTATCAAGTGCTAGTACGACTGCTAATTCGCAACCCATCTCCAAGCAAATACGCCTACTCCCACGGCAAGAACATATGGGCCTAGTCTTCGTACCACCGAGAAGACCATGGCAATTCTAAGGAGATTGGCAGCATTTTCTCCTTTGTTGGCGAACGGAAAGGGTTCGTCCGCTGGTGATGGCTTCCCTAGAAATCGACAAAGAGGGTCCCAGCCATCCCTCGGATGGAACTCGAGAAGCTTGTCTGGTGGAACCAACGACCGGATATAAGCCACATGAACAGCCATGTATCTACCAAGGGCTTTTCGGTCCTTCCAATCGCTAGGTTGAGTCCAATCGACGAGACAGAGTTGTAAGGTAGCCTCGATGGGTGGCCAAGCATCCTTCCAGAAGTCAATATAGGTTATCAGTATTCTCCTTCAGCGTGCCGGCATATCGAAACAAGGGTAATAAAAGCTTCACTACTTACTGGAGCTAGCCACCTAAGAAATGGCCATACCCTCCAGTCAAGCACAGTATAGATTGAAGTCTCTACTGACCTCACCCATGATTTCGGGTCACGTTGGGTGAGGACAACTTTTGCATCTGGAAAAGCTTCCACGAGCTCCTTTGAAAAATTTACGCATGGCATATCTGTAACAGCCTAAAGTAACAATTAGCTCTTAAGACACAAGACTAATAAAGTATCAAGACGAACACTCTATTCTTGCAGAAGCTTGTCAAAATCTGCTGGCTCATAAGGCTTTCCGATACCCGTGGCCTTGCGTTTCAGGGCTTCAGCCCAACAATTGATATGCCGAAACTTCCGGTTATCGGGCTTGACGGCCTCTGTAAAGTGGTAGCTTCGGTAGCCCAGTTTGTTTAGAGCTGTTTGCATTGCTAGGAGTGGCTATCAGCTACAAGGACCGCGCATATTTGGGGGCGATAACACACTCATGGTTCCAGTTCTGGAAAGTCCAAGATACAAAACTTGCATCTCGACCGGCCGTGGTTCAATAGCAGAGATCTTGTCAACCTCCTTATCGAAAGGCATTTCTGTAGGGTAGTCGTTGAGAAATCCTTCTTTCCTCGGGAGTTCTTGATTTTTCTAGAGATGCTGAACGAAAATCCCTTCAGGAGACGCGTTCTGGGGGGCTGGTGTTTTCTCGTTCTTTAATAGTTGCCGACTCGATAAAGAGTGCGGCCGCAAAACAAGTTTCGGATAAACACACAAAGGCTAGGGTATCATTACCATGTACGACCTAGACAGCAGGTAAGGAAGGAGAATTTCAATGCCAATTTAATCGGTAGTTAATTAGGATGGTGTGGTGATTTTTGTTGGCAGTGACGATGAAGTCACGAATTCTTCTGGATCCATTGGTCTGTAAGCTGTGGTTATGTTGGGCCACTGTTGGACAGAATAACTAGACACCGAATGATGATTTCTTAGCCAACATAGTATTCAATGACCCAGGAAATCACTTGAGGGCCTTTGATTGGGTGTCAGGTAAGAGCGGTCCGTTTATAAGATTACCTGTATGGGCTCCTAATGTACGAGTAGGATGCGAGGCCTTGGGCAGTTTGTTAATTAAGTGATCTAAATATAGTTATGTACGAATTTCATCCTGTGAGGAAATGATAGTACGCACACTTATGAAAAATGGTGTTTTCGCCTTTGAGAAGGAGAGCTGGGCAAGTGCATGGGAGTAACTCCTGTAAAGTGCAAGTTTATAGAACTTATTGTCGAGATCACGACACGGGGAAAATCCTGCGGCCAACTATTTTCATATAGTAATCTTCTAACCAGCATTCTAGTTACTTGATTCGCGTCGAAAAATTTATGGATATAATCTATAATTAGTTCAAAGATTCTCCGCTGGAACTATCCTTCATACTCGACGTGATAGCTTGCTGCTGATTTGTATTTTGGCAACGTTTTTCTCTCTCTCTAACATTCCCTTATTACACCTCACCAACAAAATCATTGTTAGATCCGTATGTGTTCCAATTAGTGTGCCTGCCGTTGTAATGAGATTCCTTACTAGATATGAATCTAATTAGAAGTATTTAGCTGAGGATTAGTTGCATTAACGTTAATAGGCTGCTGTAAAGTAAGTTGATTAGTATTATTTCAAGCAAGGCCGTATAGCAGGCCCCCCAAATATAACAGCTGAGGTAAGACCTTTCTCGACGATGAAATTGAGCATGGAGCGACCGGGGATGTTAAAATCGTCTTAGTATATCGATAAAGAAGTAACAAACTTGAACCTAACGAAATTAAGCTACAAGTCAAGATAAATGACTAATATAAGAGGGTCTTGTTCGCAAAAAGCGGGAAAAGTAGGTTAATCACGTAGGAGAGTACAAAAGGCATAGAGTCAGGGTTTCTTAGGGTTTTCGTAGAGCCTAGGAGTATTTGTAGTATGCTTAATTTTCCTCATATTCTATACTACTAGATAGCAGAAGTACTGCATGCTCACCAGGTTCGGCTTTACGCTTATTACCGTAAGAAAACAAGAATACTTCATTGGAACTTCTAGAATATGCAAGCTCCCGCCTGTACCACAAATCTAAGACGATTTGGTGTGCCCTATAGGTTGCATTCCATGGAAGCTAAGAAGAATGTACCACCTGTATGACATTGTGTATACTTTTGTAGCACTTGACAGATTAATAGGGGCCATAGAGAGAATAATAGAATACGGCCGTAATTTTGATAAGTAGAACCACGGCAACGCGATCTGCCGCACCTTATGTATTTCTCGAGAGCTAGTTTCAGACGACATCAGCTGATTTAAAAAGAAGCCTTAGTTATAGACAAGCCACTGTTCTCATAGTCTCGGCTGTCTTATACTGAACCCGAGGTCAGAGGTTCTCTGGAGCAGTATTGCCTTTTAATTTTCTTTTCCTTTGCTGTCCTTCAATGTTTACGTCTGCCTTTGATCTTCCCAAATTTGTTATATCGGCAAAGTTTGATGCATTTGCACGACGAATGTAAATCCTTGGCATTTCAGAGCTTGAAACATCTATGGTTGAAAATATCGGTTGATCATGAGTACTCCAACAGGTAATGTTCACACGAACCCGGATACTTGGTTGCATCGGGAACTCCGTTCAATTGTGGTATTTTGTGTTACAGGATTCATCATTTCATGGTGTGCAAACTCTAAGTCTCACACTGCTCTTTTCTACCTAGAATCGTGGGTGACAAAACCGCACTCCAGTCATTATATACGAGATTGCTTGTGTCTTTGATCTGGTATGTATATGTCGCTGAAGCAAGCATGCGAAGCAATGTTAGTAGACCGTACTTAGACATGCGCCGATGAACATAGTACAACTGGCCGACATTCCACCTCTATGGCCCTTTGCAATTGCATGTTTCGTAGAGGAAGATGCGAACCCGCTGAATTCAATGAACCTCACACCAAATATGACTAGAAAACTCGCTAGTGTAACAGACGCGAGTGATTGGGCAGCCTTATATAGAGAAAACCACTGCTTTTAATGATAAATGCTCGCCGAAAAAGCTTGCTCTGGTCAGAATATATCTTTTTGACCGTTTTCATTATAGTAGTTGGAATTGTGATTGTCGCTTTTTCTGATAGGAGGTCTTCATAAAGCTGACCTAAGTCATACCAGAGATGCGGTCAACCCTATCATTGGCTTCTACCGCCGGAGACAATATTGCACCTTCGTTGTTAACATGGTTACTGGAGGTTTCTTTAATCAGAGCAGCTCTTGTTGTTGATTGAGGCGCTCCAGCCCGAGTATGGGATTGTTTTCAAATTGTTCATATAATCACGTGATATTTATCCCAAGGGGGAAAGTGACGAATCTAATTCAGTTCGACTTTCCAGACAAAGTATTCCCAATCTAGAAAGATAAATAGAAAAACGAGAGACTGTTCTACCACTCCAATAACCAATCAAATCCCCTACAAGAAAAATCCGTACAAATTCCCATGGAGAGATCGGACCGTATTCTGATTAATGTAGATCTGACCAACCGGTACAGAACCGAAGAACCCTGAACATCATGTACGTACCGCCATCTGCACCACACCCAAAGCCCTAATTTATCCACGAACCAGGCATGCCAAAGTACCGCATTATCGCCCTTATCCCTGGCGAAAAACTCTTGTACGGCCATGAATTTCCTGTTGCGAAGTTACGAAAATCTTCCGTTGCGGGGAAACTATCGAACCACACATAAGCGCGCCTCGGGAAGTTCCTTGCTACCCCGCGTTTTTCAAGTAGGTTGTGGGATAGTGGGGACTTCTATTTAGCCAGCATCGCATTAGCGAAGAAAAAAGTTGTCCTGGGAAGACAGGGGAGGGACAGCATGGGGAATTGGAAAGCTGCCGAGCATACAAGAGGATCGAGGTTGCTAGATGGATGAAGATATTGTGTATGTATTGCCTGAGGAGGTCCATTTCTTGTTTGCTGAACCGATGTCCTTCGTTCTTCGACCATGAGGCTTTTAATCTTATCCTCGGCGGCACTGCTGCTGCCCGCCATACAAGCATTCAGCAATAATACTAATACCACTACTGCTCTTTACAAAAACCCCACCGCAAGTGTTGATGATAGAGTTGCTGACTTGATGTCTCGAATGACCATAGAAGACAGTATAAAGCCCAGTTTTTTATTATTTATATCCCTAATTGTGCCTCAGTTTCTAATTATGTGATACCACAGAGGCAGCGCAATTAGTCCAGGGAGATATCTCAAACTGGGTCAATACTACCAACAATGACTTCAATGCGACGGGTTTGGCATGGAACATGTACAAGCGAGCTGGGCAGTTCTACGTGGGCTATCCGATCTCACAGCAATGGATTTCAGAAGGGGTCAGAAAGGGACAAGAATACCTCATGCAAAATACCACGCTGGGAATACCTGCATTTGTTCAGAGCGAAGGAATTCACGGTTTCTTGATCGGAAACGCGACCATTTTCAATTCCCCCATAGCGTACGCCTGCTCATGGAATACGGACTTGGTCAAGAAAATGGGTGCGGCTATTGCTCAGGAGTCTCTAGCTTTGGGCGTGAACCAGATTTTCGGCCCCCTTGGTGATTTGGCCAGGGAATTACGATATGGTCGACTTGAGGAGACGTTTGGCGAAGATGGATTTTTGGCAGGTGAAATTGGGTATAGCTATATCAAAGGTCTACAGGGAGGGAATGTGAGTGCAATGGTAAAGCATTTTGCTGCTTTTGGGGTGCCAGAGCAAGGTCTCAATACTGGACCTGTTCATGGAGGAGAGCGAGAACTTAGGACGACTTACCTACCATCTTACAAGCGCCAAATCATCGATGGTGGAGCTTATTCTATTATGTCTGCCTACTCATCGTATGACGGAATACCATTGGTTGCGAACCATCATATTCTCACTGAGATCTTGAGAGAGGAATGGGGGTACAAATACGTAAGCCATTCCCACCTTTTCATATCTGGAGAAGGGTCAGGTTCTCTATCACCTCATCTTAGCCATGTCAGTTGGACCTCTTACTAATTGGCCATTTTGTGGATAGTTCGTAACAAGCGATGCGGGTGGAACAGATCGTCTTTGCAAGGAGTTCAAGATGTGCGAAACCGCACCTCTAGATAAAGAAGCGATAACTCTTTATGTGAGCATTCCGAAGGAGAACAGAATTTCAACTGAAAGTGCTAATGAATTTCAGGCACTGCCGTCAGGTAATGATGTTGAAATGGGAGGAGGATCATACAACTTCGAAAACATTCCGGATCTTGTAGCTTCTGGGAAATTGAGTCTCGATGTCGTTGATACCGCCGTATCTCGACAACTTCGAGCCAAGTTTGACCTGGGCCTCTTCGAGAATCCCTATCTCGGAGCGGCATCAAACGAAACAGGCGCCCTCATCCACACACCTGAAAATATTGCACTTGCTCGACAGCTAGATGCAGAGTCCATTGTGCTTTTGGAAAATCACGAACAAATCTTGCCTTTGTCAAAGACATCAAATATTGCTGTAATTGGACCAATGGCGCATGGTTTTATGAACGTAGGTGTTTTCCTCAATACTTGTTCTTGCAAACTGACCGTACACAGTATGGAGATTATGTTGTGAACGGAAGTTCGGCAAGAGGCGTAACACCTTTTGATGGAATTAAAGCTGCTAGCAGCGGAGGTAAGTGTCAGATCTTCTAGCCCTATTCAAAAGTTGCTAAACCATTCCAGCTGTCACTTTTGCGAAAGGATGTGAACGTTGGTCAAATGACCAGTCAGGGTACGCTGAAGCTGTTGCAGCAGCATCTGCGGCAGATGTAGCTGTAGTCGTTGTGGGAACTTGGACTGTGAGTATTCTGAATTCCAAGAAAACCGAGAAAAGGAGCTTACAATATCCTAGCGTGACCAATACGAATTATGGCAAGGTCTCAATGCCACCACGGGCGAGCACGTTGATGTATCATCTCTCAACCTGGTTGGAGCTATGCCACACCTCGTCCAAGCCATTATCGACACGGGGAAACCTACTGTGGTTGTGTTTTCCTCAGGAAAGCCCATTACGGAAGCCTGGATCTCAGCCAGTGCCTCTGCTCTAGTACAGCAATTCTATCCATCTGAGGAAGGAGGAAACGCGCTCGCCGATATCCTCTTCGGAGACATCAACCCAAGTGGGAAACTGTCCGTCGGATTCCCATATGATGTTGGAACCACGCCGATTTACTACGATTACCTGAATAGCGGAAGAACTGTCGATGTCGGAAGAGAATACGCGAACGGTACTCTGCAATTCGGTCATTCGTATGTATTAAATGACCCTCGGCCCCTCTACGAATTTGGCTACGGAAAATCCTACTCGGAGTTCGCATACTCGAAAATAACGCTCTCAAAAACCAATGCCAGTCCAACGGACAAGATCACTGCATCCATCGAAATCACAAATAACTCCACTCGTGATGGAACGGAGGTGGTACAACTATACGTTCGAGACGTCATTTCCAGTGTCGTGGTTCCCAATATTCAGCTCAAAGGATTTTCAAAAGTTACCATCGCGGCGGGAGAGACAAAGAGTGTTGAGATTCCAATTGATGTTGGAGAACTGGGGCTTTGGGATGTGAAGATGAAGTATGTGGTTGAGCCGGGAGATTTTGTGGTTTTTGCGGGAAGTTCGAGTAAGGATTTGAGGACGAATGTTACTTTGACCGTGGGTTGATTAGAGTAGAGTAATAGTTTAATCAAGGCGTTCTGCGTTGTTTGTTTCACGGTACTTGTTTCGTTGAAGAGTGCAGAATCGCTCTGGTGACAATCTGGGATTACGGGTTTGCGGCCGAGATATTTCAACTAAACCAACAGCAACATAAGACAGTCTACGGCGACTTCCGCTCAAAATAGCGGTAGGTATCGAGGAATAATTCTCCTGAATTCCGGCCTGTTCGCTCGCAGACGCCGATTCTATTTGGCTATATTAAGACTAGTGGTCTTCCATGGACGCCTAAGGAACTATTTGACCTCCTCACTGAGCCCTGAACGTGTAAGGACTGCTCAAAACTTACTTGAGAAAAATTGAAAGTTTGGGAAGAGGCAATCGGTCCGCTTTCTCACAGGCTAATATCATTAACTAGAAAGACTCGGGCAAGATGCTAACAGCTAACTCGGAGGGGGGTAAAATACCCCCTTTCTTCGCTTGTCTCTGTCAAGTATGGAGTGTGTGGATGGCCGAGCCAGCTTCATCTCGTACATATGGTCAGATTTCACCAAATGAGGTCACTGTTATACGCGTGGAAAAAGTATGTGGCCAAGAGTGACCATAAGTTATATTCCAATAAAAACAAAAACCGGGCCCGACCGGCCATGGTCAGTACTGATGTGTGTACTTTCCAACTCTCTTTCACAGAGAGGCCCGACCTTCCAGGTTACCTGAATACCCAATCCAGTAGTACATCTTGCCAATACAGTGACGAGAACTGAAATCTATCCCTGGCGCGTGTGTTTGTTTAGCCAAGTCATCTGGTGAGGACTTGAGAGAGACCCCCAGAGTTTTGGAATACTCTCATGATATGGGGAGGGAAGTTCTGACGGTATGTCGCTGTTGTTGGAAGTGAATTTCTAATGATGAAAAACAGACTTCCGGCCCAAAAGTGTGATATACGAAGATCGTAAAGATGCTGCTTGTGCTATCGAGAGGTGTAATGTTGTTGCTGCTCATATCGGATCCTCTAACGAATACCGATCTTGTATAAAGTACCTCCGAGCTTCAGTAGGAAGTAATCCCACAGTTCGTATGCTTCCCACCAAATGGTATTACAAAGACCACACCCTACCATGTCATCGTCTCGGCTGTTTCGATGTCGATGCTTGTCATGGTGGTGATGGCGGACCGAGCGATGATGATGAGGCTCGATTTCACGATCATGCCGGTCTCGAGGAGCGAGGCTGCGATGGTATTTGTACTCATGACGGTGATGGTGAGTGTGGTGTCGACCTACACGGTCGTCGTAGTCTGAATGTCTTGACATGGCCTTGGTGTAGTTTGGTACTGTTATGAATTGACTTGACTGGGATTGCTTCGTCTCAGGCAGCTACTCGAGTAGCGATTGAAGAGCGCACCCTACCTCGTATATATAGATGTATATAGACACATAGTAGTCAACTGTTCTTAGCACGGGCCACGGTTCTCATACAATTCACTCGAACCATCTAGTCAGGGCACAGTCAGGGCTAGATGAGATACTGTAGCCTACGGATGATCACGATTCACATAAGAACATCGGCCAGGTTGTCGTGGCCTTGTGATACATAGAGAACGAGGCTGTTCGTGAGCCATGGACGAATGATATCCGTTTGAGAAAGATGGTGGGGGTGATCTGGTGACGTCGACGCAGGATTCGCTTCCCAGGTCGTCCCTTCCACCACTGATCTCATTGCAGCTGGGCGGAGCATTGTACTGGTATCAGCCCACATGGATCCCTCTGCATACTCTGGGTACGCCTTCTATGCAGACGATCGAGAGAAGAGAGAAGAAGTATAATATATTAATGTGAAGATCGCTTAGAGGCCACCTGCACCTGCACCCTTGAAGTATTGATAGTCATGTGACCAAATCGGGTTTGCAATAAACAGGCCCCAAAAGCCGATACAAGCCTATACAAACCGATGTAGACCCGGCTGGTACAACGTCGCAGATTGTTCAGCCTTGTGGAAAGCAAGCTGTCCTCAAAGCCCAAAGGCTACGTCCCTACTTGGTGCTTCCACCCGACACAAAACCACAACCAAAACTCAGATTGCGTCTGATCCCATCCACAACTCCTCCCATTCGACAACCATCCGACAACCCGCAATCATGGACGAGGAGACTTTCACCCTCCTCCCTCTGCACATGGACCCTCAATCCAAAGCCATCACATCAACCTCCACTTCGCGCGCCCTCCAAGAAGAACTCGCAACTCTCAACTCCCTCCACCGCGCTCTCCTCTCCCTTGAGTCCCCGGTTCCACCCCCGCCAATCCCAGTCAACCCAAAGCGCTCGGCAAACATCACCAAATTGCGCGAGTCCGGCAACAACGAGTTCAGAAAAGGAAAGCATGCCGAGGCCGTCAAATTCTATACCCTAGGTCTGCAGATGGCACTTGGGAGACCGCCATGGGAGCCTTCTGGATTGATCAGAGATGAGGTCGCCGGCTTGTATGCGAATCGCGCGCAGGCTTATATGGCCATGAGCAGTTGGGTTGAAGGAGCTGTGGACGCAGAAGCTAGTGTTGAGGCAAAGAAGGTCGGAAATGCGAAGGCCTGGTGGAGAAAGGGAAAGTGCTTGTTGGAGATGGGACGTTTGGAAGAAGCGAGGGATTGGGTCGGCAGAGGACTTGGGATGGAGGGAGACGAGAGTGATTTGGTGGCCTTGTTGAAGGATATCGAGCAGAAGGCTGCGAAGAAGGCTTGAACGTGGAAGTTGCGATTAATGGCTGAGCGGATTTATGGGATGGGGATTGTTTCTCCAAGAATCATTGATGGAACACTGTACTGGAAATGTATGCATGGGTATGGAGTCTGGCGTTCAATGACAGATATCATACGAGGAATACGAAGACTTCTGCCCACCTAGTGGTCTAGGGGATGAGCGACTAATGTTATGTATTTTTGTCTCGCTTAATTCTTCTCAGCTTCTTCTCCATACACACTTATTAGAACATGTTTTTTGATTAAATAAATTGCACACCATAAAACCGACGAGCCTCGCTCTCATCATTGTCTATTTTCACCAGCCAAGCCTCCCTTTCGCTTAGTTGTCTATGCCCCCAAACCTAACAGCAATGTCGTTCATTCAAAATAGAAGGTCTAGCATCCATCCATATATCCTGGATGCTATCCAAGTGTGCACACAAATCATGTTGATGCCCTTGCTGAGTACAAAACTGTTCAGTTTTTGCTTTCCAAGGGAGCAATTGTTGACGAAATGTAAGCACAAATCCAATGCACCGTATTTACATGTCACGCATTGACTGAGTTATATTATAGATCGTCTAACAACGTTTGGGATTTTGTTTTCCGCGGGAAATGCAACGAGAAAGAGGAGTATGGCCTCCGATGCATCACCCAAGGTGGAGAAGGTGGCTAGGTTAAGGAGCAAAATTTTCCACTTGTTCACAGGATACTTTTAGGCCTCTCCTCAAAATCCCTGGTTACGGAGCTGGAAGAAACCCCGCTTGCGGTCTACCTCACTAACAGCCAAGGTCGAACCGCACTTGACTGGGCGACAGCAAGGATACAACTTGAAGATATCTCCCATTTACTTTCTCACGGTACTGACCCAAACTCGATGGATACCACAGGTCGAACGACGGTTCTACACGCAGTCGTTCGCCATAGCGTACCATGTCTTCACCTCATACTCGAGGCAGGTGGTAACCCGAATCCCAAAATGCCAAAAGGTACATTTAGAAGCAGTCCTTTAACCGCCGCTGGATTTGGTGGAATGCCGGAAATGCTAAGGCTTCTCCTGGATTTTGGTGGCGATCCCAATGCATGTAATCCAGAAGGATTGACAGCATTACATTCCGTTGCACGTACTCGGAATGTTGATTGTGCACTTACATTACTTGAATTTGGTGCGAATCTGAATGCATTATCTAGCAATGGAAGAACTCCACTAACTACAGCACTCATTCACAACAACCATGAAGTCTTACAACTTTTCGTGGATCGTTGTTATGAGTACATGATGGATACTAGTCTCAAAGGTACGCATGGATTATTTATACGAAAGGCGAAACCCAGAACATAAAGTTTAGTTACCATAAGATGACTGATAGCTCATAACATGCAGGTCCACAGTTACTCCCAATAATCGCCGAGCATGCTGATATCAAAACAATGACCATTCTTGCATTATCCAAACCCCTCAAATTGTCCTATGATTTGAGCATCAATAGTCTGGCAGAAAGCCGCGAAATCCTCCAGCAACGTCGCGATTATGATGGAAAAAACGGGCGAAGCTTTTGATGAACTGGTCAGCATTGTCCAAGCAGATGAAGGGGGTTCCGATTCTCCTGACAGTCTGTTGGAATCTGGAATCTTCTACTCTGCCACATCTTCATTTCATTCCGACCTTGCTGATGCTATGGCGAAACTGAACTCTGCTAATGTCAGTTCTTCGGAGGAATCTATGGATGAGAATTCAGATAAGTCAGATTCTGCACAAGCTTCGCCGGTCACATGAATGTATATAGATATGATTCATGATTATAAGAATCAATATTATGATTTTTGGTGGAGTTGCCTGTTCGGTCTTTTTATCAATATGATTAATCTTTCGAAGTAAATCGCAAATGGTTCTTTCAACAATATGCAGTGTCATCCGCATTTTGTGGGCAGAAAATGCGGCGGTGAATAAACTCTTAAATTCCTATTATGAGCGGATATTGCCTTGAATACTGTAGATCGTCAAAATCCCATTACTATTGAGGCTATGGGTACTTGAGCATCTAGGCAAGTTCTTTGACATACTATAGATAGCTGGAACAATGAGATGAGTATCGCGGTACCATCTTACCAAGTGAGGCTTTCGCTCGAGTCCTGCCCAGCGAGGGTTGGTTGTGTTTCTCTGTAGCCGCCTTTGATTGGACAAGTACAACGCAGGGCTATTCAATAGGTCTGTCGTATGAGCTGCCTCGGCCTTCTCGGCAACTAACAAATGGAGGTACGTAGGCAGACTTGTGTTTGATTCTTCACCCCCCTCACTTGACGTAACGATATGATAGAGACCGTTTCAGGCGACTCTGGCCCTCGTCTGTACAAACAAGCTTGGAATTAGCAACAAATATGGAATCTTCTGAAGCGATTAAGATCTTTGAGCTTAAACAAACAGTCCTAGATGGTAGCTCTACCAATGCCCATATTGATTTTAAACTCTACTAATGTTTCGTTTTCTAGGCTTTCCGACCAAAGGGGCGAAAGTTCTACACGCTCTAGAATATAAGAAGTCGCACTTGGGAAAGACAGCCAAATTAGTGGTAGAATTGCCCGACGGCAAGGTTGAAAGCTACTTCCTTAAGGTACCAAAGCATATCAACTTGTTTTTTCTCCTTCTAAAATTTGAAACTTCAACAGATCCTACTGATGGGAGAGATTGGTCGGAAGATGTGCGAAGGAGAGTATGAATCACTCAAAGCCATATATGAGGTATCCGCAGGATTCGTACCAAAATCATATTATTGGGGGGAATACGACAAAAACACCCAGCCATACTTCCTTTTAGAGGAGTTTCGTGACATCGGAAAACAAGTAAGAGCATTGGTGTACTTTCTCCCTTCATCAAGAAGCTTAACTTCTTCTTCAGCCAGCCGATCCAATAACACTCGCTACAAAACTTGCAGACCTCCACAAGCACTCTAAGTCACCTATGGGAAAATTCGGGTTCCATGTCAAAACTTGCCACGGTGGGAATGAGCAGCAAGTAGATCACTGAATGATTCTTGGGCAGCTTTATTTCATCGGCATCTAGGACACATCATTTCTCTGGCGAAATCGACCTTCAATTGGCAAAAATTCGATATTGTGAGCGACTTGACGTTGGAAAAAGTAGTACCACGACTTCTGCTTCCTCTACAAGAGAATGGACGAGTCCTCAAGCCTTCGCTTATACATTGAGATTGCTGGGATGGAAATACGGCATTAGATGGCGCAACTGGCGAGGCCTTTGTCTTTGATGCTTGTTCTTTCTACGGGCATAATGAATACGATACAGGGAATTGGAGAGCCTCTCGACATCTGTTGAGCGACGAGAAGTATATGGAATGTTATAAGGAAAACTTTCCGGGTTCCGAACCAGTGGAGGATTGGGATGCGAGAAACTTGCTTTATAGCTTGCCGTTTAATTTGGGGAATGCGATGTATATTCCAGAGTCGGACCAGAGACAGGTGTAAGTATAACTTTCCAATTTATGGGTATGCATTGCTAAATTACTTAGTGTCTATGAGGACATGATGACGCTGTGTAAGATGTTCTGCCCAGGCGATCTTGAAACAGCAATGAGTGAGGGTATAAAAAAGGGAGAAGTAAATGCGAGAGAATGGCGGTAATATAGGCGTTACGCTCGATTCGATTAGCTTGGAAAACTAGCAAATTTCAGTCCTAGGTACTCGGACAGGGAGGGGGATCTACAGAATTTCAAGTTCCTACGGGTGTAAATAAGGTATTGATGCCTAGCACCCTTATGACACCCTTACGGCTCCCTTGGTTCTAGGTGTAGATTTGGGTGTTGTTAAGGGTATACGGATATTATAGATCGCGAAGTCATTGTAAGATGTGTTACAGCACGTAGGGGAATGGTATTCAAGCTTTCACAGGTTATATGACTAACATGTATAAAAAATCAGGAACGAAAAAAACGCTACAAGCATCACAGCTCGCTTAACCAAAACATCATGAGATAATAACAAAAAGACATATGAATATTGAAAGTCTTAGCTCATCACCAAAGACTCAGAAGCTTCTGAAAGGCAATTAAACAAACATAATTCCAGTTACACGCAAGGCGTAGGTGAGGTACCAACATCCCCATTTCCTGTGCATTGCAGATGAGAATTGTCCACCTTGCAGCTATACTTACTGATGCATGCCACCATGCAGTGCCCACTAATATCAAGGTTAGTATAATGTTGGACCAAGTAACAAACTACCAACTGCTTGCTTACTCTCATTAAAGTGTAACCTCGAGAGTCGCTGACTTCCCTGGGCGAGGCTAATAGTTGCTTAAAAAGATACTGAAGACCCTCAATATTTCATTCCATCGCAAGGGCAATTGATTGAGAATAATCTCGAAGATTATATTCTGTAGATCACGCTCCAACTTGACCGTAAGTATAGTATAGTGTTGTGCTGGGTCTACTTTCTCTTTTGCTCCACTTCCTGATTTGATCCACTTATAGCTCTGCTGCCTAAATGCTTCATGTCTGCCTAAACCTTACACTCTTTATATAAACACCTTAGATAGCTACCTTTTACAATGCAATCAATTCTCCATGACCTTCAGTACCCAATACCCTTTCAACCCAATATATAGGCTACGGAAATAAGTAGGAACTCGAGGCTTACGAGATTGAAGCTCCTAGCATTCATTAAATTGAGGGTTTCTTTGACTGACCGTACATCATCTTGGTACCACTCAAAATGGGCCCTCTCTTTTCGCTAAATGGCGTTCCTAATGGCCTTGACGTTGCCCCGAGCGCTGTCACGACTTCGTGACTCGTCTGCGCGACGGCAGAATCAATGGCAATCACACCTGCAACAATTTGACAGTGGATCCATAAGTGAATCAATCGGAACCTTACAACAACAAATACAGTGGTAGTGAAGCGCTAGATGGAGGTGGCGAGAAGCAAACGCCCTAAGCGACCATGTGATGCATGCATGATGAATTGATTGGTAGCTTAAGGAAGCAAATGCTGTACAGACAGGGTATTTCCGGTCCTTACCGTACGTGCTCGCCCTCTAATCAAGTGAAAAACAAAGGTGTGCCAAACCTCGCTTCATATGGGCCATCAGCTCAGCCCAACCCCTGTCATTCAGCAACCTTACTTTCACGATACTGCCATTTGTATTCAAGTTACAAGTACAAATTTGCAACTTTTGGCGTTGCCTAACTTGCCACATGTCTGATCTGGACGCCACAACACCACGTGTCTTTCTCGCTCGTCATGGTACGTACATCATTCGGCACTTGATCAGAGGCCCGTTCCAATTCTCATCAACATATAGGGGAGACAGAATGGACCAAGAACGGTCGCTATACAGGATCAACTGAACTTGACCTGACACTCAATGGCATCAAACAAGCGACAAGCACAGCAGCTCAGCTTGTTGGCCCAGGAAATTTGATAGATTACAATCGTCTTATCCAAATATTTGTCAGTCCCCGCAAACGAGCACAGCAGACATTTCAACACCTTTTTGGGATTGAAACCGCCGCTAGTCTCGACAAAGTTGAACTCACTGAAGACATCACTGAATGGGACTATGGTGAGTATGAGGGTATGGTGGTGAATGACATCAGAGAGACGAGGAGAGAAAAGGAGCTAGATAGGAAGAAAAAGTGGGATATTTGGAGGGATGGCTGCGAAGGTGGAGAGTAAGTTCATCTGAACCAGGAAAAGCCTCTTGCTGATCTCTATTCTCTTGTTAGGTCTGCGAAACAGGTTGAGGAGAGACTGGACAGGTTGATCTCCAAGATTCGCGATATTCAACGACCTCATATGAATGGAGAAAGACCTGCAGATATCCTTTTGGTATGGCGATATCTCGTTATAAATCTTGGCACCTGAGTTGACTCGCATAATTAAAGGTAGCACATGGACTTATCCTCCGTGTGTTTGTAAAGAGATGGTTGGGTTATGCGGTTGATTTTCCACTGCAAATTATGCTTTCACCTGGTGCAATTGGAATCCTGGGGTATGTGTTTGCCTTTGAGGACCAAGACCATTGCTGACCTAACAATACTGTAGTTACAAGAACCATAATATCGATGAGCCAGCATTATTTGTGGGCATGTCACTCCCAGCTAAGTAGTGAGCCCATTCAACTCAAGTTTCCTGAATCATGGGCGGTTATTGGACCAGAAGTTAGTTCAAAAGGAAAGAATGGAGACTCTAAGCAAGATTGTAGAGACTTTGCGAGGTACAAGTTAAAATATCCCGTGATGAGTCTTGGAAACTAGATCGATTTCTCCCATAATACTGGATCAACATTTCCATTTGTTCTCGTTCTATAAAAGATCCCAGAACCCCCAATTTTCAAGTACCCATCACATACCCTTAAACATATTAGTACTCACCATTTATCACCCTTTCCTCTCTAATAATTCTCTCCAGTCTGTCCAGCCTTAATTCCTGTATGTTAACTCCGTGTTCCTCTGGCCTTCTCAAGCCCTCCACCCAACCTCGGAACCAAAACCACGTCTCGAATATCCCTACGACCCTATTGACATTCAATCCTTCCCTCAAGAGTCCTAGAATCCTCCGTCTTTCAGGCTCCGGAATGTTTTCACGACTAATCCAACTCATCGCAGCGCCCCTTGGGTCCCCCCTCCATGCTAACACACCATCCCAAGGAACGTGAGGGAATCGCGTGCTATGTTGCACGAACAATGCCCGTACCGCGGTAAGAAAATGCTCACTAGGAGACCAATGTCCCCATCCTTGACGCAGAGCGATGAAGAATTGGATGTGCAAAAGGGGAATCATTCGTTCGATATCCGGATATGGAGCATGGAAATGAAGCAGATATCGATTCCAGTTTCCAATGAAGTGTGCTCCTTCTCGTGAATCGAAGCCATCCTGCTCAGCCATTACCATGATGCGTCGTAAGGTGTCATGGGGTAGAGAAAGCACTAATTCACGGAATTCGAAACGTTCTTCAAAACTTGGTCGTTCAGTCGACAGAGCAGGGAGAAATGAAAAAAATCCTGTTTCCAAAAGTTCTGGGAGGGTTAGCGAGGTGAGGAGGGAGTCGTGGTCGTCATCTTGGTTGCGGCTCCAGGTTGTGTGGAGGTAGAGGGAAAAGTCGCGACTGTGGTCGTGTGTTCTTGAGGTTAAAAGGGTTGGTCCGACGGACCTGTTGTGTCTTCTGGCACGAATTCGAGATTGATTCGGAAGCGGACTACTATTTGTTGTGGTTAGTGGAGGTGAAGGATGGGAGTGTCTCCGTGTTGGGAGATTGGAGTTTGTTAACGCACGTCTGCGGAGGCGTTGTATTGTTCTCGTGGATGCCTCTGATGGTCCCAGTGAGTTGAAAACTGGGTCTGGAGTTTGATTTTCGGGGATCGGTTGCTCTTCTGTGTGCAAAGGGTAAAGTTGATACCCATGTTCTTGTCCAAACTCTTCTTCTCGGCGGGCATCGTACTGATTTATATCCCTTCTCATCAGTTCCATCAATCGTTCTCTCCTTTGGGGGGTGAAGTTGTATTCTTCCTCTGTTTCCGCCTTTTCTGGCTCATCTTTTGTCTCATTGTTGTCCTCTTCAGAATTCCGCCCCAGAATCTCTCCTTCCTCGATCCCATCATCTTGAGTCTCATTTACCATCAAAGAATTGCCAACACGTCTCAACCTCGCAGACTCCGGCCTTAAAACAACCGTCGAATTCATCCTCATTGCGATCTCCCTCTGTGCAGAGGCTCGTCTCTCAGCCCTCACAGCCAACCACCTCATAGTAGACTCTAGGCTAGAAACGAGTTCTTCAATGGTCCCATCCTCGTCATCATCTCTATCTGCAAAGACTTCTTCTCTCCTTCTCGGGGTTCGAGAGACTCGATTTGCAGAACTCACACGATCTAGACCTTGAGCTCCAATATATTCCACTGAATCCGCTCTCGTCTCTGAATTCAAAGATGGACTTCGGTCTCGGGTTCTTCGTTGAGATATAGATGGTGGTTCAGAGTCTGTTGCATTTGTAGGTCTTTGGGTACCGTCGAGAAAACTGTGTTCTTGAAATCCTAGAGTGGGCGAGTCCGCGCGTGGGACGAGAAGGAAAGGATCTTCGGTTGAGCCTTGGGGACTGGTGATCTCGGTAACGCTTATTGATATCGGGGGCGGGGCTTGTGGGAAGAGGTTTGTTGGGGGTGTGAGAATCCATTGGTGATCCAATTGAGAGTGGCTAGTAATATCGTGATTGCTTTCATCTTCGTTGCCGCTGATTTCAGTAATTGCTGGATTATCTGGAGGTTGGTTTCTGTTAGTCCCAGTATTGCTCGAGTTTACTGTCTGGGTATCTATAGATGTTTGTGTGTTTGGATTGGAGTTGGCTATCTCTTGGGTGAGGGTCCCCTCGTTGTCTGTGGATAGTATCACTTGGGGTTCTTCATTGTGTGTTGATAGTGGCCAGTTATCAGCTTGATCTAGGTGCTCTGGCATTTTGAAAAAGCTTTAAATGCCACATAGTCAGTCCAAGGTTACTTTATCCCTTTCATATGACGAAAAGAAGTGCTTATATTCTAAAGGCTAGTTGAAATAATAACGGTTTTGTTTATGCATTCACATCTCTACCGTTTCGGTCATTCACAGCTATCGTGACCCCATTTACTATTTGAATGTTGCTCTTGGTGTGTTTGATATTGTTTGGCAAGCCAGATGATGTGTTATTCACTACATATAATTCAGAAAGAGATAGAAGCTTCTGTATTAATGGAAAAGCTACTATAGAATGCCCTAGTGAATACACGTATTCCATCCTGGGTGTTTCGCCCCCACAAGATGGAACTACTATAGAAGTCAAATTCACCTCCATCTAAGTGACATACTACCCTAATCACTGTACTCTCAAAACATCGACTAATCTCTCAAGGCCTTGCCAGACAGAGTTATCACTCACAGAGCCTTCTGCCTTTTCGTAATATCATGAACGCAATCACTATGTGCTATAGGAGAACCACATTCAGGAAAATATCTCTCCATATTCTCGTAACAACCACCATATCAAGCAAGATGTGGACCCTCTGACCTCTTGAGACTGTTCTCCGCAGCATAGTCTCGATTAAGTTCTTCGTCTGAGTCTTCCATGAGCGATTCAAGACCTGATGCGACACTTGCGTTCTCGTCATCCTCAGCGACCGATTCCTTGCTTGGGGGCTTCTTATTAGATTCACCATGAGAGAAGGCTGTTTGGATACTTGCGTAAGAGGCGGTGTGGGGCGAGTCTCCTATGTTGTTTCAGTTAGCGAGGGTCTCCCTAATCTCAAAACCCATATCGTCAAATTCCAGCTGTAGTAACCTACCTGTGAAAGTGTCTCCAGTAAGATGTTCGTTTGCAGTGAAACTGGTGTCGATATCGTCCTCTTCTTGAGTCTGAGATGTTGAAGTGGCGTCAGTAGGTGCCTCGTCTGTTGTCTCCTCGTCTGTCTTCTCTTTTGTAAGGGCTGAGGATTCTACAGCAGAGCTGTTAGTTTCCATTTCAGCTGCTCCATCCTTGTCATCAGGCTGGACCTGTGGCCCTTCGTCCAAAGAAAAGCCTCTAATACCATCGATCTGAGTGCGAATGAATTCGAGCAGTTCTTCTCCGAAAGCAGTATCATTCAGATGATATCTCCAGCACACACAGTCTGCCTCCCTGTGGAAATATCAGCACGTCATGTTGTCTTGAGAAGAATGAACTCTATACCAAGCAACCAAGTCAGCAAAGCCATTGTGTCCATAGACATGACCGTCAACGACAGGCTCATCATTGTCTGTCATTTCTCGAAATTTCCCACGACCGAAGCTTCTCAACTTGTTAAGAGCTGCCAACATAATCCCATCGTACAGATCACCCTTACGATCGTCATAAAACAGCTGCAAAGCGCCACAAAGGGCTTCGCGTGTAAGAACAAGCTCGCATTCTACCAACTTCTTTTGGATTTGTTTCCCTCGCATCTCTCGTACTACTTGTCTCAATCCAGCCTTGTCAAGTTTCTCGTCGTCATCGGCATAGTTCTCGACGTAGTACTGGTAAAATATATCCGAGGGGTATTTATATCCGAGAGCGACTTTTTCTCGGTTATATTTCTCGACCTTTGTTCTAGTAGAGAAATATAATGCTGCAACTGGATCAATCTGGTTATCGTGGTCATACTGGTGTCTGGCCCGTTCATGAATCTCCTCAAATGAAAAAAAGCAGGGTTCCCTCGCAGCTTGGTAGCCTGCGCCTTTTTCTTCATCCTCGGACTCATAACTCATTGGGAACATCACTTCGTAGTTGTTGATTGTCCCAGCAGCAGCAGCAGTAAGTGGTTCCTCCTTTTGCGCTTCATTGGTTGAATTTCCTCCATCGTTGACATGGTTCTGGTCCAGATCGACGGCTTTGACATTTTCGTTCTCAGCGAGCCATCTCTCCGTTCGGTTTTCATAGCCTTTTTGTCCAAGCCAATAGGGCACAGATGTTTGTTTATCACCCATAATGACCAAATTTTGGTGATATTTTGGCGGTGGTGATGGCGGTGGTGGCTTTTTGCTGGTGTGGTAGAGTTGTGGGATGCGCGTTGGAAGTTGGGAATGGTCAGAAAGGTATGAGAGTGTTTGTTTTGAGAACACCAGGAGCTCTGAATCACTGAGAGCATTGCAAGACCATGTGCGTACTTGTAGGAGCCGATCAGGACGTTGGGCAAGAACCCGCAGCGTAGAAGTGAATACAAAACAGTCAGTCATCGCTAGCGATCACCTTCCCGCATTCATCTTTATAATGTAATTGTTAACCACGTTTACTTCAGGGATCAAGATAAGTGAGAACAACAGATAGGTGTGTGATGGAATAGTGAATATGTCGTTTTGATAGTTTTGATGCGCTATATGATTGATTTCAAATGATTTGCTGAAGATAATTCTCACTTTGTACTTCTGGTCTTTATTCTTCTATGCATGTATTACTGTATAAAGTTATTAAGTTTCTCTCTTAAGGCAAGCAAGGTATTATTTTCAAATAAAGAACCTTTAACCTACGATAATTTTTACTGGAGTCTAAAAGTCCTTTGCTAAAATATAATATATCAAATGATTCTCTAAATACAATTTAGAAAAGACTTCTAAAATAGAACCAAAAAACCTAAAATCTCTATAACAAAGGGAAATCTATAAAAGCAAATAAATTATCAAAACAGTATTAATTAATAAATCCACCCATATAATTATCAGATAATTATAATATTTCTAAACACTACCTATCTATATGTAATATTGAGGGGTTTTACACGCCCGAATCGAATTAATAAAACTAGATGCAGATAAAGTAACAATACTATTTGGCGACATTGCTATTTGATTCCTGTCGTAAGTTATTATATCTTTCCTAGTTACCTTACCTACGCTATATTAAATGCAAAGGCTAAAGAATTACCTTTATTCTTATGCCAAGTCTCATTTACTGGACTCTGTAAATTCTCTTGGTTGTTCTACTAGTAACAGTGGTTCTAATTGTAGAAAAAATGCTATAATTGCGCCTGAAAGTTACGCCTCGTTATAGAAGTTCTTGTCAAAAGTGACGTACTATACATGACTGCAGAATGAAAACAGTAGCTACTTGTAAACTTTACGTCTAATCTTAGGTATTATGTTCTTGGGTATCAGGTAAAGGTTCACTAAGGTTTCAAAAGATTCTAACTTCGAGTCTTATTATAAACGCTATTGTTATATAAGCAGAAGCGTTGCGAGATTCACGTCATTTGTGGCCACTCCAACCTTTTCCGCTGCTCATCCTACGATGACGTCTCTTCTATCTATGGCATAACAGATTTTGGCATGATAGCTTTTATTGTGATTCACGTCAATGATTTAGATTGAGTACTGCGTCATCTCAGTCCCCAATTTACTCAGAAGTTTCAGTGATTCCCAGCTTGCTTTCCAAGTCTATATCTTCGTATGTTATTTATACCCCTCTATTTCCTCACTTCAAATATATTACAGCCCGACGGTAGACAATTCATCTGCCGCTCCTTCAACCCCCGCGGACTTGCAAAAGTTGATCCAAAATGGCGCTGAACTCTACGCGCTTTTCGCCTTAGCAAAGTTGATCTCTTACTGCTCATCAAAAGATACAACAGCGCATTACCAGATGATTGCCCGGACGAAATAAGGCCCAGGACCTCTCAGACAGAAGACAATGTTATTAGGCATTTCATGGATCTTGAGAGCTACGAGCAGTTCCCAGATATCGATAGTCTAATCTTTGAACTTCTCACCCTGAAGAGAACGCCTGAAAAGCTTATGGATTGGGTTTCTTTGCAAGACAGATTCAACGCAATTCGTGGGGAGAATGAGGTTCTCTCAGGGGTAAAAGATGCTTTTGACGATGAAAATCAAGGTAAGCAGGAAGAATCGCCACTTCCTGAACAATGGTCATCTCAACCGCCATTACCAAATGCGAATGTCTCTCAAGCTCAACACGTTTCTGAGAACGAGAATAATGCTGCGCACCATTCAACGCAAGCCATCGCGCCTAAATACTCCCCCCATCAGCCAATAATTCAATATGCTACGCCTGTTCCAGCACACCAACAGCACTTTGATATATATCGGTGCCAATGCAAGCATGTGACGGTACGGGGTTATCGGTTCCCAATTACCACCCAAGTTATCAAGCTCTCGAATATATTTCACCCGTTCAAACTCAAGTTTCTCACCGAACAATTCGTTTACAGTCTCCACCACTTTATCCGCAAATTCCTCCACCATCGCCTCAGCTATTTTCTCAAAACAACGCCCCACGCCGTCAATCTCCTACCCCACAACCCCCGCTACCACCATCCATTTATTCTTCGAATCTAGAGATTGCTTCATCCCAACCTCCACAGTATATCCAGGAGCAAGGGCAAATGTGGCAGACTGCCATTCAGCCAACTTCCCAAATGACTCCCGACCAGCCTCAGAATATACGACCTGCTCTACATCGAGCTCCACAACGGCATCTTGAAAACGGTCAACTCGCACAGTCACCCCCGGAAGACGACTACACTGCGGAATTCGAAAGTGAGGAATTTGATATAAACGAGCCATCAGAGGATCCTACCGAAGATTACGTTTCTCTAACAAGATTTGATATAAGCGAAGAGGAGAAGCGGAGCGCTTTGCGGGCAGCTCGTCAAAGAGGTGAAGCGACGTCCAGACAAATCAAGGATCCGTTTTGGTCAGAAGAAGAGTGAGGTACATATGTTTATATGAAGAGGACTTTTAGCTGGAATATAATAGATAGTTTGACATTACAAAGATTTGACGAAAGCAGGGAAGAAAGATATAGAGATATGGTGGCAGTTGGCGTTTTTTGCTTTTGAAATAGTATTTTAGTATGTAAAAGCAGTACAGATACTATGCTTACATGAAGACTCCCATTCAAAAGTGTTACTAAAGGGCTATTTCTGTTCGTTCCCCTAGGCCTTTTTGTGAATGTTCCGCCAAGGAATCCCCGTAGATTTTACGCGAGCCCCTGGATAATGTGGGTCTTCTGTCCACACGGCAACCTAGGTTAGGGCACATTCAAAGCAATGTATAGTTTTCTGGCCTGAAAAACTGACAGTAAGAATATTAATTCTCATATTGAAAGATGGGGATATCGAGGAGACTCAACAAGTCACGTGAGAGGCAAATGCTCCCAGTGAAAACCTGGATATCCGTATAGCTTTTACGCTGAAGAAGTCAAAAGAACAAAATCGGAATATGGCGAGATTCGAAATAAATTCCTTTGACCAATAATGCGTTTATTTAGTGCCTTGGTTGCGATAGTTGTATGTAACCATGAATTCACATTTCTCGTGCCCTCATGGGTAACCTTTTAGCCCTTTCTTAAGATAGCCAACCCTCACCAAGGTAATTTTGATGCACTCTAGCTAGTGCTATCGATTAAAATCATGTTTAACATGGCAAAGTTACAGGAAAAAGTGACATTGCAGCCGCTAACAAATCGCGAACGATGGAGGCAAAGAAAAAAAGCATGACGTACGATTTCATCTTTTCCATGTCAAGACAGAAAATGCAATACAACGAAGAGAAGACATGCGATAGATGCGCGGAGATGGAAAATCCAGTTGTATATCTGTATGAACGGTTCGATGGAAAGATAATTGCATAGAAACCATGCACTCCTTGCTAGTTTCTACCTCTCATGGCTTCAGTATTAATATTAGGTCAACTGGCAATGCGGCATACGAAGGCGTGCTTGGTATAATCAACAGTATCTGTTTCGTCTTCCGTAAAACAGCATTTTTCATCTCTGCTTTGAGGAGTTGTATGAAAGAGCCTAACAGCGTTATGAGCATTATGATTTGCGACCGCACAGCTACTTTGCAGATAGATGGCTGTCCGCGAGAGCTCTCCATCTCCAAAACCTTTTACAAGATCAAAATGAGTCTCGCTCTAAGATTTATACTCCCAAGATTGAGTGTCGTACTCGCAGCCATCATTACCACAGCGGAACTGTCAAACCTTTCGTCAAACAAAAACGCTCGCCAACAACCGATTTGAATGAAGTTCTATTGATTCAATAATGAATTAATTGGCTAGAACGAATTCACCCATGTCCTCTACGTTATACATCTCAAGAACTCTCAAATTACTTTGTGCTGCCTCACTGTAAGACCTTGCCTTATGCGTTCACTGACCATATGTTGCTCAAAGTGCTTTCCAAGTCCTATTATTGTGAACACCAGAGCTAGCGTCCATCAAGCAGAAACCGACCACCCCCATGCCCAAATAGCCACGCCAATTACTAGTATGTAAGGCATACCCATCTTAACCAGCTTCAGTGTCACCCCAACCTTCACAATATTGGCAGCATTACTACCCTGGTTCACATATGGAAATTGCTCATCGGGCACAGATTCCTTACCCAGGAATTTGCACAGTGGTTCCCATCCATCTCGTAGATGAAACTCCAGAAGATTTTCAGGTGCAACGAGGGGACCTGATATGTTTGATATGAACTAGCATATATCTCGCCAAAGCATTATGGTCGGTCCATGGCTTAGGGGACGTCCAATCGGCCAGTCCAAGCTGGAGGCAATCATGTAGTGCACCCAACCCTTCCTAAATGTCTCTCGTCAAGGTTGATTCTTCTCAAAAATGCGTCAGCGCCTACAGGATCTAGCCATATCAAGAAGGGCCAAATTCGCCAGCTGAGAATGGAATAAATAGATGTCTCCACCGACTTGACCCATGAGCTTGGTTCACGTTGTATTAGGACAATCTTGCTGTTTGGAAAGGCAGCTACAAGTTCGGCCGCAAAGTTCACACAGGGCATGTCTGTGACTGCCTAGTAACTTATCAGCTTTTATGATAATTCAAAATCCGGCTTACCAACGCTGTACTCTTGAAGCAACTTGTCGAAATCTTCGGGGCCGTATTTCTGCCCAATTCCATGAACTTTGAATTTGAGCGCCTCGCGCCAACAGTTGATGTGACGATATCGCTTGTTGTACGGCTTAGGGGCTTCCAACATGTGGTAGCTTCTATAGCCAAGTTTGTTAAGGGCAGTATACATGGCTGTCGAAGGTGGTCAGAAGAGCATTATTCCATATTACTAGAATATCACTCACTCATTGTTGATGTACGGGAAAGCCCGAGGCACAGGACCTGCATTTCCAATGGTCGTGGTTTCGTTGCGACGATCTTATCAATTTCTCTGCCACCTGCCATGACGATATACTTTTCATGGGTTTCGTCTTGAGTATGCTTTTGATGTTCGAAAAAATAAGTGTCATGTTCGATACAGCGAGGCGTTTTGTTAAATCTTGATCCCCATATAAAAACCAACACAGTCTTGCGTTGGTGCTCAATTCGGGATTGTTGCCCCGGCCCCACACCAACTCCGGAGCAGTAATCATCACCAACTTACCAACTGCTTGAACTGCCCACGAATCCAACTGCAGGCATTAGGTCTAAAGCCAATAATGCTTTCGCGTAGAATCCTCTTCGCTTCTTAATATTACAGAACCTTATTCCCACACCCTCCTCCCTCCTCCATCAGAATACTCTTTCATCTTTGAAAGCGAATCCCTCGAAATTACCCCCATCCCTGAACCCACCTCTTATATTGTGGCGAGTTCGAGATATAGACCAACAAACCAATATGTCTTCCTGTACAATTATCGTCACCGCGTGAATCCTTCTTCCCAGGAAGTGACGAGAACAACTCCCCAGAACTTAGATTCTACGGTGTGAGAAGATAAGTAACTCGAGAAATGCCATTGTGCTGAGACACTTTTGTGATTAAAGGAGGGATATACAGTAAAAAAGTGTATTTACTGTCGATTCATATCCTACCCTCGAAACCAGATAAACATCCATGTCACGAAACAGGCAGGAGATGTATCAAGCCCATCAAGCTTATAGCTATGCTTTTCTAGAATATGCCGCTATCTCGCAGACCAATGTATTCTTAAAGAGGGATATTGCATAGTCGATGGTATAATTCTTCGTAGGTGTCTCCTAATAACAGTATCCATGTAAAAGAAGTCTGTTGGGGATATCCTCTCAATTTATTCTGAGCTTCCAGGGAGTGCGACTCCAAAGTCATGGTTTACTATGTTTTGATATTTTATTATTCTTATAGGGATGTTGGTTTGTTACTTTTTGCATGTTGAATGATGTCTATTCTCATCAATTAGTGATCCTCTTCCACAAAATCAGATACCTCTCATTCATCCCAGTGGCTTCAAGAAACCTTCACATATACAAACAAAATAACATATAGTCACCTATCCTCATCCTTACTCCCTCTAAAGTCCAAAGTAATGAACAACAAAATACGCCCGTTAGCACACAAACACAAGTCCTCCTTGACTCCACCCACCCAGCCATGCATAATGCTACTACCGTCACACACAAGGGCAGTAATTTTCTAAAATCTCAACGCAATTATCATCTCGGGCCTCCAAAAGATTTCGAGCAAACTTGTAGGATATATACCAAACGGGCAAATTCTGGACGGTACTGCCACAAAACGTGTTCCCTGAAGGACTTAGTCAAGGTGATGATTTTAACCGGACGCTCTTTTCACTTATTTAAGTGCGACATCTTCTTCGATAATCTACATACAACATAAGGATGAAAGACTTGAATTTCAACTGGGGGCAAACGAAAGCGAAGAAGAGATGGTGGAAAGAACACCAGATCGTTGTAAACCGTGAATCTTCTAGTTGGCTGAACGTCCTGTGTGACGACGAATTCCTCTGAGCAAAGAAGGGGAGAAGTTTTGTTTGTGAGAGTTACTGTCGATTCGAGTCTTACCGTCGAACCTGGGCAATTCGTACATGAGTGACATAGCAAGCACAAAACTCATACATGCTGGAAGACTTGCCACTGAATTCTTCGGGTAACGAGTAAAAGGGTAGTGATATTTAGGGAAAGCAGACTTTCATAATTCGTAGTAACCTGGGGAACATCAACTTGGTCTTTACGTGGTTCCCCATCAATACTCCATTCTTTTGAGTTTGTATTCTTTCTTAAACACTTCTTCTATAGAGAAGTTATAGAAGTGGTTGCGGATGGTGACTAGACGAGGAGTGTGATACATGTCCAAGTGATTGCTAGAGCTCTCAGGTACCATCATCTCTCATCCTTCTAAACTCCAGTATATACTCAAGGATATTACACTTCCAAGGCACCAACACCCCCCAGACCCCCCTACAACCTCAAAAAGTCAAATCCAAACCCCTCCACTCAACCTCAATCAATTATCATTCCAACCTTATCCTACCCTACACCACACCACACCCAATAACCCCCCATATAAATAACCCAGAACCTCAAACCTTTCCCCCAAAATCCTCTATTCACTACACCCACCAATCCCCCTACTTCCCCTATAAAACCACCTAACAAGCCACCAGTGAAACCCAACGCAAGAACTCATCGATACAATGGATTTCGACTTGGCACGAATCCAAGTTACCCAAGCAACCCAAGCAGCCCACCCCAACCTGCACAACCAAAGAACTTTCTTTCCATCAAAGATCTACCATCACCCCAAAAACCCCCACAAAATAACTCCAACACCATCCCACAAATGAACACAAAAACCCCATCCAAACATCTACCGTCGATTCCCGCTCTACCACCGCCCAAAAACCTCCGTTCATTCATCCCCATCTTTTCATGCGCAACAGACCCAATGTCACAAATACTTCATCTAAGAGACACCCCATTTGGATGACATAGAGGTTATATACAGTAGTTTCGAAATTTAACCCTACGTACCCCACGGTCATTGGAATCCTTGTTTGAATTGTCCGGTTTGCCTGCCACTTATCCCAAACATGCTGAGTTAATAAATAGATACTATTCACCTACCCCTAAACCCACCAGAGCCTCACTTAATAAATCCCAACATAAGATCCCTAGGACACCCAGTCCATCCAGAACTCCCCATGTGGCTATTCTACTCTTTACCTCATCGGCCATCTGTGATATGGTAACCCTCAAATCCACCCTTTGATTCATTAGACTATTATAACCGTAATACCATAGAACTAAGGGTTACTATTATAGTAGTTACAAATATAATAATCTATTCTATAATAGGCCTTTTTTGTGTCTTAGGAGGGTGTAGAACGAGTTAGGTAGTAGGTGTAAAATAAAGAATAGAATATAGGCTGTTAACACTATAATAACAGCTACTTTATATAAAGGACTGTGTTCCCTAGCCCTCCCCACTTCCCTAGTACCCTAATATACACTCTTGTCTAAATAATATAGGCGCTGCCGACCCGGCTATGTCGCCTTCACTAAAAAAGGACGTAGTAGTACGAGTATCGAGAGTTAGTGCCGGACGTAAACCAAGGGCAAAATAATCGTATTTAGGAATAGCTTCACTTTTTGGTTAGGTATACTACAAAGGAATTACAAGGAGTTGTTATTTTATACTTTAATTACCGTGTTACTTTGTTTACTTTCTAGGCGAGGGGTGTACTTTAATTAAAAATAGACTCTTTATATTAATTAAAGTAACGAATATTTCGGAAGTCAAAAATTAATTAATTAGTAGGAGAATTCCATCATATAGTCCAATTAACGAATTACCCATAGTATTGATCAAATAGTCGATTTGAGGGTTACTATAGCACACATCTAATCCCCACGCCTGAACCTAAAAACAAGAGCTCCCTTGGTGGAGGTCTTATCTAATATACTTATTATAGCACCAGGTGTGCTGTCCCACGAATTCTGTCACCCACTGGTGTAGTATTGTACCCGTAAGACTTACCTACCTCTCCTTACAACTCCAAGCCCCGAAAGTAACGATGAAGTACTTCGCTAGTCATCGTATATGGTAAGTTATAAAGACCCATCAAGTAATATTATACGAATTCGGTCGGTGAAGATACAAAGCTTTCCCCTGTGATGTCTAAAAACCCCGCCTTCTACATTTGGGTTGTAAATATCTTTCCTTACTTATATACTCACTCCGGATATGGGTGCCATTATAGGAGCGAGGTAAGAAGAGGGATCGTATCAAAGATAGAGGCTTTCCCAAGGTACAGTGCACTGTGCTATCCTCGTATTCCGTACCGACAAGTGCAATTCGACGTCATGTTTGGGAAATATATAGACTTGACGTAGCATTCGAGATCCCACAGATACTTTCAGCTACAAGGAATTAGAGCAGGGAAGCAGGAATAAATGTCGATTAGACGAGGACAAAGGAGAAGACAGGTCAACCTCATACTACAACATTTCATCATAGCACAAGATGCAAACACATAGCGCACAAATACAATCATGAATCTTCATCCTTGTTAATTTTCATTGAATGGAGTTTAAGCTCTAGGCTCTCCTATCATAAAATCGTACTACAGTCGCCGATCTCCTCACAGAGAATCCCTCACGACCTTATCAACCGCCTTAGCAAAGTAGTCGACATTCCCCGTGTTCAGACCCGCCATCGATATACGACCATTCTTGGTCATATAAACATGCGCCGTACTACGAAGTTCCAAGACCTGCTTCTCCGACAAACCAGTGTAGGAGAACATGCCAATCTGATCCGTGATGTGATTCCAAGTACCCGGTGTACCTTGCTCCTCAAGTTTACTCCGTAATGCCTTTCGCATGCTGATAATTCTTCCGGACATCGTCCGTAAGTTCTCCTCCCACTCCGCAAACAGCGCCTCATCATTCAGCACCAACCCCGCAATTCTAGCACCATATGCAGGAGGATTCGAGATCTCCGAACGCTGCAAAATAGCAAGCTGGGAAGCAATACGTCCAATAGTAGCCTGGGAATCCGTTCCGGGACCAGTCACGAAATGGAAACATCCAGCCCGCTCACCATACAAACCAAAGTTCTTGGCAAAGGATTGAGCGATGCAAAGCTCGAAGCCCTGCTCAACAAAGTAACGAACTGCCCAGGCGTCCTTTGCAAGATCTCCCGAGGCGAAACCTTGGTATGCGCAGTCGAAGAATGGGAAGTGGGATTTCTCTCGAATCAGCACGGCCAGTTCCTTCCACTGCTCCTGGGTGGGGTCCACTCCGGTGGGGTTATGTGCACAGGCGTGTAAGAGGATAATACTACGGTCTGGAGCTTTGCCGATGGCCTTTTTCATTCCGTCAAAGTCAAGACCCTTTGTGGAGGCGGAGAAATATGGGTAAGTGGAGTGCGCAAGTTGGACGTTGGAGAAGATTTGGAAGTGATTGGCCCATGTTGGGTTGCTGAAGTAGGCAGTTGCTTTGACTGGGAAGAATTTGGAGAGAAACAGAGCTCCGAGATGAACGGCACCTGTGCCAGAGATGGTTTGGAGACTGCAGACTCGTTTGTCGGCGAGAGCTGGGGAATCGGCGCCCAGGATGAGCTTTGCAGCTGCAGATGTGAAGCTTGCAAGACCGGCAATTGGGAGATATTCATGGTTCAAGGCGGGGTCATTTCGAAGAATCTCGTCGGCCTAGTGGCGGCAATTAGTCAATGATGAATTGGAATTTTTTTGCCAATGGAGTTGTACCTTCTTGACCACTGGTAGAACCCAGGGCTTTGCATCGTCACCTCTGTAAGCGCCAATCCCGAGATCGACTTTTTTGTCAAAGGTATCAGCTCGATATGCAGCCATCAGCCCGAAGAGGGGATCTTCTGGAGCTTGAGGAACGGCATCGGCCGAGAAACTGGTGGAGGTGGATGAAGACATGTGTGCGGATATGGTTTGCAGTCGGGAGACGGGCGAGGACGACTTTTTATATGACGAGGGAGGTGGTGGTGCAGGATTATTTGGAGATGCCGCAGTATTGGCAGTGTTTTGATGCTCGTTTGAGGGTGCCATAGCTAGGGGGGCGTATGGAAAGCGGTGGAGTCACTGTATGCGGGACGCTGCGGGTATGCTGGCCTGGGCGCGTTCGGGGAAGTGAGTGCTAGCTGCAGTTGGGGTTGGCCTGGGGAAAGAAGTGGGCTGACTTTGCTGCCTTTCCGGGAAAGTTCCAAGTCACGCAAGGCAAGTCGCATCTTATATATTATTTTTTAGTAATGCACCGCTTCTGCTTGGATGGTGGATCGACCGTCATAGCAGCTACGCCGAGGTACTTGTAGAGTTTCAAGCTTGAGCCTGCTTAGGGTTCTCCACGAGCTGACAAGACTTACGATTCATGAAATCATACTGTAAAATCTTACTGCTACCGTAGCATGTGCTCCTTACTGCCTGAACCTGGATAGAAGTTCATCACGAGCCCCCGTACCCACCTGCTCTGCAGTGCCTGTGCCAGCATCCGAGGGGATGTTGGCACTCACATGCAAAATGCAAAAAGGCAGTTAGAGTATTGGATCCAGAGTATTCAGAAAACAACAACCATCAGTACTCGAGTATAATCTCAAATGACTAAATCCCACACCACCAGGAATAGACTCAATCCACACGATGCGTAAAAGACGTACTTGGCCGTACTTTTACGCTCCGCTGCTTTCTTGAGTTGTTTGTTTCCACCTCCCACATTTTCCGTCGTTAGCAAAGAGTCTTCCACCAACTGAGAGATATACTCGGATTGCGTAGCAAGATTGTTGACAAGCTGTGTTTGGAGCTCCGATATTTCTACAAGCGATTTCTCGGCAGTTCTGGAAATGTGTCAACTCTAGCTCTCGTCGAGACAATCCTGCCACGTACCTAACTTGATCCAATTTACTCTCGTAAAGTCTCAACATATCCTGATTCTCCTGTTCAAACATTTGTACCTGCTCCTGCGACAATTCTGTCTCTGGATCCATCTGCTGGGTTTCCATAGGCAGAGCGGCACTTGATTTGTAGCTTGATGAAGGTACCGCTGCAGCATTTTCAAATCCTCCCAATTCTGGCATATGCAGCTTGGAATTCGCAAGCACACTCTTATTCTTTTCCACTTCTCGAAGTATTCGTTTCTCCATCATCGATGCCTGAATCCCTCCGCATTCTTGCAATTTCTGTCGCAAGTACCATAGAACACTTTCTCGATGTCCACTAATCGCATTCGCTCTCGCCTCTTCGAGTTGCTGATCCGAGGACTTAGTTTGTCCTGCCCCTCCTGCGGCCCATTTCCCTAGAGATCCTAACCCCAATCGTGCAAACTTCTCTCGCGAAAGTGTCCTCTCAGTATCCTGTCGCAATTGCTCAGCATCTGCCAAATGTCGAATACTGGCGTTTAGTTCTCGTAATAACTGTTTCGTCTCGGCATCAATCTCCTCTCTTTGGCGATCTGTCAAGAAGGGCCATTGTTTCTCATTCGTAGCGAGTCTCGTCCTTCGTGGTGGCGGCGCAGTAGAAAGATATGACTGTCTTATTTTTTTGAGGTACGCATTGAGTGAGGCAATGTGGGAGTTCTAAACAAGATGTTAGAACGGTTTATACTGTGGCATCCAAGGTACCAACAATGCGATATGCCTCCTTCTGGAATTCGTCAATGTTCTGGAGAGTCAAAGATGGACTTGTCATTGGTTTAGCATCATGGCTTTTGAGAAGCTCGTCAAGGAGAGGAGTAAGGTCCGTCATGGAGAGAGATGCGCAGTTGGAGCTTGGGTCGTGAGAAAGTTGTGAGGCAGCTTGAATCTGGGCCAACTCGGTCTAGCTATGATGCCAGTTCAAAATGCCAGTTCCAGTTTAAATGTGGCGCAACTGCCGTGGCTTTACGCTGAACTTTTTACCGTGTTTGATTGGTTACTGATCTCGTACTCGTATTTGGGACCCTCGACTATAAAATGCGCCGGCAGTCTAAATCGTACAAGCTCATTTCTCCAACCCTTCGCCATACCTGCCTATCTATGTAGTACGAACCACCTACCTAATCAGACGACATACCAAATATCATCTGTGACGCCATGGAATTATTGCAGCTCGGCTCGGTCGAATGGAACCGAGGCTTTCTACCCGTATTCATCTGGAATGGAGACCACAGCTCTACACGAAATTGTCGAGCTACATAGCTACACCTATACCTATACTTACTACTAAGTATGCCTCGGACCCAGTAAGAAAAATGGACAACATCAGAAGCTCCTTGGATTCTCTTCTAGGTAGGCCCAGAAAACCAAGGCTAGACCGACTGATCGGAGCTCATTCGGAATCAAATAAACAATGGGGCTCATCGGCGTTCCGTGGATTTTTTTACTGATTGCCATCACTTCAATCCGTTATCGCTCAACAATGCCTTCCGGATGAAGACTCCCGCAACATCGTGGCAATCATTGGCCAGTAATAACCATGTTTTGGTGCCCCATCGTGGAAACAGCGTGGTTCGGCGGAGCCTGCGTCATTCCTACCCTGTTAGTACTTTTAGATCGAACTGAGTAAGTCGGTTGGTGAATTTCTTTTTCCATTTTCCATTTTCACTTGTAGAAATTTTGGTGTTTTATCAGCTTTTTCGCTTCTTGATTTTATCGTTTGTTATGATATACGAATAAATATCCATATGGCCGAGGAATATCAGGTAAGAGTCGCTGGGAAAGGAGAAGAAGAAACTGGAGAGAGAAATCAAGATACTCTCCCTCCCAAATTAATACATCAAACTCCGCCATGCTCTCGAGAAAACCCCCAAAATGTCCTGGAAGATGGAACACAAAATGAAGAATCCCAAAATCCCGGACCAGACCTTGAACAATTAGCACCCGTCAACACCGGGCCAGTATACTCAGCCTTCGGAGTTTGGAAAAAAAGATACATCGTCCTAATGGTCACTTGGGCAGCATTTCTCTCCCCAACTTCAGCAAACATATATTTCCCCGCTCTCAATTCCCTAAAAGTTGACTTGAACGTCGACACGAAACTCATCAATTTAACGCTCACCTTTTATATGATATTCCAAGGACTGGCGCCAACCATTTTTGGGGATTTGGCAGATATGGCGGGACGAAGACCCGCGTATATCTTGGCTTTTGTCATTTACATGGGTGCGAATATTGGTCTTGCTTTACAGGATAGTTATGCGGCGCTTTTTGTTCTAAGGTGTTTGCAGAGTACTGGGAGTAGTGGTGCGATTGCCTTGGGATATGGGGTTGTGGCGGATATCTCGTCTAGTGCTGAACGGGGGAAGTATATGGGCATTGTTGGAGCCGGGACAATGATGGGACCAGCTCTTGGTCCTGTAATTGGAGGACTTCTGGCGCAGTTTCTGGGATGGCGATCTATATTTTGGTTTCTAGTTATTGTTTCTGGATGCTTCCTCATCCCATTCATTCTCACAGTCCCAGAAACAGGTCGAAATGTTGTAGGAAACGGCTCAATTCCCCCACAAGGCTGGAACATGACCGTCCTCGAATGGTGGAACCTCCACCAAAAATCCAAATCCATCTCCGAGCTCTCACGAACAGTCAGCGCCGAGGGACGTCGTCTCCAACAAGCAGAACTCGCACGAAAACGCAAACTGCGCTTCCCCAACCCGCTCAAAACAATCCACATCATCATGGAGAAAGACATGGCCGTGGTACTAATCTACAATTCCCTGATCTACACCGCATTCTACGACATCATCGCTTCCATCCCCGAGCTCTTCCAGGAAATCTACCACTTCAACGATCTCCAAATCGGACTTTGTTATATTCCCTTTGGAGTAGGCTGCGCCATTGCCAGTTTCGCAAACGGCAAGATGCTCGATCGAAACTACAAGCGAGTAGCAAAACAAATAGGCTTCACCATAGACCGCAAACGCGGCGACGACCTGCGTCACTTCCCGATCGAAAAAGCTCGCTTAGACCTCATCTGGCCGCTTCTCATCTTCGGCCTGGTCTGTATCCTATGCTACGGCTGGGTCCTCGAGAAGAACGTCAACCTCGCCGCACCACTCATTCTTCAATTCCTGATCGGTCTCACTGTCAATGGCTCGTTCAATATCCTCAGCACGTTAGTGGTGGACTTGTACCCGCAAAGTCCTTCCACAGCGACGGCGGCGAATAACCTTGTTAGGTGTTTGGTTGGAGCGGGGGGAACGGGTGTTATCAGTTTGATGATTAGGGGGATGGGGAGGGGGTGGTGTTTTACGTTTATTGCGCTCGTTTGTATGGTTACCATGCCAATGCTTTGGGTTGAGTTGAAACAGGGTCCTAGGTGGAGGGAGGAGAGGAGGGTCAGGCTGGAGAAGAGGGAGAGGGAGAAGAGGGTGGTGGGGGCGAGAGCGATGGGGTTGGAGGAGAGTGAGAGTGAGGATTCTCGTGCTGCGAGTGGGGATGTTGATATTCCTGAGAAGGACGAGGAGAAGGTTTGATCGTTTATGTGTGTGAATTTCGTGGCGTCTTTTAGGTCGTAGATTTTGGAATTATCGAGTGTAGCATAGGGTGTATATAGAATGAGTGCTCTGATACTGTATCTGGATTCTAGAGAATTTATAGTATACTTTCTTATCTTTCATCTCACCAAAACTGATTTCTTCTGTGATGGATCGGTATGAGAATTTGATACCCGACACAAGCCCCAGAACTAGAGATGCCCTTCAAATCTCACTGATCTCTTGCAGTACTTACCTTGTGTAATTGGGTTGTAACTTATAAATCCTATCCAAGAAATGACTTCTCAGAAATTTTGTAACGTACCTGATTCTCGTCTATTGATATATCAGAGTACTCTGGTCATCTACTTACTTTAATTCTCCCTCCAAGAATCCAACTTAATTTCCACTTCAAAAAATGATCAATGAATTGAAAGCGCGTGTTGATCCAAACGTAGAATATACGAGTGATTTTGCGCCCCGAGTCGAGTCCTGGCCCAAGAATCGAATTCCCTTTTTCCCCCGAGGGACTTGAGGAATCATCCCTTGTTGGAAAGAATTCGTACTTTCCTCTTGAGATTCCATATAAATGAGAGAGAGTGTGTAATAGGTTGGCTAGCTAGCTTTGGATGTTGAAAACTCAAGAGTGGGAAAGTGAGTTGGCGTAAGTACCATGGCGGGGCAGAGGTTTAAGTGTTAAGGTTAGGGTCGCTTAGCACTTAGCATGATATCCGCATGTCATATGGCTACTGTACTGCGGGTTCATGGTAGGGGAGCGTACTCGGAATGTATAGCTATAGCCCTAGAAATCTACTTGTCAGAGTGTTTCAATTGAGGGGCCATTTTGGCGCCTGGCCTGGCCGGAAGTGTAGGGTGAGCTCAGGTGATGAAATGTCACAGTAATTTCGTGGTCCCCTTTTCCAGGATGAGATACCTAGGAAAGAGAAAGTGGATAGATTCTTGTTGCTAGTGTAAAGAGTTTCTAGAGTATACTAGAAAGCTATGCGCAGTCGTTGATTACTTGGACTTTTTGGGATATTTGAATATTAGTATTCTCGGTTTGGATTGATAAAGCAATTTCCAGGCCTCTTTTGGTACGTTTGGGGTTTGTTTAGTTACTGTGGGTATTTGATATAATTTGGAGGAGATTGGCGTTTAGAGAAATATTGCTCATGAGTACTTGAGTAGAGTTGAGTAGGTAGTTTAATCAATTTGGTGGGTTAGGATTTTAACTATAATATATAGATTACGCTAGTTACTACTTTTGAAGTAGTCAGATCAACATTCTTACAAATCAGAAATTATCAAGAAGGCTTAAATTAACTAGCCTCTACTAGTCAAGTAATACTTTACTCTACTCTACTATTCTTAATGTTCAAACGCTAAAGTGTAGTTGGTTGGGTATAATCAAGTAAGAAGCCTTTATCTCACTACCTACATTGAATAGTGAGTTACTGCTGTTAGGGGTTAAAGATTCAAAGAAATTCACTAGCCATATTCCATCCTACATATACCACCACAGGATCTTATTCACCAGAATATTCAATTGTGCCCCACCCACTAAGTGGATATGGGCACTTTACGTAGTATAGCTCAAGCTATAATCTGTTATTCTGGGACTAAAACCACCATCCCCGAGTATGCTTGACTGGTATTGCTACATTCATCACGTATGACTACTAAAGATATTGGGCCATCCCAACCAAACGCAGATACCCCCTCACTAAATACAAATAATCCAAATTAATACCTTCAATATGGGTACTGGGAATGGTACCAAAAACAAAAAGATGGATGATACAAGCATTCCCAAATTTATTCTTGGCAACTGTGTAACACTCCTTCCTACCTTTTGTGTCCTCATGCGTTAACCCTCTATTAGTCGCCTAGGCACAGATACCATCACCCTCTCCATTGGCTCAAACCGCGACAAGCTTATTGTCCACAGGCAACTCATCTGCACTATACCTTTCTTCCAAAAGGCATTTCAGGGGAATTTCAAGGAGGGAACTGGCGAAATGGATCTTCCAGAGGATAAATCAGAAGTTGTGTTTTTACTCACTGATTGGCTTTATCGGGGAGTGGTTCAAGCGATTAATACTCAAGCCCACCTTGATAACTTTTATGGTCTTTATAGTGAGTTAATTCCCAACAACACATGGGTTGCATTGAGTTAAGGCTAAAATCCCCGTTCTAGTGTTTGCCGAAAAGATCTGCGAGGAGAGATTGATGGATATGACAATCGACGCAATCCAAGACGTATCCCTAGTTCGCGATGTCTACATCTCTCCCAAGCAGCTCTTCCACATCTACCAGAACACATCTTACAGATCACGTCTCCGCAAGTTCGCTCTATGCTTGTACATCCAAGGCCTTCCCAGCTCGCTCGAGTCATCGCAGGATCTTGATGCGGATCGCAAGTTCATCGCAGAGGTCCAGGAATACATGAAACAGAATGAGGAGATGAATTTCGATATCATGTACTGGGCTATGCAGCTTGGTGCTATGCGTAAGTACTTTGATTTCCGCAAACGTGGCGATGAAGACCTCAAATTTGTCAAGGCGGATTCCCCTTGCTACTTTCATAAGCATAAGAAGAATGATATGTGTTATTTGGATATGACAAAGGAGCAGGTGGCTGCCAAGAAGGAATACCAGCAGGTTTGGGGCCTGCAATCAGGAAAGCTTTTCTTGGGCTGGGGATGAAGGGGCATAGCGTTAGACAGACGATAATCATGACTGACAGCAAAGAAGGAATACATGGGAATGAGAGATACACGATTGGGCGAAGTTCTCTTCGTTCGGGGAACAATCGAGGTTTCGTTGGGTAGATAGTAATTGATATCTTACATCAATTATTCCCATGAAGTCAACCATTTGGTAAGAAGTGTTATGGGACCAAAAGAGCCCGATGGCTTTCAGTGTACTGAATTCCTCTGCGTTGTGTTTTACCTGATGTTTGTTTAGCGAGAATCATAATATGCCCCTTTGAATTAGATTAGTTTTGCCATTTTTCTTACTATAGTTTAATATCGCTAAGGTTTGATTGCCAACTTGTTCGAGCTGAAATTAACAAGAGGTCCAATCTTCAAAGTACGGACCGTGCTTCTGAAGCGGTAATTACCAATCTAGAGTCAAGGTCAATGTATTGTTTATTCATTGTTTGCTCAAATTAAGGAAGTTGCTGTTGACCACTCTGCGTTGAGCTCTTTTGCCAGAGCAACCTTCTCCATTATAAATCTTGATAATAGCTCGATATGACAGGCGCTTTATCCATTAAATAGCACCTCTCCTTTTGAAGATGTCTGTGAAAAGCACATTTGCGAAACGGACCACCACGCCACTGCACATAGCCCTTTGAGATCATCTCAAAAATAACAGTGAAAAGACTTTGATCTTTAATCGCCGCGTGCCGGAACTCCTCGATCGCAGCTGTCGTATACTGATGCTGCGCCTCAAAACCAAAGGCGTCCCAAAATCCAATTCCGTAGCTTCGAGGTCTCGTCCGTATGTTGGAACACGTGTGTAAAAACTCCCGGCGGCGGCAACGAATGGTATGTGTCGTGAAAGTTTTAAATGGCATCAATTATCTGGTCCATCAAACCCCCCTCGCGAATTTTGTCTGCAAATATGTAGAAAGCATAAAGACTTTTGATATTGGGCAGTGTATTTAGCCTCATGATCATCCCTCGATACAACCAATCCACAAATAAGGCAACCACCTCGGGAGAGTCCTCAGGCATATCCATGGTCCTATTCTGCTCTTTAAATCCTCCAAGGAAGGCTTTCTTGAACCACGGAACATTGCCTATGAGGTCTTTGTGGACTGTGAACTGTGTACGAGTTTCGCCAACGTACAGACTAACGACATCGTTTCCTAGAGTACTGCTTAGTATGTCAGTTGAAGTATTTAAGCAATGGAGAGGATCGCTTCACCTTTGTAAAGTATCTGTATACAACGCTTTCGTACTAGTTTCTCGGCGTGTGGAGGTCATCTTCGCTTGCTGAGGTTCGTTTTTCCTTTTCTTCCGGTTCTTTTCCTTTTTCTTTAGCGAAAATTCTTTGCAAGGACAAAATCGCTCTACGGTGGTGGCATTATATATGCCAGGCAAGAGAGCTGTTTCATGACAATGGCAGGATAAACATGGCTGAACAAACGAGATTTACAACAAGATTCTAGAATGAACTTGGATGTACACGCACCGATTTCATCCTCGGTTTTTACTAGAGCTGAAATATATCTAAACCTTCTGACTGCTGCAACTAGATTATTCCAGATGTTCTGTTCGTTGGGCCGCACCCATTCCAGAAGATCTCCCAACACCTGGAACAGATCCCTCTAGAATTCATTCAGGTTACAAGGACTCGCTGGAACCGTTCCAAGCACAGCCTTGGAACTTTCTGGAATCCCGTAGCCGAGTCACCTCGCCCTCTACTGGATTCACCCAGCAATGCGCCCACAACGACCCACTTTCTCGCACTCTCGTTTAAGAACATCAATAAAAAAAATTCCTGCCAGCATTCAGATTCCGCTAATTCAAAAGGTACGTCCTTTACGAGCCTATGGCCTAACGGAACGAGCTGCGCGATTTGCTTGCGAGATAAACCAACGCCTTCGGGTGCCGAGTTAGTCGGGCTTGCGGACGTCCAGAGGGTGATTCCTGGGACTTCTTCCTGCTCTTTTTTGCAATTTTTTGTTTTGGGGTTTTATTTTGGGGGTTTTCTGTTGGGTGGATGTTCTGAAATGACGATGTAGTTTTGCCTTGGGGGTCTTTCTTGAAGGCGCGTGGTTGCCGACGCGACAAGGTGGTTTTGTTTTGGTGGTCGCTTAGCCCAGTCCAATTACATCGCAGTTGAGCAAGCTGCAAGGAAATTGGGTTCTTCAGGGAAATCGAAAATGTAGTATTTATGCAAGTGTGTATTAGTCGTATCTCGCAATTTCTCGCAACATGGATTGGACAAATTATGAATTTTCAAGGAAATAGAGCATCATTCATGATTTTATTCTACAGTATCACCCAAAAACCCATCAGAGGTGAGCAGATCGCGAACGCCTGATCCTTTGAGTTTCCGTTGCAAAGCTCTCCATCCCTCCCCTTCAATTATAAGGTAGTATGTATGTAGTTGCAGCGTCCAAGCTCGTAACTTTAAAAAATTCTTGTTTCTCTGAATATATACAAGAGAAGAATAAGCTTAATTTATCGTTCATATTCAGCACCCCTATCTTGATTGTCATCTATCGTGTTATTCATTTATTTCTCCTCACTCACGCTTTCTGCGAAAATGTACAGATCTTAAAGCTAACCAAGGTGCGCTGCGTCTAAGTAGGCACAACCACTTCGCGATAAAGCCAATCTATGAACAGAGCCATGACCGTCAGAGTAATACAGCTGAGCGAAACTCTAGGCATATTTAGGTTAGCAAAAGATATTTATTTGAAAGTCTCACATATATAAAATAGTTCTCTACGCGATTTACCAGAGCCTATTCAGAAAATGTAACGCTATCTTTATTATAAGCAGAGTCTCTAAGCCAAGGAGGGGTTCTGGTGAGGTTCTGGTGGGTATTATACGTTCTGCGGGCTAGACAATCGCTGATGTTGATTTGTGGCGTGTCGTTTCTAAAGGAGCTGATAGAGAATAGTTGGTGGGCAGCAAACGTAGAGGGAAATGAATTAACTTTCCTTTCTAGGTCATAAAGACCATTCTTTTATGGTGCTGCGGCATTGTTCTGGTGATACTTGGCTCCGAAGCAATCAGCTCAACGTTTTCTCTCTGGCAGAGAGCAAGAGTATAAAGTTGATGGGGCGAATTGCCTCATGGAGTCTCGCTTAGGGTGGTCAAAAGAAATTACTGTTAAATTCTTGAATATAACTTGTTTGTGTGGGATGCTATTTTTGTACAAATGGTGTATTGCTATTAGTCGAGGGAATGAGGGGACAATTGTATGTCTGGAACTCTTTGGCAAGAAATATTGTTAGAAGAACTTGACAGAACCGCTACTGTTGACACTCACAACTCAAAGCGAGTATCACTGATCAATTGTGGCCTAGAGTGATAGAGTCCAATTAATCCATGATTGATCGACTCAAAATCGTACGGAAATTGAAATCCTAGCCTCTCTCCCGCGACCAAGAAATTACACAAGGCTCTCATTCCCTGTAGAAATCCCTCTCAAGCCTTCCCCGAAGCGACCTCCGCATGTCCCTTCTTAATCCCCAACCTCTTCGCCTCACTATCAACAATATCCGGAATCTCCTCACTTAAACTCTTCCCCTTAGGACCCCAACCCAAATACTTCCTCGCCCTCTTCGCAAACCCCTTAGAATTCAACCCCCAAGACAGGGCCTCAAACCCAGCAAACTCCTTCGCTTCCTCCACACCCATGGGCTTAACACTCTTCTCCTTGATATATCCCTTCTCAAAAGCAACTTCACCAATCTGCTTAGATACCTGACCCCAGACATGATGTCCATTCTCCACCAGGAAATAGCCCTCCTTCCCCCAAAGATGGGGATCGAGTTCTGGTTTATGCTCAAGTGCAGCATCCACCAGGAGAACGAAGAGGGCAGAAAGATCGTGAACATGAACATGATCCCATTCCGTAAGACCTTTTCCAAGTTGCGGCGCTTGACCATGTTTCAAAGTCCCCTCCGCAAGAGAATAAACCTGTCTACTCCGTTGATTTCCCGGTCCTCTACCTTTGCCGTAGATAGTTGGCGGGCAAATAATAGCAGTCTTAACGATGTCCGAAGAAGCTGCGAGGACGAGCTTATCGACATCCCGATGGAAAGCAGAATCAGGCAGTGAAGTCAAATCTAAAACCCGTTCGAGGTCATCATATGGTTGTTGAGAAGGTGGCTCGCCATAAGTATTAGTTTCCATGTCTTTCCAGACTAGGATTCCGGTACCGGAGGTGTGTAGCCAGAATCCGGGCTTTTCTTTGGTATGGCCGGCTGCTATTCCTTTGGCGATTGCGCGGGCGGCTCCTGCGTGATCTGATGCATCGGCGGTATCTATAAAAAACCCATTAGATCGGTGTATTGAATTCAAAAGGATCTAGGTAACGTACGAATTACAATATCAGCTGCAGCACTCTCCTTCTCCAGCAACTCCGAATCATCAAGAGTTCCATAAACAAGTCGTACTTTTGGATATGCCGCGGCTACTGGAGCACCCTTTTCAGAGTTCCGTACTATTGCCGTGTACTCGTAGTCTGGATGTGCCTTTTCAAGCGCGTAGAAAAGGTCCCCGCCAATGTAACCAGTGGTTCCCGTACTGCATAGCCCATTAGTATTGTGCCGTCGAATTGATCTAATACTAACATGAAGATTTTTGGAGCCATTCTGAGAAATTTTGTTGTTGCGATTTTTGAAGTTGCAAAAGATTCGGCCGAAAGCTGAAGGCCGTGGCGGGGTTGGAAATGTATGACGTGTGAGGGAAATGAATGGTCCCACCTACTCTATTTCTAAGCAACAACATAATGAGCGATTCATCGAGGATATCTTCCAATGAAAAGAAAGAGAATAATTTCGAAATTGATTTTCACTCATTCTAGATTGGCTAGCTCGATATCCCATTCACGGCAACTTGAAGAGATGCAGTATAAAGTTCAAAGGCTAACAAAAAAGTCCCGAGATCCTTGTCCTCTCAACAACTATTTTCAGGGTTCACCATGAACCTTACTACAAGAAATCAAACCTTCAACACAACCTAAAGCATCTCAAGCATATACCATTCCGATACACACGGTGACGAATCTCTACTTTATGAAAGTAAACCTTAGCCAAGTCCAAACCAGTCCGTGAACTCACAATCCGCACTGGCCTCAAAAGTAATAATAATAGAGTGCCGCCCTAAACTTCCCTTTCAAGAATTGGCTTTTAAAAAGGTTTTGTGCTGAACCTGGTATAGCTGTAGCGAATAGGACAATCGGATGGTTTCAGAGAGTTGAAGCAGCACAGCCTCTCGACTCCTCTTGCCTCCCCGAACTAGCGAAATGATTGCGAGATGACAACCGAGAACGAGGCGAGATCAAGAGAGTAATTAGACATTCGGGAAAGCCAGTGATGAAGACATGCTCAAACGAGCAGTCGAATATGAAATTTAATAATAAATCAACATTACTAAAGTACTAATGCTGAAGAAAGAAGTCCAGCCTCCCTTCCCCACCCCCAATCCTCCAAAACCCCCCAAAATATATACAAGAAGCAGAAGGAAGCCTTTCCAATCCAATCCAATGGAGTGAGCTTTTACAACGCCGTCGTGAACCCTTTATTCTCCAAACCCATACACCAATAAATATCTATCAAGAAAAGAACTCCCACAAGGATTCGAATATTATGAAGAAACATCATCACATACACCGCACCAACATCTACTCCTGGAAAATAACCATGTTGACCTCTCCCACACCTTCTTTGGAGGCAACGATCTTGCCAAAGACACCAGTCTTGACATCTCGCTCCATGATGACGAATCGGCCACTACCTTGCGATCCAACACCCGCAAGAGTTCCCTCTTTGTTGAGAGAGAACTGTCTTGGGGTAGTGCCTCCAGATGGAGAGTTGGCGACAAAGTTAAGTTTTCCTGTTGCTGCGTCGATCGACCAAGTCTGGAGAGTGTCGGACTTGACAACGGTCCCGTTGGTAAGAGCGACATTGAGAATAGTGGCATTACGAGAAGAGGTGTGGAGGAATTTGCGGTCAGGCTGTGACTGTGTCAGTATGGTATTTGGCATTGCAAAATGGGAGTGGGAAAAAGCGTACGCTTATGATAGCTTCTGCACCTGCTGCTCCGGCTGGAGTACTGATGTTGCCGTAGATGCCCTTACTCTCGATCAATTTGAAGTCCAAGCTTTTGCCGTAGGTTACATTGTAACTCTCCACGGTGTTGGTCAATTCGTTGACGAGGAAGAAGTAGGTTGATCCGTTTTTACAGCCTGGACCAGCGTAGAAAGCTCCATGGCGTGGACCACTTCCTGGCTTGACGGGAAATGGTTCCTGCTCTGTGAGCTTGGAAGTTTTTGCATCAATAGAAAAGATGCGAAGGAGATCCGAGCCTAGATCAGGGGCAACAACTGTGAAGATGTTAGTATTGTCTCGATGAGAGGTTGAGTTTAGCAAATTATCACGATGTTGGAAGATGATTTGGGAATTTCATTGATTTGACATAATTTGGCAAGTGTAGCAAAAGTACGCAGAAATGGGCTACTTACTGAACTTGTCATTAGGATCCAAAATTACTTCATGAGGATGAGGTTTCTCTTGACGTGCAGCAACAGGTCCGGGGCCCGCCTGCGTGAAAAAGAAGTTCCCAAGGCTTTCAAGTGCACCATCAGGCTTGACGCTGTAAGATCCGACAGCAGCACCTCCACTGCTCAAAGTTAGTTCAATTTCTTCTGACAAATTCGGGGTAATCACTTACTATAAAGCGACAGCTATTCCTTTTCCTTTGTTGTATAAGGTTGTGGCCACGGGTCCATTAGGAGTTTGATATTTTTGGAGAAGTTGTAAAGAGCCGTTCTTGGTGATACTGTAAGAAGCGATACTTCCATTTGGACCACTCCAGTTCTCATCTAGAGCATAAACAATCTTCTTGTCGGTACCCAATTCTAACCAAGATGGCTGGGGTCCAGGACCGTTTATAGATCCCAAGTCCTTGAGTGTATAACCAGTAGCCTTCTTGTCCCATGTGTCGATCGAGGAACTCTTTTCCAGCGCGTAACTAGTCAGAAGTCCACCGTATGAAGAAACGTGGATATTGACAGCAGCAGCCGAAGCTACCAGACCCGCCACTGGCAGAGTTCTTAATATGTCCAAATGCATGTTGGGGAAGAGGTTCTGGTCTATTATAGTGCGAATGCGAAAGCAAGCGAAAAGGGGTTGATAAACAGAAAGGTGAACGACGAGAGAAACGGGATGAGGAGAAGAGGGTTACGAGGCTTTTTAATTCGCCTTTTGTACCTCGGAAGGAATGTAGTAAAGGAGATGATAGCGTAATAAAGTTCACCTTGATGATGGGATGCCCAGAGGTGCCCAGCCCAGCGGTCCGGGAGATTTGGCACTGGCAGGTGTTAGTTTGCTAGGTCGGGGTCAGTCGGTCGGGACAGCACAAATAGAGTCAGTGAATAGGGTCTGCGGGTGGTAAGCAAGAGGCAGTCAGGGTCGCTTTGGCTGCAGGATAGCTTTGTTTAGGTGAGACTACGAGGCGAGATGTCAGCGTTTGAGCCCGTTGTAAGGGCGAGTTGGTGGCGGGGGAGGAGCCACTACCAAGGGAAAGTACGGGGTACGGGGGTACGAGATATTGGCGCAGCTGATCTAATGATCTCCTATATCTCCAAGAACCCAACCGGGCGGATGTAGACACCGAATAGGGAAACGAGCACGCCCGATTAATCAACGGCGATGCGGGCCCTCCCTTACTCCGTACACGTTATGCAGTCTAGTCGGAGAAAACGCAGCTGGTTGACATGGACATGTGCGGGGTTTTCTTGGAGCTTGCTTTGAGTTGCCGACGGATAAATTCAAATTGAGGGATTGTGATGGATGGAAGCTCGAGGATGCAAATTGCGAAATGCTTATGTTGTACCAGGATGAGGCCTTGGAGACCCTTGGCTTGGAGAGCAGCGGTGGAATATGCACTCTTAGTTTCCGAAACGCAGTGATGATGATGCGGCTAACCGGCCAGTCTAGAGTTGTGGCTTGTGAAGTTTGTGTTTTAGATCACGAAGATGTCGAAGAGGCGAGGACCTCGAAGAGGTTTAAATATTGTGGCTGGCCGTGAAGAATGATTGCGAAAACATCCACGGAAAAAGGGGGTCGCCTATGAATCATCCTGGAGGATTCAACAATCACGGACCACAGCTATCAACCACCTCATGTTATTTTATCCTTCACTGTTGGCACCCTCATCCATGGCCCTCTGTCTTCGCAAACCATCTGACAAACATCGTTGGTGGCGAACTTGTACTGTACAATAGTCATGTACTCGCCTCTCGCCTAAGATTTGAATGGATATCAAAAACACATGCAATAATCCTTGTGAGTCAATACGTTTGCATCCTGACAGCAATCACTAAATACCATTGCTTTGATACGAAAATCCGGATTCCCATGGTAATCTTTGCCATCCTGCAAGGGATCTCCAATAACATAATGATGAACCGGATCATCCAAGTAGCTGGTAGAGGAAGATTAAAACTTTGAGCAGTGTCACCACCGACACGCGCTCGCGTGGATAATGTTTTTATGAAATCTGTTAAATGGTAGCCAATAAGCTCATGTACGCACTAGCCCCAACCAAGTATCCCCTGCCTCCATAGCTATAAAAGGAAACTTCAACACCTACTTATCTTTAAAGTTAGGGTTATGAATGAAAGGTAGAAAGAAGGGGTTAGTGGTGAAAGCTAGGCTCAAGTTAGGATTAGAGCTGAAATTTAAGGTTAGTAAATTATAGCATGATTCATGGTTATTTTGTAATGTGAACACAGCTAAGTGCCTACATTTTGTGCCATATGTGGCGAAAATGTTAGCTACCATAAAATTGAGTCCATACGAAGGAATATTCAAAGGAAAAATCCCACGCCATGCCGGTCACTTCATCTGGCGCTTTGAAACATCGAGGCTGAGCGTTTCATACCAGCTTCCTCATGTTTGGTAGGCAATCACTCGAGCTCAAGTGAACGACAAAAAATCTATATCAGTATCGGTCTATCTTCTATACAACGATACCCATCCTACCGATCCGCAAGTTCAACCCCGTCGTCGTCGTCATCCTCTGTACCCTCCATCATGTAAGTTGTAGGATCGGTACGGCCCCTTGGTGGGCTTCTCAAAGCTTCTTCCTGGTTTCGCCCGATTCTTATTTTGCCTTTAGAGGCACGGTTCACTCTGTCGCTAACCCAGATGGCACTTCTCTTCAACAAAACCCAAAGCCGTTCCTGGCTCTCGACAATGTGTCTATCATCTCTGGGGTTCTCGCTGGCCTCAGCCTTGAATTGGTATTTTAAACAATCCTTCACTGTCACAAGACCACTGAGCTTTCCACGGTATTCAATAAGGATGACCCTGGGACCAATCTTGCGAAACACTTCCATGACCGTTTCAAGTGGCAAACGTGGATGAACCGTCACAGGCGTGGAATCAATAAAGCGACTGAAGTCCACCGCAGAGGATGATACGCCTTCGAAGCTAGTAGAACCTGCATGTGATTGAGTTGTTGGGTTGAGAGATGATGGAGTACTAAAAAAGCATTTCGCGCTGGGGTTGATAGCACGATCTTTCTTGACTCGATCGATAGCGTATCGCAATTCGGTATGCCCAATATATCCAACAAGCACTTTTGATGTCCGGCTTTCGACTATTGGGAAGCCCTGATATTTGTTTCCTTTCAGTAATATCTCAATGTGCTTCATCGTCAGGCCCGTCGTTGGTAGTGCCGTAACCTCGCTGGTCATGACTTGAGAAACCGGAACTCCAAAGGTATGTTCCTCTTTATTGTCCAAGAAAGGAAACCCATTGAACCAGATCATGCGATCTGCGATTCCTCCTTTTCCGAAGAGCTCGCTGACAGCTTTGGTGACACCAACCACAATCATTGTTGGCAAAATGTAGGTAAGAGCTCCTGTAAGTTCAAACATAATGACAACCACAGAAACTGTGATATGCATGATGCCGCTCAAGGCTGCAGCTGCCCCTAAGAAAGCGTACGTTCCTGGTGTAATACAAGGGACATCTGGCGCACACGCCGAGAAAAATACAGATGTCGGATATGCTTCATGAAGTGCCTGGACCAAAATGCCGACGGTCCTTCCAAATGTAGCTCCAATTGCCATTGAAGGCACGAAAATACCAGCCGGGACTTTGCAACCGTATGAGATGATGACGAGAAACATGCGCAGAACCGTTGCAATGGTCAACGAGAATACCATTCTCCATCGATTTTCTTTATCGCAAATTCCATTGTAATCCTCGCCTCCTTCACATTCTAGAAACAGTATTTCCATGCTCTCTGTCATATCTATTCTCAGGAACATATTTGGGTAGCACACAATAGCGGTTCCCGTTGCTAGCAAAGTAGCCTCGAGAAAAGCGTATTCCGTGAGGTACTTCTTCCGAAATGCTTGCGCTCTCAGATTCCACTTGATCATAAAAGCTCCATAAAGCCCACCAAATATACCAATAATGATGTAGAAGGCGACTTCGAAGAAGTGCCATGATCTATCATAGCGAACCGTAAACATGACCAGCTGACCTGTACGAAAGGGGTTCATCATGGCTAGAACAGCTGTTGCAACTAGAGCGCAGAAATAACTCCTCCACATCGTCTTGAGAGGAAAGTAAGAGGACATCTCTTCGAGAGAGAACAGTACCCCTCCTATAGGGCTACCGAAAGCCACCGCTACACCTGCTGCCGCGCAAGCACTCAATATCTCTCGAGTCTTTGCCGCATTTCTCTTGTACTTGTCGAAAAGTCTCGAAATAACGTTTCCAGTGCACACTGCGTAATGTACACTTGGCCCTTCTTTTCCAACGGATAGCCCTGACGCAATCGCAAGTGGCAAGGCCACGGACTTTATGACCAATGTCGTAAAACCAAGAAACCCTTTCATGACGAACCCCGCTATAATACACTTGATCTCTGAAATGCCAGATCCGGCGGCGTATGGTGCAAATAGCTTGACCAAACTGGCAGATGTAAGAGCGAAAATTGTCTAGAATAGTTAGCAAGATTTTGATGATATTCCAAGATATACTAACAGCAAACATAATATACAAGACATAGTTGATGGGGCCCAAAGAGCTCCAGCGATGCCAGTTCTCACAGCTGTCCTCCCCCCAGCAACAGAAATTCTCATTGAGATAGAACGCCGTATCGCAGTAACCCAATTTTATGTCCGAAAGCCATTCCGTGATGATATTCAAAAACGCCGCATTCATGCCAATCGCCACGCCTGTCCAGTATTAGCATCCAACGATTGACTGATGACAATAATCGCATACCTATCAAAGTAACCACAATCCAAGCTTGCGCCGCATCATAAGATTCCCAAAATTTGTAACGCCATCCCGCATGCCCACCTCGTTCGAAAAACCCGGCAGTCTCTTTCCGCCGGACTTTCCTCTGTATTTGTTCCTTCGCAGCATCTTGTACCCAATCTACTCGTTGTCAACACCTCTCCATCTATCAGTTTTGCGCCAGACGTACCTATAGTCGTAAAATCCTATCTGCCATTAGAAATTGTACCTCATAGCTGACTTTGCATTGTAAGACACAACGTACCTCATAACGTTTGATTTCATCAATCTCTTCGTCTATCTGAACTTCCGCATTCGTCGGCCCAGAAGCTCCGCCTTGTTCAGCATTGGAGATGGCATGGGATATTCTAGAGCTCACAGAGGAGCCGCGTCGGTACAGGCCAGGAGTGGGCACATTGAAAGAAGATGATCGGGAGGTCATGACCCTTTGCACATTGTTGGAGGCGCAGTCTGATCTCGTCAAGTGTCTCTTAAAGATCCCTGTTCCAGAAGGTTGTCGGAAGGAGATGAGGCTAAGCCGATAAGCTATATGCACGTGATTTGTCTCAAAACGAGACAATGGAAACTGATGGGATTGACGGGAGATTCAGATGATTCTCAGGAAACCTTGTTCTCAGGCAAGATTAACATGCAATAGGTACAGCTGCCTGTATTGATAGCAAAAAGGGGGATGTTTCTCTGTTGAAAAGTATTCCCAGCAGCAGGGCAAGCATGTTCCTTTGAACCTTCCCATTTGAGTCCCAGCTCAGCTTTTTATCGGGGCGGAACAAACCCATAACTAAACTGTTTTATGTAACTTATATGAAATTTACTTCCATTTATTCAATGAATCGAATAAGCAGCCTCTTTCACAACCATGGCTATCCTTACAGTACAGATGGCCTAGTGTTAAAACACAAGTGTTCTAGCTAAAGAAACCAGTTCACCTAATTTACCTGGCGCTCCCATCCTGACACGTGGGAGCTAGACGTTTTGCTGTTTTTTGATTAGTATTACAGCTCTCATGCTCAATTTACGTTTACTTTTCCTTTGGTCAAACACCAGGACTGGAGCATGGAGCCTGGAGCATTGAGTGATACGCATTTGAGGCATTCAATTGGCTGGCACAATTTGTAATATCTTTATCCTAGCTGCCAACCACTTGCTCCTTTCCAACGTAACTCCAATTACTCACATATGCACTGAACCCCTCTTCCCTGCCATTTGATGTAGCGTAGGCGCCTAAAAGAGCACCTTTATTTACTGTCAGCAACAATTCTGCCCAATAATCTTCATCACTGCAAGTAAACAAAAACCTAGAAATGTTAACATACCAGTGAAACCCCACGTCAAACCCAAGCCATTACCCCATCCAATAACAATTCTCTCTGCTTCATTTCCAACTGGCGCTGCACTCAATGCATAGTGAGTGAGATTACTTGCTGTGATCCCCAGCGAAAGTTTTTGGCCTCTCCAATCTTGAGGAACACGTACAACTGCCAAAGTAGGGGATGCAAAAGTCGGGACCGTAGTGATACCACGGACTCGAAAATGAGGAACCAACTCTGAAGAGTTTGCAGTCGAATTTGAAAGCAGCACTATCCCAAGGTCATAGTGATGAAGCTTCAAGACAGATTAGCGAGATGAATAGCGAGGAAGAAGTAAACAAGAAAGGGGCGACCTACCTGATCTAAAAACACACTTACACCAGCTTCCTGCTCCTCATTCTTCATCTCATCGATATCAAAATCAACCTTGAAATCAAAATAGGAATGCACTTGCCGTCTAGCCAGAAAAGTCTGACCTTCCTTTTCCGCGCTCCTGCCATCGCTACCCGTCAAGTTGCTTTTACTCGAAATCAACTGAACCGAATTCTCATGCCCCTCTTTTGAGACTCCATAATTTCCCTCAACAGGAAACCTGAAATAAACAAACTCCGGTCCAAGCACATATCCATTTTCAAAACATGAGAAGAAATCCGCATCCACCACCAGTCCCATACCTTGCTCAACAACACTTTCAGAATCAAACTCCCAACCCGACATCGTCCCAAACACCTTACCAAAGACCTGCCACTCATTCTCCTCCCACGAAACAGGCGTCAAAATCGTCTCTCTTCCCATCGGATAACTGCCATCCGGTCCAAACCTCACACTCAAAGCCACAGCCCACCACTCCCCCCTCCGATCCTGGAACAAATCCGCATGTCCAATATTCTGAAAATAAGCCTGCGGCCCTCCATTCGTCAAAACAGGGTTATGTTCATACCCCTCATACGGACCAAGTAAACTCCTCGCTCTGGCCATCGTAACCATATGTCCGGCCCCGGTACCCCCCTCCGCAATCAACAAATAATACCACCCATCCTTCTTATAAACATGCGGACCTTCTGGTGCCGAGCCCCCTGTCCCATTCCAAAGACTCCTCGCCTCCCCCATTTCCCCAGTCCCAAGATCCAATTCAAAGATCTGAATTCCCTGCTGAACCTGCCACGCATACGTCCCCACAACAAAGAGCCTTCCATTCTCCTCCCAGTAGGGACTAACATCATACCCGGGGAACCCAAAATGGGTCGGTACCCCCCAAGAACTATCATCAAAAGGATCCCTACTCCTAAAAACCAAACAATCAAACCTGCCCCCATCCTCTTTCGGCAAATCATCAAAAACCATCGTCGTAAACACATAAAACACATCCTCATCCTCTCGGTACCTGATAGTGGACGCCCAGATCCCGCTGGTAGCTCGCTTGGTCGTGCCCAGAGCGGGGAGCTGTTCAGGACGGTTAAGCGCATTGCTGACGAGTTGGAAGGTTTGCAGGTCGTGACTTGCGTGGATGGGGATCCCCGGGAAGACCAGGAAACTGGATGAGGCGCAGAAGTAGGTGTTGTTCTTGGAGGGGACGAAGATGCAACTTGGGTCTGGGTGAAACCCGGGGAGAATGGGGTTTTGGTATGTGGAGTTTTTGGCGAGGACTTGGATGATGATGGTGAGAAGAGTGATGAGAATATGGAGAATCATCTTGCGAGATGGCTTTTTAGTGAGATGAATTGGGTTGGTTGGTGATTTTGGGCTTGCTGGTGGGGTATTATGGGTGATGGAAATTTAGCCTGAATATGAACTCGTAGTGCCTTGCGACGGAAGAACTAGAAATTGATAGATACTCCACTTTAGAATCAAAGATTGCTTCATGCGGAATTTACAATAAATGGAGTGAATTTGGCGTAAGAGAAAGTTATCAATTCTGTTGATGTACTGTCTCGCTTCGTCTAATCAATTCATCTGACTGCGAAGATGAATGAAAACATAAACCAGTTCAACCCTCGAAAGAACAGAATAAGTGAGCATCTTGATTCAACAGAACCATGTGTAAATGGTTGTTATAAACCTATAATCCACTTCTAGGGAGAATCGAATCGTTGAAAATGGATATATGGAGTTTCTTCTAATTGCCGTTAGAATCATACAAAGCGGTCTTTTCAACACAAGTAATATCCCTAATTCTTAACCGCTTGACCCAAATATGAACACAGCAAATCCATACAGCGCATCTCAACTACAAATAAAAGCCTAAGCATACTTCCTCAAGAGACGGGACTCTTCAATGCTAAAGCAGTCCTCTCCTCCAGCGACAACGGAATTTCTGTGGAGCCCTTCCGAAACATCTTCCCCGGTGCAACCATCGGAAGACCCAATTCTTCAAGTCTACGATAACGGCCATTCCATTTCACATGCAGTCTCAGTAAAGCGGGATCGGTTCCTTTGCCTTTCCCAGCTACTTCTTTCATTGGTAGCTCAATATCATCTACTCAAACATTAGCTCAAGTTACAATAACAATCATAGGCTCCAATCTTACCATCAAAGTCATAAAGCAGGCTCTTCTGGAGGAAATTCGCCTCAACGCCTGGAATGAGAGAGAAGTTACACCTCGTGCGAGCAATCATATTATCAGCACCAGCCATACGATCATGAATCTCGACATCAATGAATCTTGACTGGGGCACAAGCTGTACTTTGAAGGTCTTGTTCCAGATAGGATTGTTTGTTTTTTGCGAAACTTCTGTTTTAAACTCAGTGACTCTAGCTGAGCCACCAACTCGATTTGGACCATAGTAAACGACTTTCGCAATACACTTTGGGATCCTAAAGCTTGACTTTGGCAGATTTGCAGCAGCAACGACTGTAAATTCAATCATATCTTTCTTGTCGTTGCCTGTGAGGACTTCTTCGGACTCCGCCCATCGCTTCAACACTTCGAGGGCGTCCCTTTGGATGTTGGGTCGCAGACGATGCCAGTCTCGACATGCAAACAAAGCCTCGTCGACCTCGCTCCACCCTGTTAGTTGTTTTTCTATCCATGCAACCCTAGATGGCATCATACTCTCTGCCCATGATCGCTCAAGACTGTCCCTCGGGCGAGTGATGTAAGTCCGCCCCGGAAAATTTATGGCCAACGCCTCAAGAAATCCCATAATATAAGTGAGGAGTTGATAATAGCTCTTCTGAACCAAGGAAAACTCTCTACTAGGCCATTCCAAACCAGGATTAACAGTTTCAAGTGTGCTAATTTCAAATTCCAGCTGATCTATGTCTGAAAATCTTTCAACACTGGATAGCAAAGTGTGACCGGAAGTTTGGTTCTCCAATAGTGTAAACTTCTCCAATGCAGCCGATATTACTTTCAGTGCTTCCATGGCTTCGGAAATCACTTTCAATCCGGGTTCGGTACTTTTATGCTTGAAAGATGTTCTGAACAAACTGGTCAATCTCTCGACTGCTTCTTTGCATCTTGGTGCGGTTTCGTATGCCATGACTGTGAAAGAATCACTTTCCATCATGGTGAAGATATCTTTTCGACCTCGGTAGGCATCTCGGTGTTCTTTTGGGAGCCATGCTAGAGGGTCGGACTTTTCCTCCGGCTTATTCTGCGATCGAAACGTCCTAATATTTTCTTCAATCCCTATCGCCTTTTGTATATAGCTTGTGAATTCGGCATCATCAATAACATCTTCTCCACCTGCACCATCAAAAGTGTATGGTGGTGGATCTGCTTTGGGTGCCGCAGGTCCCTCGGAGGAGTCTTCAAGCGATAAGAACTGTGTAGATTCTTCAAGATCCTGTACTTTTACATCGACAACTGCTTTTGCTGATCCTGGGACATAATCTGGAAGGTCTTCATCTGGTGGTGGTGCAGGAGGGGCTTGAGGTTCGTTCTCGCGATCTTCTTTTCGATCTTTGAACCACATATTGATGAAGAAGAATTCTTCCTGTAGAATATCTTTGGATAGACCGTGCATTTGCAGCTCCAAGAAAGTCCAGTCAGATGCGACTGATGTTTGCGTTTCAGGAGAATCATTTCCGTGAATTTCTTCCAAAGCATTCCATATTTTATACTGTCGGTCTCTGAGGTGGCGATATTGTTAGCCATGTTAATGGACTAAATTGCTCCATGAGAGAGTATCAGAACTTCGTGTGGAATATGAAAGCCACCTCAACTGAGAACATAGCGAAATTACAGTAAAGAAACTCATAATATATAGGTCCGTACATGCTACTTCATGTAATGTTATCCTGCGCCGCGGCCAACGACATCACACCATTTGATTTGGAGTCAACCATGACACGGAGATATCACCGAATGCTTTGAGTAGTCGACGAAGGAGGGGAGCAAATATAGAAGGAGAGAAAACAAGGATTCTACATACCGTCGAATGAGTGCAATAAATGCATTCAGCTGATCGTTAGGATCAAGTTCCTTTTCCACGATTGGAGAGAATCCATCTTGGCTATTCCCTTGTTTAAGATCATCAAGTTCAGCCTCCAGGTCCCCAAAGAGTCCGTTAAGCCAGATCCCAATTTCAACGAGTGTCTTTTTATTTTCTGCCGAGATCTCTCCTTTCTCTCTGTGGTCTTCGATGACATGCAAAGCGCCAATGATTGCCAGAATCTGAGCGCAAGTTGGCTTCAACTCGTCTGTTGCTTTTGACAGTATTCTATGATTCTACTTGACGTTAGATTATGATGGGAAGGGGGCACGATTCGCACGAAATCTCATACCGTCCATGCTCTTGATGTGAGGTCGTGTAGTAGACGAACGCTTCTATCCCCTCCTCGGCTCGAACTAGATGCCGTTATAGGGCTACCCACGTTCGGTTTTGGCGGAGGAGGCATGGTTGCACTAAATCACTATAAGATGGAATTTGGTTTTGGTTTCAGAGATGGTTTATTTCAATATACGGGGCACTTGGTAGGATATATCTGCCTCTTTTTTGTAAGTATAGGTCAAGGTGAGGCACAGGTCTTACGTACCTGCCGAGCCACCCCTAGGATGCAACCCCAGTTATATTTGTCGTAAGTGGCGCTTCACTATACGGACTGAGCGTCAACAAATCAAGAGGATCCAATTGTGAGTAAGAGGCACTTCGCTAGTCGAACCTGCCGATATCACCAAGGGAACTGGAGGTGAGGGTGAGGGACACTCATAAGGTTACCGAAAAGTGGGTCCCGGCGCCGAACTTACCACCCACCCCCGATTCGTCTTTGAACCTCGCGTCCTCCAAAACGCGCTCCCCTCGTTGGACTTCTGGCAATCATCTTCCAAAACCACACCAACACTCTCAGCCTCGAGGTACGTGTAATTTCCATCTACATCTCATATATTCATGTCCATTGGGCAAGAGGAGTAGTCTCCTAGGGTCGAGAGAGGAGGGTAGTGCCATCCATCAGCTCTTCTGTACCTAGTATCAAAATACTTTATGCCCAAGGATCAGAACCCAGGTTGGCTTCTGATGTATCTTTACTGAAAGTCATCCTTTCAATTACACCTCTCATGAATTCACATCTGTCTTCATCGTTTTCAACTTTGAACAGAAAGTAACGGCGGACTTTTCAAATCTTTCACGGACCTCTCCTGCTTGGGAGCTGGGCCACCTCACCTGGTTGGGCTTCAACCTTGCGTCACATTTTTATATTCTTACTTATGATGCGGCTCTTGTCATCGTTGGAAACCCTTCATCATACAGCTACAAAAACCATTCCATTCGTAGAACTTCTCGCTAACCTCACCCCAGACTCTCAAGTGTTGACTTTTCCAAATCACTCCCCTTTTCACACCGCTTGGCACCCCAGTCTACTGGACACCCAGCAAACCCATCCCAGTCCGAACCATAACATCACCATGCCTCCCAACAACGCCCCAATTCCTCCACGTAGGGAACCAACAGGCTCTCCTCATCTTCCGTGTAAGTAAAATGAATTATCTCGTGGTAAACATCTCGCTAAACTCACCACAGTATCACGAATCAAAAAGATGATTATGGCTGATACAGAGATCCATATCTGTGCAGCGAGTGCAGCTTTTACCATCGCAATAGCAACCGTGAGTTTTCCGTAGTCTGCATTCAGGTTCTTCAACATATTTAACATTCATGCAGGAAATGTTCATACAATACATGGCCGAACAGGGTCACAACGTTGTAAAATCCGAGAAGAAACCCCGCCGTAACATCCAATACCGAGATCTCGGTACGTACCTATTCTCTGAAATCGCCATTAGCCCTTTTGCCTGTATTTTACAGTCCCATACAGCCAACTCCTACCATCTGCACTCATTTCCAATTCGTGATCTTTGCCACTCTTCCCGTCCCCCCTCCCCTTCCTAACTGTCCCCTTGTACCTCTCTTGTACACACCTCAACCCCCAACCCACCAAATAATCATACCCACCCCATCTAACCNTTTGCCACTCTTCCCGTCCCCCCTCCCCTTCCTAACTGTCCCCTTGTACCTCTCTTGTACACACCTCAACCCCCAACCCACCAAATAATCATACCCACCCCATCTAACCCTCCCCCCAGCAAACGCAGTCTCCCGCCTCGACAACCTCGAATTCCTCAACGACATCGTCCCCAAAACAATCCCCTACAAAGAAATCAAAGCCAAATCCAGCAAAGACACCACCACCAAAGCCCCCTCAGGCACCCCCGGAGCCGGAATCGTAGATGTGCAATCGGGCCCCACACAAGGAACACTTGACAAGCTTATCGGCTCGAATGGTACAGGAACAACAGCTCCGCAAAATGGCAATGGTCCTATTGTAGGTGGCGGTAGTGGTGGATTCTCGGCTATCAACGCAAGTGCGAACGGGCATGGGAATGGAACTGGCAAGGCTAGGGAGGAGGAGGAGAGAGAGGATGATCCGAATATGCAGTTGGCGATGGAGAGTCGGCGGAGGGAGAGTGTTAATGGTGGGGGTGCTGGGGGCCAGGATGTGGAGATGAGTTAGGGTAGGGTAGTTGTTTCTTGCTTGCTTCTACAAACTGACAGACAAGAGTTGATCCTTCCAGCCGTAAATTAGGGGACTGGATGAGTGTATCTCCGAATGAAGAATTTGTACTCTCCAATGCAAACAAGAAGTAATTCTATTCACATACAAACTTATGCATTCTCATATTCATCCCTCCTCACAGTAAAAGCAGAAGCCAAAGCCCAGCAAATTCTCTAAACGCCACAACTTTTCAATGAACCATGCCAAAGTAATGCCATTAATATGCCTACTTCCTTCACGGAGAGAGGAAAGAAACCCTCTTGAAAAATCTCCATGTCCCCTTACTCCCCCATAGCATCACCCTCATATCCCTGCGCCGCAGCCGGAACCCTACCCTCGTTCAACTCCTTCTCCAGCCGTTGAATATCCTGTAAACTCTTCGCATTCCGAATCAACTCCTCTACCTTCTTCCGCTCCTTATCCGTAAGTTTGACACGGTAGTTCTTGTTTGTTTGGGCGGCTGCGATGCCATTTGCGGATGGGGTATCGAAGGTACGTGATTTGACGCCCATAGTCTGGTTTCTGTTACTTTGGTTTCTTGAAAAGAAAATAGGGTATAGGAAGAGGGAAGACAAACCCTCGAAGCTAGTTCCGTAGGCTCCTCGACTGTCCCGAATAATTCCTTAGCCCGATTTCTCTCCTCGTCCTTGACTTTCTTGTAATCTAGAAATCGAACCGTAGGACATCTCCAAATGACCCAACTTCGATAATGCTACAACCAATTAGCAAGAGCCCAAACCCCCCAGTATCTCCTGCATCTCCCTCTACCATTCCCTCCTCTAAGTCCTCTTCCCCCTTTACACAACCAGCAAAAAGTAGACTCACATCCTTCCTCGTAACCGGATTCTCACTAAGCACCAAATGCACCAACCCCCTACAAGCCCCCAACCCATCCAAATCCGCGAGCTCCTTAAAATCATTCGCCGTAAGCACCAGCATACTAAGATTCGGCACCGACTGCGCAAGCGTAGCCTGGATGCCGCTCACGCGGTTGCGGGCCAGCAGGAGGGTTCGTAGTCGCGGGGAGAGGGGGAAGCCGCCGAGGAATTGGATATCGTTGTCTGTGAAATCGATTGCATCGTGTGGCTAAGGACATTTACGGTCAGTAATTGGACTAGAAAGCAGAGGAAAGTAAAGAAAAGGAAACACATACCCCAGCAACACCCAGATTCTCAATCGCCGGTATCTTATGACCTACAACCTCCCCAAAAAGAGAATATGAATATCAACCAATTTTCCCAGAAATCAAATCATCGCACCACCCCATTGCCTCCCTCCAACAACAAAATGGGGGGTTTCCACAAAACACAGGCAAGATAGATGGGTAGAAGCAAAGAAACAAGTGTAGTATATCAGTTCTTTTCAGTTCTTAATAAAAATATGTCCACGAACCTCGGAGATCCAGTTCGCGCTCCTTGAGCGGATTGAGGTACGAGAGGGAGTTCTGGATGAGCTCCGCTGTGAGTCTCATGTTTGCGGTCGGACGATCGTTTGCTCTTTGGGTATTGTGTTGTGTTCGAGTGGTGTGTGTTGTTGAGAGGGGAAATACTGTACTTGATAAAATGTTGATGAAGCTTTATGACGAGGCTGAGGGTTTGGGCTTGAGGCTTTCTTTCCCCTCGCTCGCAAGGTTGACGGCGCGCTAGTCCGGATTGGGTCACAAGGCACGAGTTCATTGGTTGAATATCACTTTCCCACGAACAGTATGTAGGAAACCCTTGTCTTTATTCACTTATTGAACTTTTATCAGATGGATATAATAAGACCGAGAAACTTAAAAATCAGGGAATGATTATCATGATATATTCCTCAGTCTCTCCTCAAAAGAACTTGGTATCTAACCAACCAAATCCTAATCATAATCTCGTACTACAGTTGGAATCTAAAGCCTCTCCCCGACTATGTCAGTCTACCTAACTCTAAACCCAACGCCTTCCCATATATTCTCTCACACAAACGCCCTAAAGTCCTTCAAATCCCAGCTCTTTGGCTCTCATTCCTCATTGAAATACAAAAACAACCCCCGACCGATCCACCGAGATCAACATCCCATATGGAGATTCCAACAACGCCACATCAAGAATAGAATCCAGATGAGACTTCAACAACTGCTGTTGCTGAAGAGATATGACCGTTGATCTCGGCGGTTTTACAGCCGTAGATTTACTAGATATCGATGCTCGAGAACCCGCTCCAGCATTGGGAGCTGTAGGATTTGGACGACCTGCAGACTCGGTATTCAGAATCAGAGAAGCGGTAGGATGAGCGGACAAGAATGTTGGAGTCTTCTCCTCTGCCTCAAGTCCACTAACGACCATCGAGTTCTCCACCCGATTGATGTCCCAGAATCTCAACTTCTTATCGGATCCCCCGGTGATGATAAATCCATACTTTGAGTCCCGGCTGCCATCATGGTTGTCGGTTCCAGTAATCATTGCACGAACCCCACGATCGGAGGTACTTCCTCCTTTGGGTTCCAGAGCTTTTGCAAATCGTCCCAACATGCCTTCTGGACGATCTTCATCAACTACCCAAGGTTCGTAGGCCCTTGGGCTATGTCGACTGCCAACTGTACGGTACACTTCTCTGCACTGTGTCTTTTCAATATCCCATACAGTAACCTCACCATCACCACTTCCACCGGCGACGCATACCCATTTTCCTCGTCCTTTGGTGGGATGTATAGACATGCGGTAAATAGGCGTATATGGAATAGACGCATCATCCCTATTGCCGATCCCCCAAGCCTTGAGTCTGAGTTTGAATCGTAAGTCCCACAGGTCTAATATTCCATGCGAGGTCCCAAGTAACAGCCACTGACGTTTCTTGTCGACCACAAAGCAGGTAGGAGCGCCATGATGAACCGGATTCTCAAGTATGTAGAGCACATTCATTGCACGTAAATCAATAGCGATAATTCGTGACAGATTAGTCGCAATGATTAACGTTGAGCTTGTCTCCGCTTTGAAATGTGTGGCCCAGACAGCCATTTCATCCTTTGGAAGTTGATATTGTCGCAACAGCCGCAGTTTACTGTAGCGCATTGAATTGCTGTTCAATATACAATCAACTTTAACCACGTTAATAGTACCATCACTTGCGCAGCTGATGAATGAGTAGGCATTCTCGACGAAGCACAAAGCGGTGATCCTAGTTCCAGCAGCATGTTTGTGGGTTTGCCTGGATCGGTGAGTTATGTTGCGCTCAAGTCTTGCAGTATCCCAAACCTTCACACATCCATCATCACCCCCAGTCAAAAAGAATACATGATCGGGTGCAATGGCGATATGATTTATCGCGCCATTGTGCTCTGAGAAAGTTGCAACGAGTATACCTTCAGGCTTCCAGGGCTGACTGACCGGTAGGGTAGTACTCCTCCTGATGTTCTTTGGTCTGCTAGAGGACGTAATCATTGGGCCGAAAGCAGCAACATCGATTGGGTAGTTTTCCATATACATTGTCTCCAGCATCTTTAATATGCTAGGATCATTTCCTGTATATGTGTGCGCGCCTCGGTATTTGATCTCATCGCTAGCCTGTACTTCAAAGTCTTTTGCTAAAGCCGATGAAGGGCCTGCCACAGCATTTGAGAATGGCCCTTCAACTTTGCCAAAGACGGTTGCTGAGGTAGTACCAGTCTCTGGTGATGACTTTGAACCGCCTTTTGCACCAATGAGATTCATAGCACTGCCTCTATGCTTGATTACATGATGGTGTTCTCTGGAGTTGAAGCTCGCCAATGTGACTTCATCATCACTCTTGCCATTCTGCGCAGTGGAGGCATTGGATACCTTACGGGAGCCAGGGGTAGCACTTGAACTGCCAGGGTCTAGAGGGGATGTGTGAGATGACGCGGTGGTGGGCGATCCAGAATCGTGTCCATTTGATATCATTGGAGATCGCATTCCTGCACTTAGTCGAGCTTGATGGCTGTTGAACGCCGATCGTCGTCGTATAGCAATCGGGTCATCGATCGTCATAGAAGCATCGAGTAAAGCGTCCTTAATAGTATGTGGTCGATTGCTTTCACTCGATAGTCTCGCGTCCTGCTGGCCTATTTCCTCTTCTCTAGCCTTTTCATCAAACATAACGGTTTGTGGCGTAATGCCAAAATTGCTGTGAAGGCTGATAATATTGTTGAGATATGAAGGATGTGAAGGGGAGGATTCGCGAGGCTTAGATACTGCAATGCGCCATATGTACTCACGCAGGCATACCAGCTTTATTTCGTCCTCCGGGCCCATACCCATATTTCTAAGTTTCGAGAGCCACTGCTCATCCTCTTCATTCTTAGGAATCTTTTGTAGAGCGTGCTGGCCGAGGTCCTTTCCAAACGTTGTCGGAATCTTGCCAGCGGAATCGAATGTAAAGGTACGTAATTTGTGTACCTGTTTCCAAAAGATGCCCCGATCCACTTTCAAAGCCCAGTTGATCGAGAGATCCAGTAGAGGGCGCGTAAAAGGCTTCTTCAAGTTGTCAAGAATGTCCAGCTCAGAAAACTCATTGATTGAGGTCTTCAGGTAAGGCCTGATCAATGGCAAAATAATACACTGGTTATCCGCTACAGACAAAAACTTGGTTGCGGCATAAATGAATCTAGCTGCAGCTTCACGAATCCATATATTAGGATGCATCGTGAATCGTGCAACAACATCTACCAACTCCCAAGTCTTGGAACGCGAGAAGAGACCAAGTTCGGCCATACTAGCAAACGATTGTAAAACACTCTGGACTACGAACTCCTCCGGATCAGTCAGAGCTTGCACCATCAACGGCAGCATGAACTCTTCGAGGCTGGTGCCACCAAGAAAAGTAGCAACTCCAACAATAGTCTCGAAGAAGGCACATTTGAGAGTCCAATTCCGGTCATTGAGGTACGTATTCAGATGAGTTAGGATAATATCATTGGAGTCTGCTGTTCCGAAAAACATGCACAATTCAGGAACAGATCCAAGGAAGGCTCGTTTGACGGCGGTATCAGGATCTGTAATTAATGACTTTGTGTGCATCTCAAATTCAAGAATCAGGAGTGCCCGAGTGTTGTCAAATGATCCTTCAAAAACAGGTTCTCCGCTAATGGCATCCTCTGTTTCCATTTCTGCTGAGGGAAGAGACCCATCCGCCCTCAAGGTCGCCATCATGTCAAGATACCGAGAGGCAGTTGTGGCAAGACTACCCAAACATGCTGCATAGGTTGCCCGAACTAGAGGCTGGGGATTCTCCTTCGCTTCTGGAAGAAATCTTTTCATCCGTGGGAGGATGTAATTTATGAGGATCTCGGAATTCAGAGGAGAGACCACATTTACCAGCGCCAAAAGCTGTGTTGTGGAACGAATTGCAGCAATCTTCACCATATCCGATTCGTCATTGAGTAACAACACAAGATGAGGAAGGATTCTGTCAAGTTTTGCCTCATCGGTCATTCGCGCGGCAAAAGCAAGGAGAAGATCACATCCCCGGATTTTGGCTGTCGCCCGAGCAGTATTTCGAAGGGACGACGTAACCAAAGAGAGGAATATTGGTGTGCCATCCTCAGCTGGTTTCTTTCCAGTAAAACTTGTAAGTTGGCGTTCGTTATTTGGGATGTTGAGATGAAGAGGGAACAGGGCGAGACCATTACCCGAGGAAGGGGGCTTCTGTTTCTCTAGAATTTCTGGTTCATAACCCAGGGCGTATGATATCTTATCAAAGTCATAATAAACCCGGTCTATGCGCTCATCAGGTTCTCCCAGATTTGCAGTCGCTCCGGATATTGGATTCCTGCCAGATGACGGATCTGTAACCAGACCCATATACTGGTGGAGGAAGCTGTAGAAATATTCCGGAAACACCTTGTTCTTATAAAAATCCAAATATTCATCAGCCGAGTACCTCTTTTCAGGGTCAACTTGGATCATGTGTGTAATCATAGCTCGAACTTCCTTGTCTGCAATTCGACTGAGTTGCGTCATGACAAAATCGACATCTCCTCTTTGGTACTTGAATAATCCTTCCAGAGTAAGGACGGCCCCTTCAAGAAATAACTCTGCCATTACACATCCTGCACTGAATATATCCATCGCCCAATTCACATCTGCCTCGGGATTCGCTACTTCTCCAGATGCAACAAATCGTTCCGGTGCCGTGTAACATGGCTGTGTCTGAGGACCTCTTTTCATTGATGTAGCAAAAAAGTAATGGTATTCGGCCGGATTGTCTGATGGCATGAACGTAGGTTTGAACGACGACGAAAAGTCCGAGAGGTATACCCAGTTCCATGAGGTAACCAATATATTCTCCGTCTTGATATCTCCATGAAAGACGTCTCGCATATGGCAATCGCGCAGAGCACAGAGAAGCTGGAATGAAATCCATTTCTTTTCAATATCCTCTAGGAATGGTCGAGTACTTATGCGATCGTAGAGGGAGCTGTGTAGGAACTGGCGAACAAGATACCCATTCGTTTCAGTCTCGACGATTCGTTGGTAGGCAAGGGCGTTGGGCACATCAGCCAGGGCTTTCCTTTCCTCTGCCACATAATTAGTATGATGATAGCATGGAGGGAAATTGGAGGTTATACATACGTATGATCCGGTTCCTATACTTTTCCAGTCGCATCTGATATGGCTTGACCATAACCTTGACGAGTACTACTCCATCCCGATGGCGTGCACGAATACTCTTCATAAACCGCGCATTTCCCATAGATTTTTCATATACCAAATCGTTCAGATCCTGTACATCTATTCCCGCAGACCCAGCGGCGAGAGCTGTTAAAGAGAAGCCTTGTCCCATGTTGGCGGATGTCGGGTCGGCCTTGAGGTCACCTAGAGAAAACCATTTATGTTGAGACTCCGGGGCAGCTAAGGACAAGCTTAAATGTCCTCAAGCTGCGGGGTTGATTTGGAAGGCTCGTAGTATTTCCAGTGAATCGTGTAGTCTTGTGGTTGTAAGTGAATGTTCTGATGAGGATGGCAGAAAGGCGGAGGAGCTCCCGCTGTGCAGCCTTGTTCTAAGGCGGTAGGGCCAGTAGCTTCTGTACCTGTCACTTGTACCTAGTTTCTTCTAGGACTTTTCAACCACTGAATGGAATCACAAAGATCTAGAAAAATCTTAGAAACACTTCCATAATTTTTCATGATACCTCTAGTGGGTTTAATGTTTTCAACTTATTTGATTGTTGTATATACTTAAATGGGCAAGGTACTCGAGTACCAAGGTACGGATATCTACGATACTCGTACCAAATGACCCACATCTACTCATAAATTCACCAGGTTTCACCAGATAGATAAACAAACCATTCACACATCAAATCAAACTTCACAATGACCTGATTCAAAATGATTCACTTACAGCACTTCTTCTGATTGAAAACCTTTTTGGTCGTTGTTATCATACAATCATCTGCATCTATCTCATCTCTCTCATCACCAGAACAGACTGCCATCCGCAACTCCCAGTCCCACTCAAGAACCACCTTCCACCAAATACTCCCCAACCATCAAACCCTCCCTACGCCTTCCCCTTCCTCTTCAACTCAGCCTCCTCCTCAGCCTGAAGCTGCGCATCAATCTCCGCGCCCCTCGAAGGTTTATTGCCATGCAACTTAGCCTACAACCATCATTAGCACCAACCCCTCCACCATAGGAAAAGAGAAATAGAAACTCACAGGAAGCGTAGGATCCTGCTTCAAAACCTTAACCTCTTCACTCTCAGGTGTATCCTCCTTCTCCCTCTGTTCCTCGTCTTTAGCTCTGTTGGCGAGAGATCTTTGGTCCACTGTGTATATCGTCAGCACATCATCCACATCTTGATTCATCCCTCAAACCCTCTACCCAACACTCCAATCACCACTATCAACCGAGAGGGAAAGGAAAGAAAGAAAAGAAAACATACAAGGATCATTAAGTTTATGAGCATTCTTTTGTCCCTCATGAAATCTCTTCTGCTCCTCCTCCTCCTTCCTCGACGAGGTCCGCTGGTCCTTAGCTTCATACACGCTCGCCTGTCCAACGCTAGAATTTCCGCTCATGATGACGATTTGCTTTATCCTTCCTTAGAAATCCAAAGTATCAAGAGTATTCGTGTATTTGATTGTAATTTCAAGAATAACAGTATCAGAGAACGTTGATGGTGTGTCTGTGGTAAAAAAAGGCGTTCGTTCACTCTCTTATGAGGAGAGACCTGATTCCCAAATTTATATCCTACGTCATAGTCCAAAACTTGGGGCGCAAGACAACCCACCACTTCTAGAGGGACATGCAGCTTTCAGCTGCAAGATCTGCTCATCGATCGGACATTCCACGGACCTTCTGGATTATGGCGTAAGTATGGACCTTTCTAGAGCTTGCCAGGTGGGTATTTCCGTAAGGTGATTTTCAAAATGACGATGCCATCACTCAAAGACCCCTCTCCGCTCCTAATCCAATCGAAGAAGTGAACCAGACATCACATACATCTCATCTCATCTACTCGATTACATCTTACAAAATTCAAGACCTCGGTATTTGATAGGGATTTTGTATCTTTATTCGGAAGAGGGGTTCCTATCCTATCCTATCAAAATAACCAACCTCACTCAACCCCCCCTTCAATTAACTCATCCACAAGTTATTACCTCCCCAAGCCCAATTATTCCCCATTTCTCTTTTCTCTGTTGTCTCTCATTTCAATCCACTCCCCCCCTGACATCTAACTCTCACTCTCTCCCACGCCAATTATATTATCTCCGGGCTGGAAAGCAGAAAAAAGGCTTCGATCAATCAACAACTCCGCACACCATTGCTCATCCCCACACCCCTTCATTTGCCCCACAAGTCTGGATACAAGAATTTGGGTATATAGAAAAAAGGAAACACAAAAAAAATTGTATGTACTAAGGTCCTATTCGTCCTTGTGATCCTTTCCGTTTTCGAAAAAGATGCACGGATCTGAAAGACCTTCGATCGATCATATAATAGTATTATTAGAGCCCGAATCGATTTCTCCTTTTCCGGTCCAGAGGCGAAGGAGGTATTTCGCGAAGATTCGATTGGGGATGACGTTTTCGAATACAAAAAGTGAAAATGCTGCGCAAATCGTAAAGTCTATAGCGTGATAGGCGTCAAAGCTGGGCGTGAAGAGGCAGGCACGTATATATGATGGGTTGGAGCTCAAGGCCTCTTGTCGGCGGTAAAAGGTTTGTGTCGGGTCGATATTACCTCGCCGTAAAAATTGTCAAGAAAAGATGAATCCGAAAAACTCCTGAACCCAATAACACCATCATCAAAAGCCGTAAAAGTATGATGCAACGAAATGCTAATCGGATGGTCAGGTTTGACCTCCAAAGGGACCAGTAGATGCTGATTCTGTTGATCCGTCTCCTTCGATGGTTTTTCTCCAGTGGTCAGGCAAGCAAACGCAAACCAAGGGGAAGGCTTTGATTTCACCGCTAACGTTTGGTGAGTCGCCTCTCCGGCCTGAAGTGTTGGAAACACCACTATCGCGTTGTGCTTTGCGTTTTGCGTCCCAGTCCTCTGCGTTCTCATCAATCAAGATTCCAGTAGCCCATCCATCGTCCCAGATGCCTACAACCTTCAGCATATCACCTCTTTCCAACGAAAACTCGTCTCCGGCTCGTGGTTGATACGCCCATAGAGCAGCAACCTTATCTCCCGGGTGGATTTCGTCTGACGAATAATAATCTTTGAAAAACGGCAATTGCTCGGATTGTTGACTGGCCGCAATGCCTTGGGGAGAGGACATGTTTCCGCTTCCTGGTGATTGTGGGTCGTCAATTCCAAGAGCCGATCCACTGGACAATGAACCGGTTCTTCTCGCCATAGGGGGAGGTCGAAGTATTCCTCCTTGATGGATCGACGCTGGGCTATATTCGTCCGACGAGTCCTCATGTCTCCTGCTCCGAACTCCTGTACGACTTGCTGGAGTCATTGCTGCAAGATGCCGAGGTGGAGATGAGTCTGTGTGGCCCTCCAAAGCCGACATGCGTGCGATTCGCCCTCCTGGAAGTACCTCATATCCTTCCGGGGTGGTGTTTGCTGCAACTGGGTTATATGCCATACTCTGACCTTTTCTAGCAGGAGCTGGTTGGTTGAAAACACTACCATTTTGTGTTCCTCGGCGACGGCGCAGGCACATGAGCAAAAGGAAAATCAAGACACCAATCATTGCAGCTGCTGCAATAGAACCAATCACAATTCCAGCAATAGCGCCTCCCGAAAGACGGTTGGTTTGTGATGCTGGTGCAGGGGTACTTGATTCTGAAGATGCTGTTGATGTCGGGGAAGAGGTTGGAGAGCTTGTACTAAAGGTCATAAAAGCTGTAATGGTTGGTAGTTTTACGTCTCTGCATCTTTCTTCTGCTTTGGAATTATAACAGCACGTATCCGTACTATTTTGCCCTCCTGCGGCACAGTATTGGCATAAGCCAATTGTACTGTTTCCGAAGCCACAGTTGTTTGGTTCATTAGATGCGCCATCAATGCAGGAACCGCTCAACGAATTCGCGGGCAAGGCACAGTTGGTAAAATCGGCTCGGATCTGTGTATCAGCATTGGCATTTGGGTTTTGGCAAAGATCATTGTTGGCGATGATAATGGCCTCGCTCTCGGCTTGGTCGGCCTAATGGTTATCAGTCTTGGTCATGGTAATTTGTTTACTTGGTACATTGCGCTAGCGCGACTTACACATGTAGCAGCACAAACAGGCCGAGAATTGCCCGCTGACAATCCACAGGGTGTTTTTGAATTTTGTACTATAGCATTACATATAACACTGGTTGTGAAGCGTGCGTAAAGATTTGTTGTATTTGCCAAATCAACAGTGTCGCAACCAAGGAGTGTTTGGTATCTGGAAGTAAATTTATTAGCAATTGGACTGGAGATGAAATTGTAGAAATAGAAGTACTTTTCTCGCGTATAATTTCTTGCGATGTAGTCCCGTACTTGAGTGTCAAAAGTCGTGACATCGTTGACCTGTCTAAGGAATGGACTAGGAGAAAAGAATTAGTAGTGAAATTCTTCCAAGATACGTGAGTCCAACATACAAGTAACCAAGAACTGTGCCATCCGTAACTGATATCGACGCGGAACCAAAAGAAGGACATTGTGTTGAGCCGGTCAGTGGTATACAATTCTGAGCCATGGCGACTGGTGCGAGTGCGATCATTGAGAGAAGTGCGGTCTTGATGTTGAGTCCCATGGTTGGTTGTTGTCGGTTTGTTGACCTCGCCCAATCTACCCGCCTCTGTCCTGCCATTGTCGTAGCAAGCAACGAGGATTCTAGCTCAACTGCCTTCGCATCGTAAGGAGAGGACGATGTGGATATGGTGTTTCTCTCGACGCTGTCTACGCCAATTTCCTCCCTCATAATTCAACTTTGGCGTCCTCTACACAACCTCATTTACGCGCACCTCACTCGTCCGATTGCTGTGGGTTGATTGGTATTTCCTGACTGAGGATGGAGAGTGGAGTGCAGTTCCAGAGTCGCGGCAGTGAAGTTGTTGTCGTCGGTGTTGACTGACCAATAGGGCCGTTGTCACGGGCGATCTGTGACTGGGTGGGAGAAGAGAAGGAAAGGGAAAGGCAAACGAATGACTGAGTAGTAACAGTGGTTGGTATCCAAAGGAGTGTGATGTGGAACTGGTGGCTGCGGAGGAAAGTGAGAAAGAAGAAAGCTAAAGGCCGGGGGGCTGGTGGAGTTGTGGTCGGTGTGCAGCATATGGTGCAGTATGGTGCATTGGCCGAGGGAAGGTAGTCTTAGGTGGAAGGGTGGAAGGCTCAATAGAGATTTGGCTGTCCGTGCAACAGACCAGGGTCGCGCGGAAAGCGTTCAGGGGGTTTTTGGCGACTCTAGGGATCCCTGAATCAGCCCTTCCATACGCTTGTCAACGCTTGACCAGACGCTTACAGGCTCAATTCAGGGCAGGTGGGTTGGGGGACGCAAGACCTTGGGAGCCAGGGGAGATCTTTGGGCAGGCCGCGGATGTTTGTTATGCTGCTCTTTGCACATCGTAGGTTTGGGATCATAGACACTGTCAAACAACTGGACCAAGCGTTATGAAAACAAGTTTGACTTCTTGCAGAAAACTACCCGTAAAGAAAAGGTTTGTCAAAACAAAGAAGCTGCTTAACGAGGGTTCCTATGAAAACGTGGACGGCTGGCTGTATTGACTCGGGAGATCAACACCACGCGTAAGCGAGCGAGGAGCTGGTGGGAGAGGCTGCGAATGCGGCAGAGTCATGGCTACAGGACTCGAATACTCGGAAATAAAGGTATGCAAGCTGGTACTTTGAAGTAGGTTGGTAACACCCATTCCTAGCTATGTAATCCAGATGAGTTGGTAAGAATTTGGGTGGTCATACCAGAAGATCCCCAAATGCCAAAAATAACGGACTCCTGCATCAATATCCTGCAGTCATTCATATGTCAAGGCGGCCACCAACAGCATGCATTTCATTACAGCAAGTCTCCCGCACGGCAGGAAAACAGTCTGCACACCAGTATGCAAAACTGCAAGCCATCAACCCGCCTTGTCAGCTTGTACTTTACGTGGTCTGTCACGTTCTCGCCATCTCTGTGGTAGCTGGCTTGGTAGGATCATCAAGAAGTGCAAAAATAGAAGGTCGAGGTCAAGATACCGCTTCACGTAAACCACATCATGTGCTGTCAAACTTCCAAGGATTGGCTTTCCGCTCACTACTTCTGTTTAGTGATTTTAGTTCTTTGAGAACCGTATCAAGAGTGGTTGACGGTTCCCAACCACTGCCACGGCTCAGCCTCTTAAATGAAGCTATCCCAAGCTAACCCACACGCCAACAACGAGCGACGGGACTCCGGATCTGGTCTAAACCAGCACTATTTGGAAGCCCGGGCCGCTAGAGATCCTGAGTTGTTTCTGATCTGGGATCTCCACGCGCCGCCCCCTTCACAGGCTTCACGAGCCTCCTTCTTGATCATCTATATGAAATTTATTTTCTTTTTCTGTTGCTTTTTCTGGTTCATATAGATCACCGAGCGAGTCCTCACCAGGAAGACGTTGCGACAAACTCGCACCAGATCCCCGTACGCCCACACATACTCGAGCAGCCTCGTGGGAAATGAGGTGGTGTGCTGCATCGCTTGCGACAAACGGCAGCAAAACCAATCCTCGCCCAGCTAAATCCAACATTCGGTACCGAGCGATGAAGCTTAATCTCAGATGATCATTGACCAATCGTTGGGTTCATCAATAATGGCATAGAATGGATCTTGATATGCCGTTGAATCAAACAATATATCAAGCGCATAACCCGCCCTATATCAACCATTTCAAATAGTTCGTACCAAAGAACAGAGAAATTGGGCTACACCAACTCGATACGCGACATATCGTGTTGTCGCACAACATTAACAAAGCCTTCCAACATCGAAGAACCCAGAAACGAGATCACCAAACGAAGTCAATTCAAATTGAACCTCATCTCTCTCCCGAGTCTCCCGTCTGGACCTTCTTGTGCCGTTCGTCTGGGTGTGACCCAAACATCACTGACAGACCAGCGCATCCTTGCCAATTCCAGATATCCATTCCAGAACTTCCATCTAGCTTTCTCCATCCCATTTTTCGCGTACGGGAACATCCAGGCTTGGATATCTCCAGCATGAATTCGGGATCCTTAAGGCTCGATAAGCTTACCAAGAGAACTATAATGACACCAATTCGATCCTTCGACATGAAGAATCTCCAATCGCAAGCTCTCCTTCCTCTGGAATCAGGAAGTGTGTGCATCGAGTCAGAACTCAAACCTCCAAACGTGTGCGTTTTCAGCTTGCCCTTTTCCCCGCATTCCGTCATGCGTTTCCAAAAAAAGAAATATACATTATGCGAAAAGTGAAAACACGACTAACGATTCTTTCATCTGCTAACATCAATCTTTCTCTTCCTAATCACAGATCTAATATACGGAAGATTTGTTTATATAATATCGTAAAGATATGTCACCTGCGTGTTCTGATGCGTGCGATGCGAAATGATTCATCTACGATCATTCATCTTTTCGAAACACCTCGATATCCGCATATCTCGCACCTCAACATCCCCACCTAAAGAAGAGCATCTTGCGGTCAAATGAAAAGAAAATCTACTTTTAGACTATCGCATGCCTCCCAACACAAACAATCCCCTCTCCAATCATGAATTCTCCGTAAACATACTTCGTCATTTTTACTTCTAAACTCTATAGGTACGACGAGTAGATAACCTTAACTTAACCTGACGCGAGACAACCGCCCATTGCCCAACTCAAAAATCGGAAATTAAGTTTCTTTCTTTCCACGGCATCCACGCAAGCAACATGTCCACCTCTCCACCACAGGGAGCATTTAAGAATACTAACAAGAATCCTCCTTGTCGATAAATAGCCTATTTAAGCTATTTTCTTGTAAAGTATAATGTCTTTACGAACGGATACGTTTCATCATTCCGTCCTTCCATCTCTCCGTCAATAAATTTATGAAGTTGGATTGGATTGGATTGGATTGGTGGTGTAAAAATGTCTTGACTCTTGCGGTACTTGTGCTAAAATTAACCCTCGTGAAGTTTTCTGAGTGAGTGAGGATGAAGGGCAAGATCTTTTTTTTTCCGAGACCCCGCTTTCTTTCTTTTTTTTGACGGTCTATTTCTTTTCTTTTGCAGAGAGGATGGTTTTTTTAAATGATGAATCCCATTTTTGTTCTGTACTTGGTGGGAATCCTGATGCTTAACTTTTTCGTCCTTCTCTTCTCGGGAGTCTTGGAGTGACTTCCTGGAATTAATTCGGCTTCCATGTGAACACCTCCGAGGCGAAGGTCGGAATAGATAAGAATAATAGAAACAGGACTAAGACTTATAAATGTACAGCCTCTCGTAACTTTCTTTTATTCTTTCTTCTTCTTTTGTCTCTCCCTCTTCTCAACCCATCACGGTGTCTAAAAAAATCCTACCTATTAAAAAAATCCAAGAAGAAGAGGTTCGAGCGCATCACGGCACGACGTCTGGCCATGACCGAAGGCCCCTACTCTCATGCAACGTCAACGTCAAAAACCTGGAAAGTCGTCACTTCCCCCTTTCCTAAAATATCATACTTGAGTACTACACTAACGAGATTTTCAAAGACAAGTAGACTGATGACTACCTGGCTTGTACAGTAACTCGCATCCGCTCAAAATCCCTATCCCGTCCCATCTAATCCCGAAAGCTGAAAGCCACAAACCTACTCCGAAGTAGTAGGAGCAATACTCTACATACAGTATGTGATCTCAGTCTGAGTCCATATAAGTCTTACTCCCGCGTAAAATGGTCTATGTACTCCCATATTTGGTGGGCATAGGAATGTTGATTTCTCAAAGTACTTTTACAGGTCCAAGTACCTAGGATATACTTCACTGTATTCTAAGCTTCTTCCCCTTCCTCTTCTCTATCTCCAGTTCTCCGTCTCTCCGTTCAAGGAAAGTACGCTAATGTAAATAAATACTAGTAGAAGCAATATACAAGTGTATACAGAGGGTGATTCATCCATCAACATCCGGGTCTCAATGCTTCATGAATCCATGCTCCCACTGGAAAAGCTGGAAATCTATGTCACACCGTAAATCGCTATGGTGGTTGATTTGACACAGCTGAGCATGGTTCGGGAGACTCTCGTGGAGATAACGGGCGCCCACGTGGCGTCAATGTTGATGTACGAGCTGGTCATGGGCGTTGGTATGTCTCGGAATGAGGGTACAGATGGAGAGCGGGTGAGATATTCCTTTTTTCCATTTCTGTGTTTTAGGCATCTTGTCGTTATTTACATAGGCACACTCCCAATCCCACCACTAACCAACAATCCACCCCCAACACCTCATCTTGTGCCAATATCGCTTCGCCATATCGCATCCTAAAAATTCCATCCCACAAGTTCTCCCTCCAACACCGACGTCCAGCTCTTGTGTAACCTTCTTAAGGGTTGAGATGACCTAAACCATTGCCTTTCGATACCAATTAGCAAACCGACCTGTGTATAGACATACGTAGTCGAAACTTACAGTTATCCCTGCAGCACTGAGTATACCAGTAAGTATTTGTGCCCGGCTTCAAAATCGTTCCAGTGGAGTAGCACTCATTGATTACACCAGGCGACGTAAGGCATGGCGTCTGCTGCTCATAATCGCAGGTGAAAGAGTATAGACAGCCATTAACCGCCTTATTGATTCCGCATCTCTCATCGCCTCCCCAGCATTTGGCCACCGCGTTGACGCCGACAAAGGTGGTTGTGACAAGTACGATAACCTGAGCGGCTCTCATTTTGCTATAGCAGGATGATTTAGAAGGTGGATGGATAATGCGGTTGGAAGTAATTGCAATTTTTGATAGGGCAATAGAGAGATAAGTAGCGCTAGTGGGAACATTGTGTGACATATATATGTACTTGGGAATGGCAGTGCTGTCGATTTTTAGGCACCCTACTGTAATTGAAGAAGGTCCGAAATTTCAAATATATTTCTACTTTGCCTCAAGTATAGCGTTTCTATTGCAAACATGATGCAGGTCTGTTGTGACGTCAAAGATGCTTTAGGCTTTCTAGCGAGACTTGCCGTATAACAATTCCGCCTCCGTGCTAGTGTACTCTTGCAGGATAGTGTGTGTAGTGTAGAACTTCTCACGTAGCTCTAGGCTATCAAAAAGAGGCTTGATAATATGGTAATAAATCGTTGTGCCAGGAGACGGAGTAAAAGAGCTCTTAGTAGGTATTGTACTGTTCGATAAATTAGAGGTCAGTTCCGTCAGCGAAAGGAAATAGATAAAGCTTAACGGCCTGTTCGTCTCAAAAGGATCCGGATTCGGAATCTACGGTAAATCCGGGTTCTACTATAAAAAGTAGAGTTTTATGCTCGATACGAGTGCTAACTTGGATCAAGTATTAAAAACGCTCAGCTCGCAGATAGAACAAGAAGTGAGTACTACTCCGAATATCGCGATTTAGATTTATTTAGGATATATCCCATACAAAAAGAGAAATCGGCTTTTTCCTATAGTTTAGTATTCGTATTTCTAAACTCGCTTATTCTGCCTAATGTAAACACTCACCAGGTACACCTAAATACTATAACACGTCTAAGTATGATAGAGTAATTTGGCAACCGATTTTTAACGTTAGTAGTAAAGTCTTTTAGCGTATAAATAATAAGGTTTATAATTTTATAAGAGGTTTGGTAAGCTAGTTTTAATAACGAGTTAGTATCGAATAAAGAGTACGTAAGGACGGTTTCTAATATAAAACAGAAACGAGGAGTCTATCTAGAACACGAACGCTTATATTACTTGTACCGGGCTTAACTAAGGACTAAAAGGTAGGATAACTAATAGAATAACTTTCATCATTACTAACAAAAGTATCCCCTCAACACTTAATATGTACATTTCGATTTAAATGTTTACGATACCTACTTTAAGTCTTGGTACCTAATGATACTATCACTTGATTAGTACCGGTCAAATCGGACCAAGCCCCGTAGCGCGCCTAGGAATTATTCCGATCGGTCCGACCGCTCAAATTGGAAATCGCAAACTCAAAAATCCAAATGTACATATTAAGTGTTGAGGCGATATCCCTTGTTTAACTTTTAGTAGTAGTAACACTCTCGGTCGAACATTGTATATATTTTAGTACGAACTTAACCTTATAATCGCCACTAAAACGTGGTTACCAAATCACTCTAATAATAGGACTTCTATTGAAATAACATTATTCGGGGGTATTAAGATAACAAAAACCATATTAACCTAAATGATTCGTATAATTAACTTGAATATACGAGCTTCGTACTATGATGTTATTCTTTATAGGTAGATAGGAATAAACCTATCTCTTCTAGGATTTGATATAATTGTTAGAATACCTATGAAAGTTCCGTCGTCCCCTAAGTAATAGTCAAGTGTTATATATATACTTACATTCATGGTGAAATTTCGACTTAGGAAAGGAGAGCAGCTAGTCAGGAAATCTTGGATAAGAGGAATCTGCTTTTTCTAGGTAGTTTCTATTGACCAATCCTAAAATAGAGCCTTTAACTTCTATACTTTTCTAGCCCTTGGAAAACAAAAAACGCCAGCCTAAGCTTAAACCACAAAAGGGGTATTCAGAAATAAGAAAAGAACTTCAAGTGGTGTAGAAAAACATCTACTCCATCTCAATAGTTCCCGGTGGTTTACTGGTCAAATCGTAAACCACCCTACAGACACTATCAACCTCATTCACAATTCTTGTGCTGACTCTCTCCAAGAAATCCCAGTCAAAGTGGTAAGCAGTCGCAGTCATGAAATCCGTTGTCTGCACAGCGCGGAGAGTGATAACTTGTTGGTGAACTCTCTTGTCACCCATTACACCCACGGCCTTTACAGGAAGAAGAGCAGCATACGCTTGTGAGATTTGATCATATATCCCGGCGGCTTTGATTTCTTGGATGAAGATGTAGTCTGCTTTTCGGGCAATGGCGACCTGTTCCCGAGTGACCTCGCCCAGAACACGGATGGCAATTCCAGGACCAGGGAAAGGATGTCTCATGACGAGATCGTGGGGTATACCCAACTTCCTTCCTAGCTCGCGAACCTCATCCTTGAAGAGCTCGCGAAGGGGCTCAATAAGTTTTAACCCTTGACCGTTCATCATCCGCTCAGGAAGACCACCAACGTTGTGGTGGGTTTTGATAGTTGCAGAGGGCCCTTTGAAGGAGATGGATTCAATTACATCAGGGTAGAGGGTTCCTTGAAGGAACCATTCTATTATTCCGGCTTTGGGGGAGTCAATGGCTGCCTTCTCGATCTTCAGAGCTTCGGCTTCGAACACATCAATGAAGGTTCCTCCGATGAACTTTCTCTTGGCTTCTGGATTGTCGTGTATACCTTTGAGGCCATCAAGGAAGAGGTCGGAGGCGTCAACCACTGTAAGGTTGATTCCCAAATGTTTGGTCAAGGTCTCCTTGACTTGCTCGCACTCATTGAGGCGCATGCATCCGTTATCGACAAGAACAGCATGGAAGCGATCTCCAATTGCTTCGTGCATCAACTTGGCTGCCACGGTAGAATCTACTCCTCCACTAACAGCTCCCAGAACTTGTCCCTTTTCTCCTACCAATGCTCGGATTCTTGCGATTTCCTTGTCTACGAACTTGTCCATGGTCCAGTTTTGTTGGGCCCCACAAATTCCTACAGCAAAATTCTCTAGGACTTTGGTTCCTCTGGCAGTGTGTGTGACCTCAGGGTGGAATTGGATACCATAGATTGGCTTTGTCTGGTGAGCGATACCGGCAAAGGGAGAGTTTTTGGAAACTGCAATGGCGTGAAAGTTTGGGGGGAGGGCACCTAGTTTGTCGCCGTGTGACATCCAGACCTTGAGGTCATCTTCCAAACCTTCAAAGAGCTTGTCGACATGGCCATCTACTACTTTCTTCGCCTCCAATTGTGCATGTCCGTACTCTCTTTCAGTTCCAGCAATAACATTCTTTCCATTGTGCCAAGCGATCTCTTGTAAACCATAGCATATTCCCAGAATTGGGATGTCGAGGTCGAAGATTGCGGGGTCAACATGAGGGGCACCGTCTTCATAAACCGAGTATGGCCCACCGGAGAGAATAATTCCTTTGGGTTTCCAGGAAAGGTCGGCCAATTTCTGAGTGCACGGGAGCATCTCAGAGTAGACATTTAGCTCACGTAGCCGACGGGTGATGAGATGCGTGTATTGGGAGCTAGAATACGTTAGAGGCGTTTTTGATCTCTTTCTTTCTCCAATACCAATGCGACCTACCCAAAATCCAGTGTCAAGATCGTATCAAAAGTCTTGTGGGGCTCATCGGGAAGAACTCCAGAGGTGGCCATTTTCGTGGTGATGGGAGGCAATCTGAAGGAGTAGAAAAGAATGACCAAGGAGAAAAGATAGGAGTGTTGAAGTTCGCAAACTGTTTGTGACTCGCAAGTGCTGGGATAGATGGAGGGGAAAATTTCAGGGTTCTTTATCAAGATGCAGGCCGATAAGGGCCTTGCCAATCAGGCACCCGAGGGGTTGAAATCCATGCATATGGGACGAACAATAAATTCTTCAACGATACAACGTTTGTAATACCAACTCTCTCCCGATCGCAAGAATGGTCAAGAAGCGCAACAGAGATCCAGAAGTGCTCGAGGATGCTCCTGCGCATCAGAATGGTGGGGATGAAAGCGGGAGTGACGATGTAATTGTCGGCTCTTCCCAATCGCAAGCTTGTGCTGATAATTTCACAGGACGTTGACATGGTCAATGTCGATTTCGAGTGGTTCAACTTCAAATTCGAAATCGACTTCCACGGAACGAAGAGTCTTCTGAGACAATTACTCGACGTCGATCACCAATTATTCGATTTGTCAGCTCTGGCAGATCTCATCCTCTCACAGAATACCGTCGGTTCCACAGTCAAGGTCGATGGCGAAGAAACCGACCCGTACGCCTTCCTCACAGTTCTCAACCTACACGAACATCGAGAAGTGAAAGTTATCAAAGATTTAGCACAATATATCCTTGAGAAGTCAAAGTCAAGTCCGGACCTATCTCCTCTTGGTTCCATACTCTCCGCGCCCAATACGCAAGTTGGACTCATTCTCGCTGAGCGCCTCATTAATGTTCCCTCGGAAATTTCCCCACCAATGTACTCAATGCTCATAGATGAGATTGAAGCCGCGGTCGAAGACAAGGAGCCATATGAGTTTACCCACTACCTTATTATATCGAAGAATTACCGCGAGATTGCCTCTGCCCTCGACCAAGAAGACGCCCCTAAGACGAAGAAGACTAAAGGAGGAAAGGCCAGTAAGGAAGTGTTCTATTTCCACCCAGAAGACGAAGTCCTGCAGAAACACGCACTTCTATCGGGATCGTATGAATATACAAAAGATGAGGGTGACGGAATGGCGGATAGCAAAAGAGCATTTTCAGATCTGGGTATCAAGCCTCAAGGTTCGATGATACTTATAGAAGCAAGCAAGTTCCAGGGAGCCGTGAAAGCCATTGGCGAGTATCTGAGCCCTCCGCAATGAAATTTGTTCCCATCTAGCCTCCAATTCTTTGAATGCATCTAGTGGTTTTACTCTTCTAATCTCTGCATCAAATATTCGACCTCCACTTCTTTAGTCAGAGGAATCACGAAATCCTTATACATTGCAACCACAGCCTCGACGTCGATCTTGCCTGGGCTCGCGATACCTTGACTTGGGTCCGTACCATATGTCCTGGCCTTGAGTCCCAGTCGTTCCAATACCTTCTTCTCCACGGCTTCATTTGTAATGGCACGGCCAATTCCATCCCGATCCTCTGCCTTGATCAACTTTGTATACAATTCCTTCTCGGTTTGGAACTTTGATTCGGCCACAAATTTTCCAAAGTGGATTCTCTGCGAGAGTGCTTGCAGACAGGCGATGTCGGCCGTGGCTGTGGAACCGTAATTCTCCTCCGTCTCCCCTCGGTCTTCATGTCTCAAGTTGGCGCATGCCACTGGAAGAAAATGTTCGATGTAGCTCTTCTTTATTTTCTCATTGACATTGACATTGTTGGCGTGGAGTATCTTCGGATAGTTCAAGGGCTTGAGAATGGGATGTTGGACGGCAGTTGGGAAGAAAGGATACTGGTCGGGAGATTCGAATCGTCGAATCAGGGAGTCGAGTTTTTCGCGCTCTTGGTGTAGCCAATCGAGAAAGCTCAGATCGCTGTTTGGTATGCTGACAGCTCCGGGTTTGTAAATTGTGCCGTTGAGGGGGAACTGGACTCGCTCGATGAGGTGGAAGGTGATAGTATCTTCTAACCGACTGGGCAGTAGTTAGCATGTAAATCTGGTGTTGTTTCATGTTCGACAACTTACATCAATTGAAAACGGATGTTGGAAAGATCCAGAGCCTTGGAGGCATCGGAAAGGTCTATGGTTGAGTCCATCCTCCCTGGGGTAGCGGGGTAGTTGGTGACAGAAATGCGGAACTTGTGAAGTCGGAAAGCTGTGCAGGTTCGGATTTCCGCAGATAGGTATTGAGGGAAGAGAGAGAGGATTATGTAGACAAGATGGCAATAATGTCGCTTAATTGGCTACCTCAATCGCTGGTATTCACTCGAGACGTGGTTGACTGGTATAGAGTATATATTTCCTGCCAAAACCAAAAATGGCCAATGGCCGATGCGCGGAGAGACCCCTGCCAGCTCGGGCCGGGTGCATCGTTCACCAATCTTGAAGCAGCCCGCAGCGCCAGCAGCACAGCAGGCGTGGCAGGGCAGGTTGAGCACTTGCGTATGAAATGCATCATCGGATCCAAAACTCACACGACCAGAATAGTGCAAATCCACGCACCAGAAGCCCGAGCGCAAACACCACAAACACAAAATCCTCGCAGACGCAACACCAGCGATCTGCCAAGCACAGTGGATATTTACATGTTTTTCCTGCCACCAAGCACCACCAATGGCTGGCGACGGCAGCCGCAATGCCTCTCCACTGGGAGCTCCCGATGATTCTACAATCATATCTGTACGCACCTTTGACTTTAACCTTCTCCATACACCGCCCTGCCATGACCTCCTAACATTGACCTTATATACTAGACCCGAGGATTAGAGGCATTCGGACGCAAAGTCACCTCCACGGCTGGCCAACTGATGGGGCCCTTGGATCCCACTGCAAGCACGCACTATCAAAATGCAATGAGCGACCTGCACAAACAATTGAGAAGGCCGAACCTCCAGCGGAGCGTCTTTTCCTTTGCAAGAACGAGTCCCACGGACCTGGTTCGCTCGAGACTATCCACATCTGAGATACAGTATCGTGCCCTCACATTTTTACCTGACGAACTTTTACGAAACATTCCTGAAGATGACAACACATATTCCCTTTTCCAAGGCTTCCAGGCTACCATGCCCACCGCAGTTAGTTCTGATGGAAAAAAGCATAGGAGAAAGGTGTCAAGGGGGAGAAGATTACTGGAAGACGAGAAGTCGGAACCAGATAATACGCCACCATCCCTAGCGAAGTTGAAAAAGGAGCAGGATGCACTCAACCACCGCCTGGAGATGATGAGCGTTCGAAAGCATATGTCGAGCAGCGAAATACATGAGATTGACAATAAAATAGCAAATCTCAACAGTATGCGGAAGATTGTGCTGAATAGATTGGCAGATTTGGAGCAAGAAGAAGCCATACTAGAGCACGACAGTGGGTAGATTGCTTCCAGTCTTCTGGACTTTTGCTAACTTTGGGAAAGTACTGGATCTTGAGAACAGACTTGAGGATGCTCAAGATGAGCTCGAAAACGAGGAATCGATGAAAGCCGAACTTGATCTAGAAGAAGCGGATTCTGCTTCAGGAGATTCAACATTCATGTCCGAATCGATATACGAAAAGCTGCCTTCATCATCGCCTACCAAGAACAAGAAGAACAAGGTGATTCGAAGAAAGTCTATGCCAATATTACACGAGCACTTTGAACCTGGGTCAAACATCAGAGAGATCAAAGCTCATGGTGATATGATCACAGCTTTAGATTTCGATGTTCCATTTGGTACAATGGTTACTTCGGCGCTCGATGATACCGTGCGAGTATGGGACCTAAATGCCGGAATCTGTATGGGGCTCCTAGAGGGCCATACAGCTTCGGTTAGGGCGTTACAGGTTGAAGACAATTTTGTGGCAACAGGATCCATGGATGCGACGATTCGCTTATGGGATTTGAGTAAAGCCAGATATGAACCCCCTGATAACCGAATCAACAAAGACAGCGACGACGAAGAAGAAGATCATTTGGCATTTGGAGGGGAAGAAGAACAGTCATTTGAGCCTCCTGTCGGAACTATGAGGGACTGTCCAGTCTTCACGTTGGAAGCCCACGTGGATGAGGTCACAGCTCTCCACTTCAAGGGCGATACTCTTATCTCAGGTTCATCAGACAAAACATTACGGCAATGGGATCTTCAGAAGGGCCGTTGTGTTCAGACTCTAGATGTTATGTGGGCTGCGGCCCAAGCATCTGCAAGCATGGGTTCCAGCGAAGGCGCATGGAGGTCGACTGGCAAAGTTGCCGACGCAAATGCAGACTTCGTTGGAGCTGTGCAGGTCTTTGACGCCGCTCTTGCCTGTGGAACTGCTGATGGAATGGTTCGATTGTGGGATCTCAGAAGTGGACAGGTTCACCGAAGTCTGGTTGGTCATACCGGCCCAGTGACATGTCTTCAGTTTGATGATATGCACTTGGTCACCGGAAGTCTGGACCGAAGTATTCGAGTAAGTTTATATCGGCTGATAAAATTTATTCACATTACTAACAGCCCTTAGATCTGGGATCTCCGAACGGGTGCTATTCACGATGCATATGCTTACGATCAGCCAATCACAAGCATGATGTTTGATAATCGAAGGATTGTCTCAGCTTGTGGTGAGGATGTAGCAAAGGTGTACGATAAAACAGATGGTCGACATTGGGATTGTGGACCAGGTGCTAATGCTGAAGGCGGCAAAACACTTTCCACTGTTGAGACCGTCAGGATCAAGGATGGATATTTGACTGAGGGACGAAGTGATGGTGTGGTCGGAATCTGGACTTGTTAGATAGGTACCTGGGCTGGGCTTGCAGTGGCTCGGCGGTATACTTGGGGTTACAGGTGTACCATGTTTTGGAGAAAAGTTCGTAGACGAGAGACACCTAAGTGTGCGAGGCGTAAACATGATGATGGGTCGTTTTTGTGCCTTTTGGGTGTGATGAGGTCGGTTGTAGATATATATGTATGATGTTTAGCCTCTTTTGAGAGAAGACACCACTTGTTTATATACCACCGCTACTTCTCTGTTCATATTCTCGTGATACCTTCGCTTGACAACTTGTGAAACCGAGAACTTTGGGAAAGCGTCGTTCACGCATACCATAAACCTATTCTTGTGTTGATATCAGGTTTCGTACCCCCCTACATTCAATCAAAAACAGAGTCATCAAAGTGTTAATATGCTACTACCCACACGTAGCTCGATATCTGAACCACAAAAAAAATGCCAGAGCTTTTTCACTGTCTTGCTTGGTCCTGGAAGAGTCCATTTGTGAGACTATTGGTTTCATCTCTGGCAAGAGCATGTACAGCGATTCTTGGATCTTTAAACGCGGATAACTATATCCCGGGAAACACTCCTAAGCTGTCGATACCGCAGTATAGTATAGTGTTTGAGGTGGTTTCGCTATTGATCAGTTGGTTGCTACCGCTCTGCTTTTTGCTGCTGTTTCACTTGACTTGACTTGATTGTGGAGATGAGTGATGGGTGTGGGAGGTTGGCTGGATGCGAGGGGAAGGGGGGGGCGAAGAGGGAAAGGTTGTACTATACCATATAATGAGGTTGTTGTGGTGAAGAGAGAAGTGGTAGTAAAAGAACTCGTTGTCTTGCTTATTTCTTGCTTATTTGGTATAATTAGTTAGCAATCGTAAATTTGTAATGTTTACTCGTAGAACGATTGAAAATAATTAATTGCGTTTTTAGGGTAATGCAATTGAACTGACGGAGTCAGAAGTCTGGATTAACCTACGGAGGCTATAGGGTTAGATCAATCAATTTAATCTATTGAGCTTTCTGGGATAATCAAACGAGTCGAAATATCTCGGTTAATTGGTCAAGTTGAACGAAGGAACTTGGATAAGGCGTATACTCATAACGACCGCACTTCTTGTCCATCGCGGAGTTAAGGTAATCATCCGAAGTGATTGAATTTGAGCCCGAACACAGATATCCCAGAATTCATAACATGTCACGATTATGCCCAATCACCAAATGGGCAATCCCGGGAAACAAAATGCGGAGAAGTGTATTCATTCTTCGTAAGTTTGGAAGTATACGTATAAGTGAGTGTAAGAAGTATTACCTCTTAAAAGAAGCTATGGTAGAAAGAAAGAAGGACTTAGAAGTCGATGTTTTGATAGCCAGTGTCCCTTCTCCTTCGCCTCGCTGGGGACGAGCAGGAGAATGGAGACCAGCTATGAAACCAAGGAAAGAATATGAATCAACGAAATGGCGAGGCATGTAATCTACTATGTTCCCGATCTGTGTACACATGATGCAGCCGTAAGTAATGTGTTATTTGTCCTTCTCTACCTCCAAATCCGAGTTCATTGGAGTAAAAACATCATGATTGGAGTAGAGACCTCATGGCTGGAGGCGAGTATTGGACAAGTTCAATATACAATATTGATCTTCCAACCAACTCGCAGAACCCTTGCTACAATAAGACACAAGCAAGCAGCAGTATACGCTAGCCCAGCGAATGTGATAACGCCCTCATAATTTCCTCCGTTGGCAGTGAGAATCTGGCCAGCAATGGGAAGAGCAGTCAAAGTCCCGAAAGAGACAAACATCCAACAAGAAGCAAAGTATCTGCCATAGTGCTCTGTTTTGCACATTTGACCCACGCAGACGGGACTCAAGCTCAAGTTGCTTCCACTGACAAACCCAAATATGACTGCGAAGACAACGATCATAGGGGTGGACTCGCCTGCGGGAAGCCAAAGTCCGAAACACGAGACGGCGCAGAAGAATATTGTTATGATGAGTGTGTTAACTCTGCCCATCATATCCGCTAATATACCGGCGAGGAAGCGCCCGAAGAAACTTCCGCCATTCAGAATTGCCAAGATCTGAAAGCCAAACTTGTTTGAGTGACCGTGTGTTGTTGCGTAATTTGTAATAAAGGTGAGAGGAACGAAGATGGCCCACTGTTTTTAGTGTCAGTCTATTATATTTGTACGAGTTTTAGCACGTCTCGGGGGTAAGCTTACCTCCATGAGGAAGATACCCAGTGTCAATAAGGCGAAAGGAGCATCCTTGAGGATTGAGATATCTGGGGATATCTCTTTCAGACTGGTCATTTTCTTTCGCGGTAAGCGACTTCGGACTGTCAGGTTCGTTACAACGAGCAGGACGAACAAAATCCCACCAATTATGCGCATGGAATTTTTGAAACCAAGCTTTGGAATCAAAGGTTGGAGTATCAAAGGAAATATGATGCCACCAATGCTTCCACTCGTCATTGCTATTCCTGTTGCATTTCCACGTCTGACGAGGAAAAAGTGTCCCACAGAAGCAGTACAAGGAGATACAATGAGGCATCCCCCAATGCCATTGAGAACACTATAAACCATGAAGAAATGCCAGTACTCTAGAAGATGCATTAGTTATGGAATGATTAAGTATCGAGGAAGACATACCAGTACATTCTCCTAGGAGGAACATGCTGAGCACCAAAAGGACACTGCCTGCAAAAATCAAGGCTCGGGGCCCATAGGCATCGAAAATTGGCCCAACCGGTGCTCCTAGAAAGAAGGTAGCGAAGAGACCGAGCCCAAAAATCCATCCTATTTGACTAGCTGTTTTGTCTTTGAGTTGGTTTTGCTGGAAGTAGTCGAGAAGAACAGCAGTGCTGTTGATAATTCCAAAGACTGAGAAGCCACCACAGAATGAACCAACTATTATTTCTTATATTAACTTACTACTGTATTAACTTACAGCTATATTCACTTACCGACTACACTCCATGCTTTCAGACCGCCTTCTGGGAAATCATCCTTGTCGTCGAGAGCCGTCACAGAAGATTCATCTGGCTGCCGTGTTTGTTTTTCATCTGGGAATTCAGATTCGATATGCGTTTTAGGGGTGTTTTCAGACACAATTACAGGCTTCCCCGCAACTGAATCGACAAGTTCCTCCTTCACCCCAGCCTTTTCCACATCGTGAGAGTGGGCACCTGCGACCTCGACATTGTTGTATTGGTATTTTATAAAGCTGCTGTCCTCAGCTAAATTATGACCAATATTATTCATTCGCCACCAAAACGAAAGATCGGGAAGTACAACAGCAGTGCGATTTGTGTTTAGCAAGAAAAGCTGGGAGAGGGATGCTTCATATGAAGAACCAAAAAAAAAGAGTGGGGGGCTCGAAATTTGACCCAACGGCCGGGTCCGTTTCCATGAGCCCGTTTTTTTCTTTTGCTTGCTTGCCAATGGGATCCTTCATTACCTAATTGCGCTCCGTACGTCTAGTTTACATCGTGGCGAGCTCTGAATGGGGCTCTGGAACTAGGAGCTAGGAACTACCATGGTATCGGGCATAGTAATGTTCGACGGCTTCCTAGCGGTGACGATTGAACACCATCGAACTGGAGATAGCTCGATGGGCACGGAGTTTCTGGTGTCTATTGATCTACCAGCTCGCCTCCGTGACTCCGTCCATTGCTAGAAACGACCTGGGGAATTGACTCGATGGCCTTGAGATTGATCAATAATCAACCTCCTGTTACCCTGAATTTTGTAGAACCGTCAGGACGATTGGAAAGGAAAGGGTTGGCAAATTTTCATGGAAGAATCCTTGCACGCCAGTGTATGGTGCCAGAAGTATTGTGTGCTGTTGACAGCTTTCGGAAAGATACTCAGTCTGTTGAATAATGCTTCAATGAGCAATATCACATGAGACTGCTTGTACAGTTGTACTTGATCAAGCATGGCAAGAGCTGGAAAGGGGGAAGACCCAGAGACTTTATGGATCCGAACTCCAAACCTTGATAACTCAACTTCCTTCGCAGATCCATCAAACCAAACCCAAAACAGCGGAACTTTCCACCATTGGTTGTTTTCAGGAACCTCCTCTGGAAATTTGCTACTTCTAAATGGACTTTCACTCTCTGGCTGTTTTGAACTAGACTTGGCAGTTCTCCAGCGAACATCGTGACCAACGAATTTTGTATGTATACAGTAAGTTGGATTTGGATCTTGCATTTTCCACAATCTTGAGATGTGATCCCACGAGCCTACCTAGGTGACTTGTCCCCGACTTTCCCGAACCACATTCGTGTACAATTATACTTCTGCATCTGTTGGGAAGGTGGGGGACCTGGGAGGGAGCATCGGATATAACTTTGCGCTTCGGAGATACTCCGTGGAGCATCCACCACCTGGTCATAGACTCCTGTTAAAACACACCTGGCAAGCTCACAGCGCATAGTTATCTCCGGACTTCCTCAAAGAGCGGAGCTTACAGGTATTAAGACTAATTCCGCATATGCATATGTCATCCAAGATGCAGAAGAGCCAGTGAAGTCATTGTAGTCCTGTGGGTCTATCCCAAACCCGCCACCGATAGACTCGATACACTTTTTAGCTTTTGGTGGACCCGGATGGGTGAGGGGAAAGGAGAATATATAGAAACATCTCAAATTCCGAATTCTAGAGATCATCTCAAACAAAACATACACCTCTCGTCATTTTCACACATTACCCCAACACACACCCGTACATCATGGTATTCCCACCTCCCGTGCCAAAATTGAGACCATTGGGTCAGTACCGTTTACTGGCTCCAACTGCCTCTGTTCGAGTATCGCCATTATGTCTTGGTGCTATGAATTTTGGTGACGCTTGGTATGACGAAACTGCTATTAGGCTTTCTTGCGTGGTATCACTCTCGCTAATCATCATCTGATATCTGTTAGGGTCGACTTCATGGGAGAATGTAACCGCAAAACCACCGAGGAAATCCTGGATACTTTCTACGATGCTGGTGGAAACTTCATTGACACTGCCAACAACTATCAAGTAAGTTATTGATTATTTGAGTAATTAGTTGTCACGGTTATATCACGTGTTGCCAGCCAAGAGCCCTCAGCTGTTCTTTCCATTAGCCGAGCGTGAAACTCTCTCCACTACAATCATTCGACCTAGAATAGACAAAATCTGACTATATACAGGACGAGCAATCGGAAACATGGCTCGGAGAGTGGATGGAGAAGCGAAAGAACCGTGATGAGATGGTGATTGCTACAAAGTACACCACATGTTACAAAACTGGCCAGGGCGACGACAACATCATCATCAACACAGTCGGTAATGGCACCAAGTCAATGCATTTGTCGGTAGCAGCCAGTTTGAAGAAGCTCAAAACCGACTACATCGACCTTCTTTACGTCCACTGGTGGGACTTTACTTGCTCCATTCCAGAGTTGATGCAAAGTCTGAATACTTTGGTATTGCAAGGCAAAGTCCTTTACCTCGGTATCAGTGATACTCCAGCTTGGGTTGTTGCTAAATGCAATGAATACGCAAGACAAAACGGATTGCGTCAATTCTCTGTCTATCAGGGACGTTGGTCAGCCGAGAATCGGGATTTCGAGAGTAAGTCCGCACCCAAGTCCGCCCATCACTTTAGTAGATTAGGAGGTATAGCCCTCGAGAGGAAAAGAGATACTTCCAAAGAAACGGAGGAAGATATCATGTCATCACTACGTTCGAAAACTAAGCAAGTGCTGACAACTTTGTGGAGGAGAAATTCTTGGAATGTGTGCCGCTGAAGGTATGGGAATATGCCCTTGGGGTGCTTTGGGGGGTGGTAAGTTTAAGTCGGAGGAGCAGAGAAACAGTCTAGACAGCAAACATGGCCGAGCTGGTGCACCGGGTGGTGGTGATGCAAGCGAGGCTGCTGTCAAGATCAGCAAAGTTCTTGAAAAGATCGCCAACAGAGAGAAGACTCAGGTCACCAGTGTTGCATTGTCATATGTCATGCACAAGGCCCCATATGTCTTACCAATCGTTGGTGGACGAAAAATTGAGCACCTCAAGGGTAACATTGAGGGTTTGAGTTTGAGCTTGAGCGATGAGGATATCAAGGAAATCGAGGGAGCTAACGCTTTCGATATTGGATTCCCCCTCAACTTCTTGGGTGGACCAAATGGAGTCAAGGGTCCTGGTGATGTCTGGCTTATGCCTTGGGCTGGACATCAACAACATGTCGAATGGCCAAAGGTATGTCTCACCCCTGATACTCAACATTTCTCGAGATATAGACTGACAGTTTTTTAGCCAATTGCACACAGACCTCAAAACAGCTGATTTTAAGGCTGTTGGGATGGTAGTATTCTGAATGAAACAATTTTTGTCATTTTGTAAAGCCTGAAACATTAGTCATTTGATCAATAACAAGTTTTTCAAGAAATGAACGAATTATCATTGCTTCGGGTAGTTCTTAGGGACTGTGGTGCTCGAGTCTTAGAATGACCAAGTAGTTGCCCTACCTTGACTAATAGACATACAATAAGTTGGTTATCATAAGCCATTGGCATGCCTTGACTGTGCGAATATCGTTAGCACAACGCTTTTCTTTGGAGCAACGATATAGTGCTTCCTGCTTATTGCAGTATACGCTTTTCCACACACGACCAATTGCCATGATAGTAACATAATTATAGGAGTCTCCCCTGGCAGAGAGGACATGATCGGCTTGCAGTAATCGGGAGTAGATTATAAGAGCAATTAATATTAACTTTCGTACGCAGTCTCACAGTCCCTTTCCATCAGTTAAATCCAAGATATGAATCCATTCGCATAAAAGGCTGATATAGGCTTATCTCCGAAACCCAATTGGCTAAAGCGGAGAACCCCGGACCCTTGCCGTGGACCAGGTACAACAACTCGGAGGTCAACACCTGCAGTCAACAACTCGACAGTTCAATAATAGATCCCGACAGTTGCATGGCAACGACAACATGCCAATTCCTGTGCATAGTCTGCAACATTTGCTAAAGCTTCCAGGCAATTTGCGAGCAGCCAGTACCGAGACATTTACGAAGTAAACATCAATAATTCACTATTACTGCAGCCTCGCGACAGATCGCAAACGCGCCAGTTTCCGTCTCGCCGCGCAACATTCAAATTATTGGCATTTTCGACTCTGCGGTAGATCTTTGACAGGCGCTCAATATGGATTCCCTCTTTCGCCTCAAAGATACAATCGTCGGGATGCTCACTCCCTCCCCTAAGCGCCGTCGAACTGCCCCTGAATCTTCGAGTACCGCGCCAGACGAGGATCACTTTTTTATCCCCAGACCTCCTCTCGACAACGTACCGAGCGATTTCAGCACACTGGCAAACGAGCAACGTTGGTCGCCTGGCAGGATAAATCCTCGAAAGAGAGCGAGACGCGATGATTCGGAGGAGAGGGAGACGGTCTTGCCCGAGGATTCTATTTCGCAGGTCATGACATCGGTCGAGGTGAGCTATACTAGGGAGATCAAAATGGAATCCGTCAGCGGAGGATCTGCGCCAGCCTTTTCTGCTTCCAATGAAGACGAAGAAGATGTTGAAATGGGAGCGGAGGAAGATGTCGAGTACGACTCAGATGGAAATGAAATCGAGGGCGAAGCTGAAGTTGAGTATGATTCTGACGGTAATGAGATCGGGCTTGAAGAAGTCGAATATGACTCAGATGGAAACGAAATCGAGGTTGAAGAAGAAGTTGAATATGATTCTGAAGGGAATGAGATTGAAGGGGAAGAGAGTGATGGCGAAGTTGAGCTCGACTCAGATGGCAACGAAATTGAATACGAGGAGGGCGAGGAAGAGGAGCAAGAATCGGACGAAGAGGAAGAACCAGATGATGAAGTAGAGGAAGAAGAGTATGAGGAATCACCCGAACCAGAAACAGAAGACCCAGCACAAGTTGCTGCACGGGAAGAAGAGGAACGTCGCGCTCGAGAAGCCGATCTTGCCGACAGACTCGCAGATATAGAGCAAATAAAGGCAGAAGGGTATCTGCACCCGGATGAACTATGGCTTTACGAGAGACTCGCATTACGTGGGTTCGAACCATTGCTACCCCACGAGTGGGAGCGAGATTTCAGGTCACTTCCCTACTATCTGTTCCACGACACGTTATCGCATAAGCTGGATGAGAAACCGATCATCGGCTTCACTGGCCGCTATCTAAACCACGGTAAGTTGTGACCGTGACCACACAAGTCAAAAATTGACTAACGGTTTATACCAGGCGCAAAATACTTGCAACCGCTCATCGAGGTTGGTTGTTCGGTAGCATATGATTACCATAACAATTCACCTAGCTACATAATCGAGAGGCGGGTTCATAGAGTTATCAAGCAGTTCAACAAGGTGGTCGAATTGGATGGAGATTACTTCAGACGACGCATACTTCCTGTTTTGACGCTCATTCAAACCAAGCCTGGTCAAGAGGCCGAAAGACTCATCAAGAAAATTACCAATCAAATGACATTCCTGGCCAAGAGACATAGAGAATATCTTGGGGCTATCGAAAACGAGAATGGAGATGTTAAATTGGATCCAACTAGGAGAAGACCGCCGCTTCTATATGGAATCATAATCGTTCGGCAACTTGTCATCGTACTTACCCTCGACTCGTCAGATCCCAAGGCAAACATCAAAACCATGAAAAACTTTGACTTGAGTGAGAAGACTCAAAGTGTTTGGAATGGTCTTGGAATTGCTATTGTCTGCACGGCTGCGCGTAAGTACTTGGCGGAAGTCAAGGATGAGTTCGAAATTGAAAGCGAGGTGGATGATCCTGATGCCTAGTTTGAATCTTGATATGAGGCTGGCTATTTTGGTATCTTGGTTTCCTTGTATCTTACGTATACCAAGAATACGCGCAGGTATCGAATGTGTCTGAGTAGTGTGTACTTGTCTTATTTTCTTTTTCTGACGGAGCGTGTTCATACACGTGGGGCGAGAGAGCGCCAATTATGTACACTACGGTTTTTGTTTGTCGCGGATACCCAACACACAGATACCCAACTGTTACATAGCAACAATGAAGTCACCTTTCTGATTTACTAGAGCGAATTAATAAAAATATAAAAACGCAAGGTGAAAATCGTAATATCCTCTTGTGATGTATTGCTATATGTGCAATAGACGAGGAAAGTTACAATAAACAATTTCATTGGTCTAAATCTGGGCAATAATATTCTTTTTAGGTATCCAAGACAAGGTAAGTAGCAATACCAAAGGTCGAGATAAATGAAAAGAGGTCATAGAGAAATGGAATCATTGACGATATAATCTAGGTAGTTCTCCAGAACTTAAGTGCCTGATCAACCTAGGTAGAAAATTAGCAAAAGTTAGAATGCTCGATATAGTTTTTTTGGATCATTTTGATTACTCTATCCCATACTCGAGTACTAGAATTTTGAAAGAATAATACCTACCTATAGTAAAAGTTGATTTAATTGTATCATGAGCAGCCATCCCATCATGATGTCTGAATTACAGGACATATTTTATGTGGGTCCAGCCGCTTGGTAGGCCAATCAGATATGACGAATCATTAGCAAATCACCTTCCGTCAATTCCTAACCTTGCCGAAGTTGTCCTAACGTGAGCATCAAAAACCTCAGATTATCAACGCCCCTCCCGCAATTGCTCACACCAACATCCATCACGATGGCCTCTCTCACGCAAACCTCCCGCACACTCCTGAGGGCAATCCCACGGCGCGCATGCCCCTCCGCGCTGCCTGTACGAGCCCTCACAGTCTCAACCAAGAAATCCGAAGCTGCGAGCTCGTTCGATAGCCCCTTCAAGGGCGCCGCAAACGATAAAGCCGGAAGGATCCCCGATTTTAGCAACTATAGAAGCAAGAGTGGAACCACCAACAACCTCGTCTTTCAATACTTTATGGTCGGAACGATGGGTGCGTTGACGGCGGCTTCAGCGAAGGGTACAGTACAAGGTACGTTGTGGACGAACGCGGCGAAGGGTATTCGATATGGAGTCGGAAGCAGGATTTTGTGTCAAGGCTGGCTATGAAAGATTTAGATGGGGAGAATTTGGGCCGTTGGAACGAGTCGCTGATGTATTTGGGCCGCAGATTTCTTACAGAACATGTCCGCTTCCGCTGATGTGTTGGCCATGGCAAAGGTCGAGGTCGACCTCGCAGCTATTCCAGAGGGCAAGAACGTACGTAGACACATAAACTGGGTTGGCATATTTGTACGGTTGGAATACTGACTTGGGCAGGTCATTATCAAATGGCGTGGAAAGCCTGTCTTCGTTCGTCACAGAACCCCGGATGAGATTAAGCAAGCCGAGAGCGTTGATGTCCAATCATTGAGAGACCCTCAAAGCGATGCTGATCGTGTTAAGCAGCCGGAGTGGTTGGTTATGGTTGGTACGTTATAACTGTCCCAGCTTCCAAACGACGTCGGGAACACATGATCCTAATGAATTCTAGGTGTCTGCACACATTTGGGATGTGTACCAATTGGTGAAGCTGGTGATTTTGGAGGATGGTTCTGCCCTTGCCATGGTTCCCACTATGATATTTCCGGACGTATAAGAAAAGGACCAGCCCCACTCAACCTCGAAATTCCACAGTACGAGTTCGCCGAGGAATCATCGCTTGTTATTGGTTAGAGAGGGTTAATTGTATTTTGTGCCCAGAAGTTTTCATTTGTGGAAGGGGGGGCAGTGATGAATGGGATGGGTGAGAAGGGACGACGTAGAAGGAAGGAGTGCAGAGATGCCTTTGTACAAAAGATTATAGAGAAAGCATTTCAAAACGACTTCAAGTACTGCCGAAATTTTGACAGGTGATTCGTTGGCTGGGAACAGGAAAATAAAAAGTTGTGATGACTTGCTATTTGGGCCGCCAACAGAATATTACGCCATGTTGATTTAGGTAGGCCATGCCTGAAGTGTTTTCTGGAGGGACTACAAGCACTTACCAGTTTTCCTGCTCCATGATTTCCAGCACGCCTAGGAGCCTTGGTCAAAGCTCAGGATAGCAACTCGAAAAATAACAGTTAATAAGCCATCTAGTATAGGAGGGGTTTGCCGCTAGGTACCAAATCAAAAGAGAGGTGTGGACAGTAAGAGAGGTGGTCATTATTCTGTACACACGAGAGTTACAACAATATCATCTCAAAGACCTCACACAACTATAACAATCATACGAATGATTTAGAATAATTATTACTTTTCACTTCTTATTAACCTGGGTGAAATGAAATAATTGAGTCACTCGTGCCCGACTTTTAGCACAATGGCTTTTGGTGGCGTGTACTTGTACAGAGTAGTAACCAGGTTTCTCACATGAAGGGAAGTGAATAGGAACATTGAATGAAACAAACGACACAGTATCATTGGAGATCTCAACACGCTACCTTGCCTGTTATTCTCACTTCAATGCCAATCACATAGGCGTGTGCGGAGAGACTCAATGACGGGATTGCCAACGATGATTTTGAAAAGTAGCGAGTCTTCTGTCATTAAGCTGCCAGTCAGATAACAAGTATACGAGTTATTCACGAAGAGTTCAAGAGAATACTTATATAAACCTGGGCTTTTCTCATCATGTCATTCCAAGAATCAAAATAGATCAAAACCACAAAATATCATTCGCATAATTAGTATAATGTCGTCCAGACCCGCAACCCTACCAAAATACATAACTTCTGACCCTCCTCCAGAGGGCATCGTAGCGGACGAGTCCATCGCCTTCTTCAAGAATAAGCACCTTCGGACAGCGGGTGTCCTTTCTTTTCACCCAGCTCCTCAGGATCCGATTCTTAGGAGGCGAGTTTTGGGGGAGATTGGATCTGTTTCCTTCGATGGTTTTGAAGGAGCTGGAAGAGGGAATCCTGGTCAGGCTTGAAGTTGAAGATGAGGATGCGGCTTGGTATATCTGGGATCCCGGACATGAGTACAAAGTTGCTTGTGCTGAGAGGGATGAGGGTGTGATGAAGTGGAGGGGCTCTGAGGGGAGTAAGGAGGTGGTGGTATATGTGTGATGTTGGGAGATTTGTAGGAAAAGATGTTTGTTGGAGTCTTTGTGAGATTAGGAATGGTCCCTGGTGGGAAATGGCGGATCTATGATGCTGGAGACTGTACGAATATAGGCTGGATATTGTCAGTCGGTCTATGCGAATTACGAAATGTGTGACGTTTAGTTTAGAGCTATGATTTTCTGGGTTTGAAGTAACCACAAACCTGTCTTTCCTACTCGCTTACATTTCCTTTTCAAATGAACTTTCTCATTTTGATTCAAAAATGCTTGCACTGCAACCGAGCAGTCTCATTTTCCAATCACCTTTCAAAGCGAGAAACTGAAGCTGCTGCTAATTTCATCAAGAAGGTCTAGGGAACAGATGATTCCCAAGATTTCATCTAAAGTTATCTTAAGCATAGAAAATCCGATCCGCCGTCCAATCTCAAATATGTTACTCACTTCTTCAAAGTCTAGCCAGTATCTTGTGAATCACAAAACAGCAGTCCCTTGGACTATAAATTGATTCATTTTGCTGTTGAATTTCATCACCTTTACATATCGCTCGAATTATCCGCAAAACCAATACAAAATGAATTCAAAGCTCCCCACTATCTCGAATCTCCTGAACTACAAGGGCAAAGCTCGACAGGAACCAGTACCACAACCAAGAGCTTTAGTCCAAAACACAAGACGACAACCTACCGGTGGAACCTACGCGTCCTCCTCAAATGCTTATTCAACTCCACCAGACATAGGAAAAGGGAAGAAGCGAGCGAGGTCACCCACCCCACAACCCACCAGGCCAGCCAAGAAACGTCGAACGAAAGACGATATCAGCAGCATCCGCGACCGCTTCAATAGGGAAGCCATAAAACCGATGATCAGTGATCTAGTCCGACGCGCTCGTACCCGCATCCATCAGCTCGAAGTTGAAATGTTCTATTACAATCCTGTCTTCAATGCAACAGACAATAAATATTACTTCACAGCTTTCCTACCGCTGAAATTGTACGAACACATGTTTGAAAAAGCGGACGAAGACGCGGGCAAAGAAAAGTGGTGATTTATAAGTGGCGAAGGGTTCTGGAATGATTCTGTTATCATCCGGGTGGGATGCTCCTCCGAGTACTTCGAAACCGTCTTCGCTCAAAAAGTCTATTACAGTCAATATGTCCAAGTCGGAGAGAGGCTTGGTGGCGGCTGGTACAGAACCTATGAGTTTACAAGACCCCAAGAGCCCCTGGCTGAGCGCGATGATGCTGCTTTGGCGGCGGCCCTGACAATGGCCATAAACGCGAAACATTTAAATACCATCGACCCTTCTCTCGGAAGTTGGGCTCCGATTGGAGAGCTTGCCCTTCAAGATTATGACGGAGTCATAAGGGAGGTTGGGGCCTGTGATTTCTTTTAGATCGCTGTCACTTCTTTTTTTTATTTCTTTTTTTTTAGATGTTTGTATCATAGTCACAATGCGATGAGTTTATTAACAACATCCTCCCAGTAAACCTCTTGCAAAGTCCACATTAGGCGCAGAATTTCAGAAACATCATGTCATTCTCCAGTCTGGATGATCTCGGACTTATCAATAGGACCACCATGACATTTGAGCCACTAAAATTCCCCCTTCGCTAACCCCTTCGCTTAACGCAACTAGCAATTAGAAATCAAGAGAAGTACCACAACCCCCAAAATAAATTGGTATCTACAAATGAGGCTTTCTATATCACGAAAATGTGATTTTCGGGTGCAGTCAAGGTTAAGCACCGGCCGACTAATCGTTCCCTCCTCACCATCATCCCTTTCGACTGAAAAGTTCTCTTCCACCTAATTCTAAACTACCCCTTTCCGCCCTGGGCGAAGGTCCTGTGTATAGAGAATCAGAGATTGTCTCAAAAATCTTGCCGTGGTCGAGAAAGGCACTAGTATAACTGGGACTCTAATACGAGATAATTTGATTCTTTCAGACATCATTTTTGACATCTGGATACCTTAGTCCACCATTCCAGTTTATAGTGACCATAACACATCGTTCTAAAATGCGACGAATCCCACATATATTCTCTCCGAATGGCTCACATACATAAGGTCCCCCGGTAATCAAACCTGTGAATCCTTCCCTTCACCCTCATCCTCTCTAGGCTCATCTTCCGCAGGTTCATTTACCCTAGACTCGCCCTGACCAAAGTCTCTCACACTGACCGCTTTCCTCCCCACAATCTCCTTTCCAGTAAACCGATAAACCGCTCCCCTTAAAACGACTTCCATATTGCCATTTTCAACCTCTTCGCGAATCTCGCGATCGAAATCCCTCCGAGTGAAAAATGTATCTTCTTTAGCCCAGTGCTCCTTGCAAGCTTCGTACAAATCTTCTAGACGGAATGGATACTTATTGTAGCACAACCATGCGGTCAAGCGTGGGAAATTGAAGGTTCTGGGGAGCACTACGTATTGTATTGGCTTTGTTGTGGTGCTCTCGATGTTGGCTGATGACATCTTGATGCTTGTACGTTTTCGTGGTTGAGTTGACAGTCGTCTGGTCTGTATCGTAATTGGGGAAGCTTTTGAACTAAAGTTGGGTTGCTGGGTTGAGAGGAAGCGACGGAGCTCTTTACATCTTTTATAGTTTACGTTCAGAGAAGACAGATGACTAATCTATCGAAGATATGTTTTTTGAATATTCACACATGACCAACTTCAGTTGCAAACTCATCACAATCATCATAAGTGTCAAGTGTGAGATAGATTAGTGTGATTGGTAACCGAGACAACCAAGAACCAGCCACGGAAAATCTTGAATCGATAAACGAAGAGTTCTTCCAAATCCATTATTCACATAGTTATCAGAATTGTAGTATAAAAGAGCAAATCTTCTTCTGCAACCGGTACTTCCTCTATCTTTCATAAAATATCTACACATCAAACACATCTCTATCTCACAAACATCCACACCGAATCCAAAATGTCTCGATCACCATCTACAAGCAGTTGGGTTGAGGTCTCCAAGGAGAACGATTCCTCAACTCCTGCTCCAGCATCCTCACCTCCTGCTCCAGCCACATCACCAGTTCGATCAAGAGCCCCATCACCTCCTTCAAGAATAAGCTCAGTTGAGCCTTCTGAAAACCGTGCTGCTTCGCCAAGCGGTTCGCAACATGCTCCTTCCCCACCTAGTTCCCCTCCAGTTGTGCAAACCGGACCACAAAACGCTTCTCCTGGTTCCCCTTTAAGTTCACCAATATCATCCCAATACTCTTCTCCTGGCTCCCCTTTACTTTCGCCAAATTCAGCTGCCATGTACTCCTCCTCCTCCAATATGGACAATAATGGTGATACTGCCACACAAGAGACTCGCAGAGACCGCCGACGTCGCCGTCCACGACGCGGTGCCTTTGATCGAAACGCTTATGAAGGAAGCTCTATTTGTCGTCGTCCAGGTGGTGGCTGCCAAGTCGTTTCCAACCCAGCAAGACATGCGCGCAGAGCTAGCTCTCAAGTATCACCTAGGTCAACAGTTCCACAACGTGGTCCTTGGTTCCCAGTTAACAGAATGTCTGCTTTCCCAAACTTCTTGGCCGTCCGCATCGATTACCTCCTGCCAGTATTTGGAATCTCAGGCCGTAAGGTTGCCAGAGCGATTGAACGTGGACTGTTACCGGTATACGAAAACCCAGAGAGAGATAATTCCTTGGCCGTTCCCGTCGATGCCCTTCCGCCAGTATTTGGAATCACACCTTATGAGATCAACAATGCGATTAGTCTTGGACGCTTGCCGGTGTTTGAGAGCAACCCAGGGGCCGATGAAATCTACCAAGAACCAATCAATGGCCTCTTAGGAACTCTCCCTTTCATGATTCTGGTGTCGACGGGTCAACCATTTACAACTCTGGAGTTGATTGGTGCTCGTAGAGAATCGTACGGAAATGAGCCAATGGATGTGTTCCTCGGATGGTTGAATGATGAACTCTGGATTGGACGAATTGTGGATCTGGGTAACGGTCTCTTTCAGTATAACATTAATCATCCAACCCTGTGGAACTCAGACAATCTTGAAGAGGAGGCTATGGGCGACGATATGGATCACTATATGGGTGACGACGAGGATGAGGTTTATTATGAACAATGCTGCGAATGCGCCAACGGTGCCCTTCCAAGTGACAACTATATCGTTCATCCAGACTGGACAGTCGATAGATTGGAACGCGAAGGAGGACGGTCGTTCTATCAGAGATTTAGGTGCTATTAGCAGAATTGGAATGTTTACCAGCGGGTGGAACGATTCTTATGGGGCTGATCGAGAATTTCCCTTACCTTTGATATCTTTTTTCTTCATTTACCCTGCTTCTCCATCCCTGAACTGGCATGCATAAATATCGTTTGATGGAAGAGGATGTGATAGAACTCATATATAGAAAAGCAAGCCTGTCTTAAAAATATTTAAGCTTGTGACATTTGAAGTGAAACATGTATACGATATACCCACTTAACACTGCTCCTACATAGTTCCTCAAGAACTTTATTGACATTTTAATTACGAAGATCCCCAAAAGCTACTTTTTCCAAGCTCTGAAAGAGATTCAAGGTAACTAGCATGAGAGGTCTCGAGTATTTACCTAGATGAGTCTAGAGAATTGGCACAACGAAAAGCTATATTATCTGCCACCATTCCCGCTTCCCGCAGGGTGGTAGCTCTCAGATAATACTCGCTTCTCAATGAGCTGGCACCTCTAGATTACAAACCAATTTCATTTTGTGGGGTAAATGTTGGTGACAGCGAGAGTGCTGTTGGAACATGGGAAGCCTTGACCAATCATCGCTTAATCTGAATAGCTGGCTGCCTAGTCACCAAAGCTCATATCATGAGAGTGATTCACATGTTGGATTCTGCAGAAAGCATAAATACCCAAAATCACGAAAAGATATAAGCTGGCAGCCTGAGTATTACCAAAACTCAACCCACGTCCATCACAATATTTACATCTTTTGTATTGCACAGTTCAAAGATACTTGACGAGTGATATTCGTCTCCAAAGAGCTTACCAATGACACTCAAATTCTTATTAACTTCTTTTCGTTTACTTCCGTAGCAATCTCATCCGCTACTGCACTGCTTCCACCATTTCATTCCCAGTCAAGAATCCATGTCCTTTGCTCTCATATCTCACCACCTAATATAATACAAAAAAAATGAGCGAAGCCTGGGTACGCCATTTCGATGTAACAACACAATCCTGGTACCACCGCAACACCTCGACAGGCGAATCAAGATATTCAAACGACAACAACCAAGACGAGCTATCTGAAGAACCCGTTGAACAACATCCAGCCGACGAATAGCGCAGCATCCACGTAATAAGAACCCGCGGCGGCGGACCCGTATTCAAACACTGGGCACTATACATCGACGACCAAGTCGGGCCATACACAGGTTTCATATGTAACATCGAAGGGAAGAGAGAAAACTACCGATATGTGTGCAAGAGAGTCGAGATACCGAAGAGCAAAGGGAATTATGTGGATGAGTACCAGGTTGGGTATGTGGATACCAATTCTCTGGAGAAGCTTAAGGAGTTTGCGGAGGCGAAGAGGATTCGGAATGAGGATAGGTTTTGGGGGTGTGAGCAGTGGGTGTGGGAGATTTTGGGGGAATTGGAGGTGGAAGGTCTTCTGGAGCATAGAGAGGAGTTTGAGGAGCAGATTGCTGAATTGGAGAGGGTGAAAGGGCCGGGTTAGGTGGTGTGTGTTTTAAATATACGAAGCTACCAGAACTGAGTTCTTGGTTTCTCAGCAAGAATTTCATAATGAGAATCGTCTAGTTGTATGGAGACCATCTTATTTCCTAGTACTAATCTTCTTAATCCTCGCTATCTCTATCTTTAGAAGCACTGACGTTTGCAAAGTCCTTGACAAGCTCATCGAGTTCCATCGCATTGGTAACAACGTTCTTAAAACATCACTTATCTCGAACTCTCCATTACTTCTGTGGTGATATTTAACAACCTTAAATAAAACAACTTTGGCCTCTCTACGTCCTAGATAATTAACAAGGAGTAAAGAAGGAAGGAACCACAGTGCACAAGCCCTACAAAAGCCAAATATTACCTTTTACGCCGTTCAGCAACATACTACAGTATAAACCCTACAGCCCATTACCTCGCAGTACTTAACCCCCCCTCCTCTTCACCACCGCCCCCTTCCCCCGGATCTTGAAGTAACACACAAAATCCTAAGCCTAATGCCAACACCCCGACTTAATGAGATGAGCTCGGCTCACTCACCCAAGAGCTCTCAACTCGCATACCGAGAGCAGACAGGGGTAAAGCAAGGCAAGCAGTGGCACCAGATCTTTCTCTCAGTCGTTCCACCGCATCTCGGATACATCATACAGTAATTAATGATTCACAAGCGAGGCAAGGGGTACTATATTGTCCAAATGAACAGAACGTAATATGATAGATAAGAGAGCTTCTGTTAGTCTGATGACCACCACCATCAATCCTGAGATCTTCATTCGTAAGAGGAGATTTATTACAGAATGTGAACTAGAGCGAAGAAAGATACGCGAGGACCGGTACGTGAGAGCGTCATCATGTCATTCTTTGGCGCCCTGTGAAGATTCTGGTGGCTTGGGTTTTTGTGTAGTTGTAAATGTATGTAGCATCTCTTTTGACGAATACATAACGCGTTAGATGTTGGTTTGGCGATGAATCGGCATATTCCTGGGGAAATTATTGTAACTGAAACGGTCGACTAACAGATACCTATGTCTTCTGGCTCAGTGGAGATGTCACATCAAAAGCGCGCCACGTGACAAGATATCTATGTGCTCACCACAGTGCCTCACCGACATGTAGGTAAGCCTCACTTGAGATCCTTGGTTACACACATTACTCCATAAGAAAGTGGTACGCGAACCCCACTATGTGTAAAATGAATTCCAATGGGGGCTCGGGATGGCGCTTCGCTTGAAATGCATGTCATCAAGAGACCAAGGTCAAGAAATTGTCAAAAGGGCAATATGATATGTGACGTACGATCTTGAGATGCATCTGTCCGACTTGAGTACCGTAGATTCTTGGCCATTCATTGATGTGGTGAGATTAGGCAGTCTTCAAATTCTCCGAAAGTCGAGGTTGACCCTGTGAAATAAGCAAAGGGAAACATCAAGCTTGGTGATTGAATGCCATAATGGCTGAGCCGATATCAGATAGGAAGAGAGGGGTTTCAAAGATCCTTGAACTTATGTATGGAATATCGTGGGGTTTGCGTGGGGTGCGTACTAAGCAAAAGCTAACGGCTATCAATCAGATGTAGCAGGTCTCTTGCCTACAACCACTTATACTGCCTGTCATACGATGTCTCTTTGAATGGCGAGCTTGCTCCTTCAAGCTCACCGCACGGGGGTCATGACAGGCTCGATCGTGCCCTACATATTACTAGTGTGTGTCTCAGGAGCTGCGGTTGCCCCAAAATTGAATGAGCAGCGAGAATCACACTCAATGTCTTCGGGCTATTGCATCTCTCTGCCCCTCAATACACCTTGATTATAGTCTTGGTACTCGGTATGCAGTCGAATAGAAGTTTGGGACCGTCCGAGGAAACCCTACTTTATACAGTAGCCTCGCAGACTCGCATCGCAGATGGAGCGAGGCGATTATTTCAAACTTGGTATAGTATCTGCATCTGCATCTGCATCACCTTGGGCGCCACTCGGACTGCAAAGAAGATGTCGACATACTCTGGGCTGAGACCAATGGTTCAACGCTCTATCGCTGGCCATTGTCGTGGAATGAGAAAATCCTGCAGCACCAGAGGCAATTGACATGGCAATCTTTCAAACCTCAATGACCAAACGATGTAATCAAGATGCCAGTATATTTTAGCAAGTTTTCCCGTCCATCTGCAACCTTCACCGGGCCAGCAAAGGTCACATCCACCGACAAGCCACCATCGGAACAGTAACTAGGATGCCTGGACTGAGCCACTTGGTAGTTTGTAGGTTGTGACAGCCGTTCGGCAGCAGCTAGGATAGGTGCATTGCGGATGGCGGAAGAGAATAATCGAAGAGGACGATGTTGTACCTACTCGTCATATATCCAAGACTCGGCCAACCCATTGGGTGGTTGTAGGTACCGGGTACCTTTCAGTCGACCATCCATGCCGCGGAGAGAATTGAGTGGCTATTGGTATATATTTGACGAAGATGTCTGACCTATCAACCCAGCCCTTATATGCCTATCCCTTTGTTTATGTCGTGGTGCCGGCGGTGTCAAGAATCGAGATTGTGTTTTAGATGAGCCTCGGGAGCCAAAAGGAAGAAGTTGCCTTGAGGCATGCTTGCTGCTGCGCTGCATTCGTCCGAAGTTGGCCGGCGCAACTCCCGCGGTTCAGATTTTCTGGCGGCAATGGCGATAGCAGGTAATCCTGGACAGTTTCATTAGCTGTGCGGTCGTCGCATTTGTGCTGGCTGTGCGGTGCTGTGCTGTGCCAAAGATGGTTGAGAACTCGTCCCATAGAGAAGCCTGAAGCCTCAATGAATGCTTGGCTCTAATCAACGTAGCGCTCCGTAGCCCACCCTGCCCTGCATTCAAGGAGCAATCAGCGGCACATCAACGGCCGGAATCCATGGAGGACTTGAACGCTTGACTAGGGGCTGGAGGGGCAGAGGGGTGGAGGGGTAGAGGGGGGATCACCTGTGCTGGCTTCCCAATGGAGAAATTCTTTTGGCGACGATGCTAAGATGCAAGGGAGGCACCACGAGGGGAGGGACTGACAACAACAATGTACCAGCAGACGGTGTAGAGCAGAGTTGGCTTACGAGAACAACGGAGGGGCTCTGAGCGGATATCTCCCGGGCATTTACATCCTATGAAGCTTCGATTTTGAGTTCTCAGCACCGCCGTGGGTTGAGAGTCGAGATTCACTGGTTCAGGTCCCCCTCTCCATTGTCTACCTAGTAGGTACCTACGGAGTATAGCTGGGTTACTGGGTACCTAGGCTAGGTAGCTAGCTGGTGCTGGGTAGTCAGGTAATTTCGTCATGCCCGGGTCAAAGCACTAGCGTCTCTATAAAAAGGCCCCTCCCCCTCACTGCTCCCTCGGCTCTACGTAACCTCTACCTACCTACATTCATGTTCTCCCGTCTACGTCGCCAACTTCCAAACAAACTTGCAACCAAATACCAACAACCTACCACTCGACCCTTTACCTCCACAACCGCAGTCATGGGTGTCACCAAGACGATTCTTTCCGAGGGCAACGGCCCAATCCCCAAGAAGGGAGACACCGTCACCATCCAATACACGGGCTATCTCAAAGACACCAGCAAGCCTGACAACAAGGGCGACAAGTAAGCAATTGGCTCTCCCTCTTCCCCTGACTACCTACTAGTCTCTCGGGTGCTCATGCAAACCATCTACAGATTCGACTCTTCCGTTGGCCGTGGTCCTTTTGTCGTCCCTATTGGCGTTGGCAAGGTCATCAAGGGTATGGCTAGATCCAGTTCTATACTAGTAGAGGTAATCACTGACGGGTAATCTTAGGATGGGATGAGGGTGTTACTACCATGAAGGTTGGAGAGAAGGCCAGCTTGGACATCACTTCGTAAGTCTGCCTATAGCCAACTACTCAATCATAAGCCAAAGCAATACTAATTTCTACACAGAGACTTCGCATATGGCGACAAGTATGTTATCTGACATTCTTTTTAGTTTTACAACAAAATTCCTACAACGTGCAGGTACAGAACACATACTGACTGAAATACAGTGGTTTCCCAGGTCACATCCCACCCGGAGCTGCTCTTATCTTGTAAGCACTCGAGTCTTATTTACCAACTACTACTTACCAGGATTCTTACTAACAGACACTTAGTGATGTTGAGCTCCAAGGTATCAAATAGGCGACGCAAATCCTACCCGTCTACTCTCTCTTGCTTCATAGCGTGGGTACCAGTTAGGACATGGTGACCGAAGGCAGAATCAAGCCCAACCTTAGCTGAAGAAAAAATGAAACAAGACTGTTGATAAGATCCGAACCTTTTTTTGTTTACTTCTCGCTAGTACGTGACTGCATGAGTTACTGATTCGAGTATCATATGGCCACAATAGCTGGCTAGCCTTGCACAAATCAAATGCCCTTGGGGTCATTTTAGGGCGAGCCTGAGTGAATTGTTTCAGAATGTGTGGTGAATTTCCAATTTTTTGCCCCACCCCTTCCGTCATTGGCGGGGTCGTTGGGCAAAGCTCGGGAGTCAGTGACCCTTCACCCTTGAGCCTTGAGCCTTGAGCCGCTTGGTAATGGTTTTCAGTAATCAACACCTACATTTGAGCAAGAGCAGCCTGAAAGACATCGGGGAAATATACCTGTGTTCCCAGTGAATCCATTCATATAAATATTGTAAATGTCATGTGGAAATAGTGATAAGGTTCTTCAACTTCCAACTCTGCTCAACTGCTGAGCTCCAATCAAGCCCCCTGTCGTGCTTAGTAAGGCTCTCTAGAGCCTTCGGTGAGCTCCAGCTCTCTGTGACGGGAATTGGTCAACGGTCAACGCGACTGCCCATTTCCAAGCACCTCTTCCTCTTACCTTTCAGGTTCTCAAGACTTCATCTAGCGTACGACCAATACCCTTACCCTCCAACCCCCATCCGACGCACATATACACAGTTGATCCTCTCAAATTTCCTCTCCAACACCCTCCCAAACTACAAATAGAACCGCTATCTACCTGGAGCAGTTCACGTCTGGCAGTCTGGAACTTGAGCCTGCTTGGGACGCCCAATCCTCCGCCACCATTACCTCCCAAGCAGTAAACAACCAAGAGAGCAAGCTGGCGAAGCGCAAGTTATCTGGTGCGGACGAGTCAACCCCGATACAAAAGAAAATAATGGCTGTGAGTCGGCCTTTCCTGTCTCCGGGTGGTGGAGGGCACATGGAGATCGTCAGCGAGGAGTCTGGCTCTGATAGTTGGAAGAAGCTAACCATATCACCACAGGACGCCAAAGATATAGATATGGATACGAAAATGCAGGTCGACGAAAGCGTCGTGGGCCACACGGAGATTGATGAGTCTCTATACAGTCGACAACTCTACGTCCTGGGACACGAGGCCATGAAGCGCATGGGAGCTTCGAACGTGCTCATTGTTGGGTTGAAGGGCTTGGGTGTGGAGATTGCAAAGAACATCGCTCTTGCTGGTGTCAAGAGTCTGACGGTCTACGACCCCGCCCCCGCAGCCATTGCAGATTTATCATCACAATTTTTCCTCCACCCCGAGGACGTTGGCAAACCCAGAGCTACCGTTACAGCACCACGACTTGCGGAACTAAACGCATATACTCCTGTATCCGTCCATGAGTCAGACAGGTATGTTTTCTGTTGCACTGCAAGCGGAGCAAAGCTAACGTGATCTTTAGTCTAACTACCAACCTCTCCCAGTTCGACAAATTTCAGGTTGTTGTTCTCACGAATACTCCACTCAAGGATCAACTTATAATTGGCGACTATCTGCACTCCAAGGGCATATATTTGGTGGTAGCTGATACTTTTGGCCTCTTTGGATCCATTTTCTGCGATTTTGGAGAGAAATTCAGTGTTCTCGATTCCACTGGCGAGGCACCCGTAAGTGGCATTGTTGCGGGTATCGACGAGGAAGGTCTTGTTTCTGCTTTGGATGAGACTCGTCATGGATTGGAAGATGGGGACTTTGTCACATTTACGGAGCTTGTCGGCATGGAAGCCCTTAACATGGCAGAGCCTCGTAAGGTTACCGTCAAAGGGCCTTACACTTTCTCGATCGGAGATGTGTCTGGTCTCGGTACTTATAAGAAAGGCGGTATGTACCAGCAGGTTAAGATGCCCAAGTTCATTGACTTTAAGACCATCACTTTATCCATTAAGAGCCCTGAATTCCTGATCTCTGATTATGCCAAATTCGACCGTCCCCAACAACTTCACATCGGATTCCAGGCGCTTTATGCTTTTGCACAAACTCACAACTACTTTCCAAGACCAATGAACAAGGAGGATGCGGCAGTTGTCATCGCCTCCGCGAAAGCCTTTGCCAAATCGGAAGGTCTCGATGCTGAATTGAACGAGAAGCTTCTTATGGAACTTAGCTACCAAGCACAAGGTGATCTTAGTCCTATGGCTGCCTTCTTTGGTGGTCTTGCAGCTCAAGAGGTTCTTAAGGCAGTTTCTGGCAAATTCCACCCCATTAATCAATGGTTGTATTTCGATTCTCTAGAATCGCTGCCAGCCAATTTCGGGCGCTCAGAAGAGCTTTGCAAGCCTCTTAACTCACGTTATGATGGTCAAATTGCTGTCTTTGGTCGGGAATTTCAGGACAAGCTTGCAAATATTCAAGAATTCTTGGTTGGTGCAGGTGCCATCGGATGCGAAATGCTGAAAAACTGGGCAATGATCGGTCTTGCTGTTGGTCCAAAAGGAAATATCACTGTCACGGATATGGACTCTATCGAAAAGAGCAATCTCAATCGACAATTCTTGTTCCGACCAAAGGACGTTGGAAGCCTGAAGAGCGAGGCAGCAGCAGCAGCGGTTCAAGCCATGAATCCAGAACTGCAAGGTCATATTGTTACACTAAGAGATAGAGTGGGACAAGATACCGAGCACATTTTTAACGAGGATTTCTGGAATTCTTTGGACGGAGTTACTAACGCACTTGACAATGTTGATGGGCGTACTTACGTCGATCGTCGATGCGTCTTTTTCCGCAAGCCTCTTTTGGAAAGTGGTACTTTGGGAACCAAGGGTAATACCCAGGTTATCATTCCACATTTGACCGAGTCATACTCAAGCTCTCAAGACCCACCAGAGCAGTCATTCCCGATGTGCACGCTTAAGAGTTTCCCTAACAAGATTGAGCATACCATTGCATGGGCAAGAGAGCATTTCGAGGCTTACTTTGTCAAGCCAGCTGAGACAGTGAACCTTTATCTAAGCCAACCTAACTATCTGGAAACCACCTTGAAACAGGGCGGCAACGAGAAGGCTACTCTCGAGATGATTCGCGATTATTTAGTGGAAGATAAGCCACTTACTGTGGAAGATTGTATCAAGTGGGCACGTTTGCAATTTGAGAAGCAGTTTAACAACGCTATTCAACAGCTGCTCTATAATTTCCCCAAGGACTCGGTATCGTCAAGCGGAGCTGCATTCTGGTCCGGACCAAAGCGTGCCCCAGATCCATTGAAATTCGACCCCAAGAATGAATTCCACTGGACTTTTATTGCTGCAGGAGCCAATCTTCATGCTTTCAACTACAATATCAACACCAAGGATCTTACCCCAACTACCATACAGAAAGTCTTGGACAACATGATCATTCCAGACTTTGCTCCAAGTTCCGCTGTCAAGATTCAAGCTGATGATAGCGAGCCGGTATGTAAAGCTCTATTTATTTTGTCTCTTGTTTAGATCAAGAGAATGCTAACGGTACTAGGATCCAAATGCAAATGCCAGCGCATTCACTGATGGTGAAGAACTTCAAAATGTCATTGATAAACTTCCACAGCCAAAAACCTTGGCTGGTTTCAAGCTTCAACCTGTTGAATTCGAGAAGGATGATGACACCAACCATCACATTGATTTCATCACCGCTGCAAGCAATTTACGTGCTGAGAATTACAAGATCGAACTTGCTGATAGACACAAGACGAAATTTATCGCGGGCAAGATCATCCCAGCAATCGCGACAACGACAGCACTGGTCACTGGGCTCGTCATTCTTGAATTGTACAAGGTGATTGACGAGAAGAAGACGCTCGAGGAGTACAAGAATGGATTTGTCAACCTTGCTCTACCATTCTTTGGTTTCAGTGAGCCAATTGCAAGTCCCAAGGATACATATAAGGGCAAGGAAGGTGATGTCTCGATTGACAAATTGTGGGATCGATTCGAGATTGACGATATGACATTACAAGAGATGCTCACATGGTTCGAGAACAAAGGTCTGACCGTCACGATGTTGAGCTCTGGTGTCAGTCTTTTGTACGCCAGCTTCTACTCAGCCACAAAGCTCAAAGAGAGATACCCGATGAAATTGAGTGAACTTGTAGCTTTCATTTCCAAAAAGCCGATCCCAGACCACCAAAAGAATGTCATCTTTGAGATCTGCGTGGAGGATAGTGCTGAGGAGGACGTTGAGGTTCCATATGTCATGATGAAGATGAACAGATAGAGGAGGTCTTCTTTTGGCTGGGAGCTTGGAATGAATATGATGACGATTCATGGTTGATGGATATTTTTTCTTTCATGGGAGGTCCACGGTAGGCAGGGGAGAATCACTTTATGGTTGGCTTCATGATCGGTACAGCTAGAGCGCATTTCCTTCTGTATCAAGCCTTTTGACTCGAGCAAGCGAGTTTTTACAAAATAGAATCATTTTCAATTCATTTTCAATTCATTTTCATTGTTTTCGCTTGTGATTCGTGTCTCTTGAGAAATCCTGAAAAGACATTCTGGTCACGGAAGACCAACCGAAGACCCTCTGCACTTACGTACTCGAGTATATCTACAAGCATTGGTTGATTCATTATCCGCTTTGGGATGATTTGAAAGGATTAATAAGGACCCCGCATGAAGCCTGTGGATACCATTTTGACAGCCTCGCAGACTGATGATGTTGATTGGTTGACCATCTCAGCTATCCCTGGTCAAATCAATGACGTTGTCATGATTATTGAGAAATTGAGTGGGGTTCAGGTACTGTACTTATCAAGCTTCTACAAAGCAATTGGTTGTAGGATAAGCCTAGCAAGCTGACTAGATAGTTTATAGATTACCCCGCCATTTTTCTGGTCTCGTTTCGTTCTTTCAAGGTCTTGAGAATTGTGGCTTTTTTGTTATTAATACGGCTGTTTCAGTCTTTCTTTCCCTCTCTTTACCTTCTTTCTGTGGATGAATGCTTTTTACCTGCATATTGTCTAGTACTTCCCAACTTCCGAAGATCCAGAGCACGACGAGATCTTGGACCTTGAAGGGATTTAACAAGGATTTGGCTTTGAGATACTACGCAAAAGTCAATGCAAACATGGCGACGGGTAAGACGGAGAAGATCACGAACTGGGTGGCGCCGGGGGATAAATCGGGGGAGTTTAAGAGGGGACAGAGTCAGTTTCGGAATTTTGTTAGGAGGGGAGGGGAGTTTGAACCGGAGGGGGGAAGGTATCATTTATTTGTATGGGTTCTTTCTTTTTCCCTCCTCTATTGTTTATGCTGCCCCTCCTGGCCTTCTTTCCTGCAAGATCGAGGAGCTGAGGATTGCAAAATATGGATTGACTAACACCACCAACCCAGGTCTCCTACGCCTGTCCCTGGGCCCATCGAACCCTCATCGTACGCCAGCTCAAAGGCCTCCAAGATATCATCCCGTATACGAGTGTACATTGGCACATGCAAGAGAAAGGATGGCGGTTTGCAACGGAGGGGGATCGTGATGCGCCGGGCGAGTTTGTGAGGGGTGATCCGGTGGAGGGTCATGAGGGGTATACGCATATTCGGGATGTGTATTTTGGGGTGGATAAGGAGTATCAGGGACGCTTTACGGTGCCGTGTTTGTTTGATACGAAAAAGGGGCGGATTGTTAGTAATGAGAGTTCGGAGATTATTAGGATGTTTTATGAGGAGGTTTGTTGATTCTTTCTTTTTCTTTCTTCACCCCTCTCTCGACTTATCTATGGGTTTTGTGGTTTTGTACTTTGACTAACGGAGCGGCATAGTTTGACGACCTCATCGAGCCGAAATATAGAGATGTCAAACTTCTGCCCAAGGAATTTGAGGGCGAGATTGATAAGGCGAATGAGTGGATTTATAATGATATTAATAATGGGGTTTATAAGTCGGGGTTTGCTACTACGGAGGAGGCTTATACGAAAGCTGTCCAGACGCTTTTTGGGAGTCTGGATAGGGTTGAGAAACATCTGGAGGGAATGAGTGGGAAGGGATCGTACTGGTTTGGAGAGGAGATTACGGAGGTTGAGTGAGTTTGTTCTTTCTTTCCGGTTTCTTTGGGGGTTTGAACGGTATTTTGGTGGAGGAGATGGATGGTTGTAGAGGACAGGCGTGAGGTGGAGGGGATATATCGAGTGTTTTTCTCTCTCTGTTCTGTCCGGTTACCAGTTAGAGCTGCTGGAAGAGAGAGGAGACATCAAGCGATGAGCTCTTCCTATTCCACCATGGCATCTTTTAAGGTTTCTGGAAAAGAGATCGTCGACATTAAATTGTTTGAAGCTTTCCCAGATCATCAAGATCTTCAAAGATTATTTTTCGAGAGGAAAAAAAGAGCTTGGTCTCAATGCTCCGAGATAATCATTTCACGCCGAAATAGACAGTCACTAATTCGTCCCATAGTGTCCGTCTCTTCACAACCATCGTCCGATTCGATTGCGTCTACGTACAACATTTTAAAACCAACATCCGCGAGATTCGATCGGGATACCCATACATCCACAAATGGCTTCGGAATCTCTACTGGAACCATGCAGCTTTCAAGGACACGACAGAGTTTACTCATATTAAGTGTCACTACACGAAAAGCCACACACAGGTAAGCTCTCCTTTCTTTCATCAATTGGGGCTGATGCGGCGAAAATCATTTCGGGGATTAATCGTTGGTGTGTCACTTTAGATCAATCCTTATAGTATTACGCCCGTTGGACCTGAACCTCCAATTTTGAGGGAGGATGAAGAAGTTCCTGCGGTGAAGTATGCGTTGGCGATGGCAGCGAAGAAATGAGTGATTATAAGATGAAAGGATTATGAGAAGTATTCGTTGTGTGGTTACCGTTGGTACCTCAATACAATTAATTTTCCCTCGTGTCCCCCTTCTCTTATGTGTTTCCATCTTTTTGTTTTCTTCCCCTAAGTTTGAGGGGTCTGCAGGTACATTTGTGTCCCCGGAAAGGCATTTAGATGTGCCGCATGCGCCGATGTTGGGGGTCTGCGGATACTGTCAGTTGGTAAATTTATTATTCATCGCCAATTCTGATAGATGGGATGAGCTGGGCGGTTGTTTCAAGTTTCGTCCGGTTTTTTGTACCTCCATAAACGATTCGTATTTTCTCGTGGGGATGAACTCCTTCGCACTGCATTTATACGTACGAAGTAGTCAGCGCGGTTCGCTTTGCAGGCGTGGCAGGGAAGAGAGCTTCGTCAGCCTGCACGACATAGCGGTTTCGGATGTTTTCATTGGTTGATTGTTTTGAGCTTTTGCGCTTTGCGGCAAAGACAAGAACTTTGTAGTCCGTGTAAATTCTTTACTTTCGCTTGTCATCCCACCAGCTCCTCCCGAGAATGATCCCGAGGGAGGAACTGCTTAGTTGATGGTTCCACTCGAATGCGATGGGTAAGATTCCATTTCATAACGTATTGCGCGTTGGTGATTGTCATCCACTCATAAAGTGGCGAAGTCTCTCAGCGGTTAATGGCCAAGTATGATAAAGAGATGCTTACCCGCCGTCTTTGAAGTCGTCCCATCTTTTCCATTGTGCTATTCACGGACTTTACTTTTGATTTGACCATTAACTACATTCATTCGTTATTGGATCTCTAACCAACAGTTATTCATTCTTTTATATCGATACTCTCTTTTACAGACCTTGGAATAGATAGATTCTCGTCCAAATAAACTCGCTTTGTCGTTCTCAATACAGTAAAGAACGTATCTTCTACTTGCAATCGCATCACAACTGAACGATGCATTACTCGAAACTCGCCTACGCTCTGGTAGCGATCCAACCAGTAGCAGCGCACACTGCCTTCACTACCCTCTTCATCAATGATGTAAATCAAGGTGATGCAACTTGCATACGAATGTTCCACGACCCGGAGAGAGCCACGGATCCCGTCAACGACTTGTCAAGTCCCGACATGGCGTGTGGATTCGATGGCACAGTCGGAGTAGCTCGCGTCTGTTCAGCTCAACAAAACTCCAAGTTGACCTTTGAATACCGCATCTGGCCAGATGCCTCCCAGCCTGGTACTTTGGACCCGAGTCATAAAGGTCCTTGTGCGGTGTACATGAAGAGCACCGGCTCGGCTGTTTCAGACAAGGGAACTGGTGATGGATGGTTCAAGATTTGGGATGAAGGGTATGATGCCGCGGCCGGAAAATGGTGTACGGAGAAGGTGATTGATAACCAGGGATTGTTCTCTGTGAAGGTTCCTGAGGATCTTGCTGGTGGGAATTATCTCGTGCGATCTGAGTTGATCTCGCTTCAGCAGGCGGATAAGTCACCTCCTAACCCACAGTTCTACGTTGGCTGCGCGCAGATTTTCTTGGAGTCCAAGGCGACGACTCTACCACAGGATACGGTCTCCATCCCTGGATATGTCACGATCAATGATCCTTCTGTCTTGTTTAGCATCTATGATCCGAAGCCAAAACCTTACACCACTCCTGGACCTCCAGCTTACCAGCCGGGTGTGAGTGCTAGCACACAAGTCACAGCCGTGACTCAACAAACCGAAGGATTACTTCCTGCCGGGACAGTTCTTACAAATGGAAACTGGGCTGGGACGGAAGTCAAATCTTACACGGACGAAAAGGGATGTAATGAAGCGGCTGCCGATTGCTGGAAAGAGTCACAATCTTGTTACGATACCGCGCCTGTGACTGGCCATGCCAACTGTGAGATTTGGGAGACGAAGTGTGAGGGTATTCGAAGTGCTTGTGACTCGAATTCGTTCCAGGGGCCACCGAGTTCTGGGAAGATGCTCACGCCTGCTTCGAAGAAAGTCGTTACTCCTGCTGCCGTCAATGAAAGGTCTTCTTCCAGCAGCTCCTCTTCGACAAAATCTGTTCCTGCTAATCCACCTGTTGCGGAAAACCAACCTGTAAGCCATATTCCTTACACTCCTTCTATTTTTCCAGTTCGAATGTTTGCGTCTCCCTCTCCTTTTCCTTCTCGGTCTCAAAACGCGCATGCGATGTTCACGTCGCCTCCATTACCGGACGATGAAATTATCACGATCCCCGGCTCAACAACCACGACCACAATCTGGACTTCAACAACCATCCTCTCCCTTCCTCCCGGTTCTCCCCTCCCAACAGGCTGGAGTAGTCCTCCTCCACCTCCACCTGCACCCTCACTACCGAATCCCGACCCAGGACCCCCTCATCCAACCATACTAAAACCCACACAGACCGCTCCTCCCCCCTCAGATCCCGATGCCACCTCGCCTACGCACGTGGAGACCGATAAGACGGCCGAGTGCGGGGAGGGCAAACAGAAGTGCGAGGGTGAGATAAGGGATTTGTTTGGGAGCTGTTGTAGTGCGCATGGGTGGTGTGGACGGACGAAGAATCATTGTGGGAGGGGGTGTCAGGGTGCGTTCGGGCAGTGTAGACAGGTTAAGAGGGAGGGACGGTGGATTGGGAGGTAGGGTATTATGGGAGGATCTAAGTGTGGTGGTGAGGGGGAGATGAAAGAAGATTCGAAGGCTCGAAAGGGAAGTGGTTCGTTTCTATTGTCCATATTTTATACTTTGAGCTTGCTTGAAGAGTAAGCGCTGGAATTCTGGATGGATGGATGAATGGTTTACGATATATCGGTGTTTAGAGCCGTGCTCTGATGAGATTCTTTCACAGTACCTAGCTGGGAATATTAGAGATTTTTGATCTAGCTATGGTTATTGGTTTTGCTTTGAGTGTTGGATGTTATTGTTATTGCTAAGATGAAACGGAAGATCTGGTTATTTGAAGTGTGGCGTAAGAAACAACTACTTAACTACTTAACTGGTCGAGTGTTACTTGAGTAGAGTAGAGTAGGTTAGAGTAGAGTAGCGGGTTCTACTTAGGTAGTGATAAGTACGGGATTTAAATCTAAAGCGCTCGGTTATACTATCGCTTATACATAAGGGGGGTCGCTAAGTTCGGGCTGTCAGAGCGGCTGGTTGAGGCTCGGCCCAACTTACTTCGTACTATTCGAGTAGTAGTCGGGTATTTGGACAGTAGAGTAGAGTAGAGTGAAGTTAAAACCAACTTAAGTGGCACCTACTCTATTAAACTCCATAAATTTCTTATGCTAATAACGCAAGGTATCTTGAAATTTGGAAAAGGCCATTGGAAGTAAAGTATTTGCGTAAGACCTCTGATCATTTAAAGAACTTTATTATCCGATATTTTCTGTATGGTTTGGTGGTTTAGATGAAATTACTCAAATATGTAATCGGTTAAAATTCCTTGTTATTTCTTTAAATTTCAATCAATTGAATAAATGAATAAAAAAGAATTGACTATTACGAATTAAATTACGATGGTAAGATAGCTGCTTATTATCGCTTTTTTCCCCGCTAGGAGATCTCTCACTACTTTCTATTAACCATCTCTTACTTCTGAAATTTATCTATGAATAAATTTACTTATCATTGAGCTTTGAGCTTGCGATTAGTACTGTAGATTGGAGGGGTTGAATTATCGGATGATTCGAATGCGAAATTTATACAGAGACGAATAAGTCAACACCAAAACACTTTGATCTGCATCAGCAACTCTTTCACTCCCTCTTTCTCTTATCAAACAAGCGTATTCACTAGGAAGCTTTGGACTTGTAGTTACTAGTTGGTGACGTCTGGATCGCTCCAGCTGATAACCACCTTGGCATCTCTCAACCCCAACCCCAACATATGGACTGAATACAACACACGAAAGATTTAAGTAGTTGAGCAGATTTTTTGGATACTTCATCAAGACCCAGATCTTAGAGTAGTCATACTTGCGCGCATACAGATCACGAGAAGAAAGACACGATACGAAACCTCCAAATTTCACGACCCCTCATTACCCCACATACTGTACAAGCTCTTCGACTTCGACCTACCTAGGTATACCAGGTTACCTCAGCACAACCACAAACATGGCACCGCTCTACCCAGCCTTCGCACCAAACAAGACCGGTCACCTGAAAGTATCCGAGATCCATTCTATCTACTACGAGGACTGTGGAAAGCCAACTGGAGTTCCAATCCTCTACCTGCACGGTGGACCAGGAGGAGGACTTGATGCGAGCGACAGGTGCCCATTCCAATTTAATCCTATTCGATTCCAAAATTATATGCCTAGTAAATGACAAACACTGACTAACAAACCCAAAACAGACAATACTTCGACCCCTCCCACTACCGCTCCATCCTCCTCGAGCAGCGCGGATCCGGCCGCTCCACCCCACACGCTTCACTCATCGACAACGATACATGGAGTCTAGTAGCAGACTGCGAAGATCTGCGCAAACACCTAGGAATCTCGAAATGGATTGTCTTTGGCGGTTCCTGGGGTTCCACCCTCTCCCTAGCATACTCGCAGAAGCATCCTGATCGATGTCTGGGCCTGATTTTACGGGGGATCTTTACATTGAGGAAGGAAGAGTTGCTTTGGTTCTACCAGAAGGGCGCTGATATGTTGTATCCGGATTACTATGAGGCGTATAAGAATGTTATTCCCGAGGCGGAGAGGGGTGATATGATGGCGGCTTATTATAGGAGGTTGACGGGGGATAATGAGGTGGAGAAGTTGAAGTGGTATGTTTTTTTCTTCTATTTCCTGGCATATAGAGGAGGATTAATGGATGTGTGCTGAATGTTTGATAGTGCTGGTGCTTGGAGTACGTGGGAGAATTCGACGAGTAAGTTGCTTGTTGATGCGGAGTATATTAAGAGAAGTGAGGATCCGAAATGGCATGTTATCTCCTCTCTTCGTGTACGGAGATTGTTGCTGATATGGATAGGGCATTGGCATTCGCACGTATCGAATGTCATTTCTTCATTAACGAAGGTTGGATGACCGATGGTCAACTGATTACTGATGCACACAAAATTGCTCACCTCCCTATCGTTATCATCCAAGGACGATACGATATGGTTTGTCCTGCAAAGACGAGCTGGGACTTGTATCAAGCTTTGGGCGGAGCTTCGAATGAGAAAGTGGAGTACAAGATTATCGCAGATTGTGGACATAGTGCTCATGAGAAGAGGATTGAGGAAGCTTTGGTAGATGCTTGCAATAAATTTAAAACTATTAGAGCGGAGTAAGGAAGTTAGGATATTGTGGGTTGTGGTTGGATACGTAGTAAGGGAATGAAATGATCTACTGGCTAGGTATCGTTCTATCAATGACTGCTCTTTTCATATTCGCTCGGCAAGTACCACCAGCAACGCGCGAAGAGCCAGGCGACCAGCATATAAAATTGGAAGAGCTGCTTTGGAGGGGGCTGGCTACCAAAGATGGCAACCAGACCGCAACCACATAGTAACTGCTTCGCATGGAGAAACATGTGCCAGGTTTCTGGATGAAAAGTCTGCCACTTTTCTTTGTCGTCTGCTGGGAGATCAGATCATGTCTCCTACGAGTAAGCGAACTAGTTTCATTTGCGAACATTCGAATTTTGCCAGTTTACTCGACATTACTATTTTTTTCGACAGTAAATTGACCCAATAATGACACTATGAGAACCACGTTTTGCCGGTTGTGATATAGGATGGGGTAAGGTTCTTAACACACTCGTCATCGGGTCCATTTGGGAATGTGCCTATTGTGTGTAGTATTTGGGTAGCGTCGTGGCCGAGCTTCAGTCCCGTTTTTCTCGCCCGGTATGTCTCAATCGTCTGAAGTGCTAAAGCCCCTTCCAGAATCTGGATCCTCTGTTGCAACGATTCAATCGTGACTTCTGGCGCCTGGGTAGCCTCCGTCGCTTGGGTTGATTTGATGAACTGTTCAAACTCGTCTTCGTCCAATATGTAATTTGATTCTCAGGCTTTTGCTCTCGCCGCTCTTTGCTCATTAGTACTCCAAGCCAAGTCCCATCCCGCCTTCGGCTTTTCTGACTGGCTTGCACTGACGTGATTCTGATGTAGACTGGCAAGTCAACATCTTCACTTGCGGAGGTAAAGGTCTACCACCACACCACACTTTTTCTGGAACATTTTTCTGATCAAATCTTGTCGCTTGTTTGAGTGTCATCTTGGTCATCTTAAAAGGGAGTGTTTAGCTTGGGTTCGACCAATTCAGCGCATCCTATTTTCTACCCTGGGGAGTTATGAAGGTCTTGGTCTGCTAGTGATAGCAATCAGAGTTTGATTTTAAGTACGATGACGTTTGGTTCCTATGTTCCTTGTTGTCGCTCTGGCTAGGGGGTTAAATAGACATCTTCGATTCTGTAGCATGGTTAGGAGATGAGGGTTGTTGGAGAATGGTTGGGCATTGTGATATTGGTGATATTAGTGATGAAGGATTTCGATTAAGAGAACCAGGTACGCTTAAGAACCTATTAATAGAGTAGGAGTATTGAAATGATTGACCATTTTTTTCGAGAAAGGTGTCTAAAGACTTTTACACATATTATTCTAGGATATTCGATCGGCTATTTTGGTCACTCGAAATTAATTGCATAGTTATTAACTATAACTCAAGTTTCCACAAACCGACATCTATTTTCTACTACTCTCTATCTACGATCTACAAGGTGATTGCGAACATACAATGGTAATCATCCAAATCCATCGAATATCTCACAGAGTACGGGGACAATTATTTTATGTCTTGCTCCTTCTAGTGAAGATAAACTTCCATATCCCACCACAATTTCCTAACTCATATACCTCTTCAATTCACATTAGGTTTAAAGTGGTATTCCCTCAGTGAACGGCGTATGAACATGAATATTTTCTATTGAATACCCCATGGGTTTACCTTCGGATAAAACCTAATAAAGAGGACTAACAGCTCAGGTTCTCTAATTTAAGGATAAAATTAATCCTTTTCCTTCTTGTTCATCATAGCCTATTAGCCAAGATCTCGACTGTTTTTTATATATATATGCGTGCTTGGGGTAGAAATTGACAGTAGGAATAGATTCGACAGTAACATGTTGTAAAAAGTAGGAAATATATAAGCTCCAAGCCATGATACACGGCTTGTAGGGCGTGGTTGTCTTGTGTTGACTGGCCGACATGATGAGAATGAATAGTGAAGACTTTTGACGTTCTAAGAATATTCGAGCACAAACAAGTGGTCGGGGCTTCTGAAATTGAGGCTTCTGGAATTGGAGCAGTTACTTATTCGCTTATGGATGTGCTCAACTATAAGTATTCTTTGGTTCTCTGAGGTGAGTTAACTTTCCGATCTCCGAAGTTATTCTAACCACCAACTCCCTTGAGAGCAATCCTCACTGACTAGTACGACTGAGAACTAGCGGCCAGAAGTATGACATACTAAATCACGATATTCCTATATAAATACCAGCTTGGAATTACCAACTTGTCTTGTGTAACTGAGAAAACCGAGATATCATTTGTATTTCTAGCATTCTTCGTCTTTACCTTCTGAAATATATTTCAGAGAACACTCCCCCCTTTGAGATTAATTTTGAAATTCAAAGGACCTTTAAGTG